TACAGAGTCTAAAATTCTTTGGTACTTCTCTAAACTCCTTACAGAGAAAGTTTGAGGAGTCCTGATTTAAGTAAAGAAGAAACCAAGAATTTCTCATTTCATTATTCAGGGCAACTTTAACCTAGTATTTCAAGTTAAAGTTGTCCAATTGCAACATTGTAGCAGCACATGAATGTTAGTGTTTTGGAGTCTAAAATGTCCATAATGCAGTTTTAAATTGAACTTGCAATTAAGATAGTGTCTTCCATCAACTGTGTTATAAAGAAACTTTGAAGTCCTTGCATAATTTTAGGTCTTAGAAATTAATTATATGCCAGGTGCTGATGGCTCACGCCTGTAATGCTAGCTACTCAGGAGGCTGAGGTCTGAGGATTGTGGTTCAGAGCCAGCCTGGTCAGGAACGTCCAGGAGACTCTTACCTCCAATAAACCACTCAGAAAACCGGCGTGGCGCTGTGGCTCAAGTGGTAGAGCACTCACCTTGAGCTGAAGAGCTGAAGGACAGCACCCAGGTGAAATTCAAGCCCTACGACCGACCGACCGACCAAAAAAAAAAAAAAGACAAATTAATTATATGATGGGGAGGGAGGTGTGGAGGGAAGGAAGTAGAAAGTCTGGTTCATTTCCATTTAAAAACTTTTCAGTTTTTAAATTAGCACGTGAATTCTTTTGTAATTGATTGTCTGCTTTCTACTTGTATATGAAGTACATTTTAAGAGGGAAGTATCTTGCTCATTGACTACTTTTAGAATGAAAGAACTCACAAAATTTTGTCTTTGTAATATTTGTGTGCTTTTCATAAAACGCTCCTAGAACATATATATATATATTTAGATCTACAGATAAAGATGTGTATATGTATTCTGCCAATTAGATAGAAGTAACCATATTGTCATTTTAGTAAAGTTCTTTATGTGGTGCCTGGCATTCTAAGGGTAAATCAATGTGAAATGTTTGGGTTATACATTTCATCTAGGTGAATTGTAAATGGTGTTAGTGATCCTTACCTTTGACTTTAAAAACTGCCATAGTTCCTAAGTTACTTTAGAACTAACTACATTTGAGTTGACAAAAAAATACACTTTTTTAAAGTTCAAATATGGTTAATCACTTAGCACCATTGGCTTACTTGTAATTTTTCTTCATCAATTTCTTTAAATACAATGTGTAATAACAAGAAAAGTGGGAGAAAATGAGATAACGGTAACGCTGTTCAAATAGAAGTGTACTCATTGCCTGACATGTCACGTAACCTCTCTATATATCACCTTTACAATAAAACTTTAAAAATTTTAAAAATGATTACAAATACAGTGTCCTACTCAGGATCCTTTGGAATCCTTTTTTTTTTTTTTTTTTTTAAACCAGTCTTGGACATTCTCCTTGAGCTTTTTTGCTTGTTAGTACTCTACCACTTGAGCCACAGCTCAACTTCCAGAATTTTGGTGATTAATCGGAAATTAGAGTCTCAACTGATTTTCCTGCCTGGCTTTGAACCATGAACTTCAGATCTCAGCCTTTTGAGTAAGTTAGATTACAGTACAGGTTTGAGCCACAGGTGCCTAGTTTATAATTTTTTTAATGGAATCTGATTTCATTCAATTACAGGCTTTCATTTACTTTTAAGATAACATTATAAGTCATAAACATTCTAACTCAGTTAAAATAGAGTTGAATTTTATTTGCATTAAAATATGTATTATCTAAATACATGGAGATGCTCTGAAAGTCAGTGGAATAATCTCAAGCAGCTGTCAACTTCACAGTGATTGGAAATAGCTGGGATAAGTAGTGTGCTTGGTGGGGTTTGCTGCCAGATTGTTTCTCATGACTGACACCAAGTATAACAGAATTGAGTAACCAGATTGAAATCTAAGTGTAAAATAGAACAGTGCAATTTCATTTGGTCAGGAAATACTAATTCAAAGCAACTGGTTCCTTGGGTTTATAAGAATCTTGGAGGGAGGGGCTGGGAAGGTGGCTCAGTGGTAGAGCGCTTGCCTTGCATGCCTGAGGCCCTGGGTTCGATTCCTCAGCACCACATAAGCAAAAAGAAAAAAGCTGGAAGTGGTGCTGTGGCTCAAGTGTTAGAGCACTAGCCTTGAGCTGAAGAGCTGAGGGACAGTACCCAGGCCCAGAGTTCAGGCCCCACGACTGGACCCCCCCCCCCCCAAAAAAAAAAAGAATCTTGGAGGGAATAATAATTTCTCTTAAACTAAAATATCAGCAACATGGTAATATATATAATGTTTAGGCTAGTGCGTCTGTTTTTATTTAAAACAAATTTAAGTAAGATGCTGAATATATTAATAAAAGAGCTTGGAGCATCCAGAAGAAAATGATGCTATATTTTAGGGGTCTGCAAGCTATTGCCTGGCAGAGCCCCTAACTAGCAGTAGTCTGATTTTGTAAAGCAAATAAAGAATGATTTTAAGTTTTGTTTTCTTCTCTTTCTTTCTTTCCTTCCTTCCTTCCTTCCTTCCTTCCTTTCTTTCTTTCTTTCTTTTTTCTTTCCCTTTCTTTCCTTCCCTCCCTCCCTCCCTCCTCCCCTCTTTCTTTCTTTTTGAATTTCAGTGCCTGAATGCTGTCCCTGAGATCTTTTTGCTTAAAGCTCTCACACTTTACCACTTGAAGCCACCGCTCCATTTACAGCTTCTTGTGGTTAGCTGGAGTTAAGAGACTCTTGGACTTTTCCTGCCTAGGCTGGCTTTGAACTGTGATCTTAGATCTAAACCTCCTGAATAGCTATAATTATAGATGTTGGCCACCAGCGTTTTTTGTTTGTTTGTTTGTTTTCAACAGTTTTAAAGTTTTTTTCTTCTCTCAATATTTTGAAAAGATTACTCCATTGTCTTTTATCTTGTGTTTGATGATAAACCTACCATCTTTTTTTTTTTTTTCAAATAAAAAAAAGAAAAAAGCTTTCCTCTAGAAACTTGTCATTAAAAATTCTTTGGCTGCCTTTAAATTTTTCTCTGAGTGGTTTTGAGCAGTTTAATTTTGATGTGTCTTGGCATAGTTTTCATGTACTTTGTGCTTGGAATAGATTGAACTTCTTGGATTTGTTGGCTATTTTTTAATCAATTTTGCAAGGTTTTTATATATTATCTCTTAAAGGTCTCTTAAACCATTTCATTTCTCTTCACCCTGCTGCCTTTGCTTTGGGCATTCCACTTAAACTTATGTGAAACTGTCTGAAATTCTACAGTGTACTGATGCTCTTATTTTTTATTTGTGTTGTATTTTGAACAGTTTTAATTGCCTTTTTCACAAATTCACTATTTTTACATTTTGTAAGACTATTATAATGTTATTACTACGCAAAAATACTTTTTTTGGGGGGGGGGTCCCGTCGTGGGGCCTGAACTCTGGGCCTGGGCGCTGTCCCTCAGCTCTTCAGCTCAAGGCTAGTGCTCTACCACTTGAGCCACAGCGCCACTTCCAAGCTTTTTTCTTTTTGCTTATGTGGTGCTGAGGAATCGAACCAGGGCCTCAGGCATGCAAGGCAAGCGCTCTACCACTGAGCCACCTTCCTAGCCCGCAAAATACTTTTTATTTGGGGCATTTATAATCATGTGCAGAAATTCAGTTTGAATACTCCTTATCAGAGTATTTGAACATATGAACCACAGTTAGCAAACTTACATTGTTCTTCTCTAGTAATCTCAACAACCATGCTTTTCCTTGGTTGGTGATTTTTGACTAGAGTTTAATTGTGAAACTTGCCTTGGTAAGCACTTCATATATTTTTTTCTATTCTTAAACATTCTCTTGAGCTTCGATCTGAAATAATTGCTTAGTTATATGGAAACAATTTGATTCTTTCAAGTCTTGCCTTTTAAGATTCGTTAGTTGGGGGCTGGAGGCAAAGCTCAAGCAGTAGCGTACTTGCCTAGCAAGTGGGAGGCCCTGAGTTCAAACCCCAACATCATAAAAAAAAAAAAAGATTGTAAGATGGATCACAGAAATGTCTAGTTTATATCTAATTGTTTCCTCCTCCTTGGTCAAGGTTTGTGAATACTCAGTGCCCAATGAAGTTTGGTAATCTGTAAGGAAGGATATCTTTGTTTTTTTTTGGGGGGGGGGTGGGGGTTCTGTCATGGGGCTTGAACTCTGGGCCTGAGCCCAGCTCAAGGCTAGTGTTCTACCACTTGAACCACAATGCCACTTCTAGTTTTCTGGTGGTTTATTGGAGATAAGAGTCTCCCAGACTTTCCTGCCCAGGCTGGCTTTGAACCACGATCCTCAGATCTCAGCCTCCTGAGTAGCTAGGATTACAGGTGTGAGCTACCAATGGCCCGCAGGAAGGATATTCTAATCACTTTAAATGAGTCTTTCCCTGGCCTTGTGGCCTTGTATAATGTCTCACACTCCTGTAGTCCAGGGATGTTTTCTCTACCAAATACCTAAGAGGCTCCTTTGCTATAACTCCAAGGTATTCTTTCTAGACAGTGTTTTTCAGTAATTCATGGTATCTGTGGGCTCTTAGCTTTATCTCTTCAAGTTAGAAATTGCCTCGGCTTTTCTTCTTCATCACCAGGGTCTAGAAACTTTCTTGGTTAGCCTGTACAACTGTAGGGCACACTTAATGTCTGTTTCATTTTTCAAGAATCATTGATCTTTGCTGCAGCATATCCATTCTTAGTTTAGTATTAGGTTCAGTATTCTTTATCCAGGTTTTGGTTGAAACAAGCAGGACAGTGTATTTCGCATCTGTTTTCAAATATTAATAGCAAGAATGGAAAGCTGAGATAATTTTTTGGTTGAGTAATAACTGGTTGTAAACAAGAGTTGGACCATAGGTATAGGTGGAGTAGAAATGTGAAGGGAATTGAATGCCATGTACATAGACTTTGACATCCACTATGAATGACTTTTAAGGTACAGGGCAGAACTTTAAACCAAGAGTCAACATTGTAAATTTTAGTACAGCATATTTTACCTGTTTGGTTAGGAAAATACTCTTAAAATAAGGTTAACTTGCCTTGTATTTTCTTCTAGAACCTTCTGATAACTTAAGGGAGATTCTCCAAAATGTGGCCAAATTACAAGGAGTTTCAAATATGAGAAAGTTAGGTCATCTGAATAACTTTACTAAGGTAAGTAACTTGAAACCTTTATGGCACTTAATGTTCCTTGTTCTTTATCATACTTAGATATTTCTTAATCACCATTAAAAGGAATTCCTTTGGATTTACTCAGTATAGTACTTTTCTCTAATTCTTCAGAGAAAAAGGATTTTGTCATGTGCATTTATTTTTTTTGTTTTGTTGTATTTTGTTTTTTTGAGAGTGCTTTTGTTATGTTGCCCAAGCTAGTCTTGTTCTTCTGGGTTCAAGTAATCCTTCTCCTTCAGCCTCCAAAATAACAGATTGTAGGTACAAATCACCATTACCATTTGTCAAGTTTTTTTTTTTTTTTGGGGTCCGGTCATGGGGCCTGAACTCAGGGCCTGGGCGCTGTCCCTCAGCTCTTCAGCTCAAGGCTAGCACTCTACCACTTGAGCCACAGCGCCACTTCCGGCTTTTTTCTTTTTGCGTATGTGGTGCTGAGGAATCGAACCCAGGGCCTCATGCATGCAAGGCAACACTGAGCCACCTTCCCAGCCCTTGTCAAGTATTTTTAAATTTTTAATTGCTTTTAATTAATACAATTAATTAGTTAATAGATATGTAGCATATTACAGAAAATATGGTAGGCTCAGCAAAAATTAAAGGAAACTGCTGAGAAGTCCCTAATACAGATGGATGCTCATTCACAAACACACCTTAAAAATTCATTACTTGATGTGCTACATTTCATAGATATAATCATAATTCCCAAAGGAATTCAGGAATTCTTCCTGAATCTGCATTCCCACGATCTGAAGTGCCCTTGTAAATTGGGGCTCTTGGCTCAAATAAATATTAATGTGATCTTTTAATAGCATCCCCAAAGTTTGATCTTCAATGCAAGCTTTATAGTACCACTCAGCAAACTCAGGTTAGGATAAAAATGTATAGATGGTTCTAGGTAATGCCCTAAGATGGAAAACAAAATGGATCCTTCGGGATAAAGCTTTCTTCTTTTTATTATATTTCATATACATTGTTAATGTGTTAGCAGTTACATATCATAGGCTTCTGGTGTTCAGTGTAACACAGTTCAGTTCTGATATCACCTTGGAGTTTCTTTGAATTACAGCTGACCATTTTATAAAGATCTTCAGGTGCTTTTGTGTGTATATTAAAGTTTGAGTAGACCTATTTCAGTCTTTCCAAATACTTGTTTGTAAGGTGCTGGTACTGAGGCTTGAATTCAGGGCATAGGCACTGTCCTTTATCTTTTTTGCTCATGGTGGTGCTGTACCACTTGCCATACCTCCACTTGCAGCTTATTGCTGGTTAAGTGGGGATAAAAGTCAAGGACTTCAAAGTGTGCGATAGCTTTGAACTGCTATTCTAAGATTTCAGCCTCCTAAGTAGCTAGGATTATAGGCATGAGCCCCTAGTTCCTGGCTTACTCTTTTTACATATTTAATTCTTTGCTAACTAGTAAGTTTGTGACTTCTATTCAGTTTGTTTTGGAAATAGAAGGGGTTAGAAATATAGTCACTTTGTACCATTGTTATTTTCAACATAGTGTTATATAGTTTTTACATTCAGTTAGGGATGCAAGTGCATAGTCAGAATGTTTCAGGGTTACAAAAACATACTTTCTGGTTTTTCTCCCTTGTTTTAAATGTTTTATTTCGCCATCTTCAGTCAATCAGACAACCCTCACCACTTGCTTAGTTTTCATTGTTTAATTCAGTTTTACTCGTGATTACTGACATAACCAGGATTGAATACTTATCTTGCTAACTAAGATTTTAGGAGCTGGGGATGGTTGTAAAGATGGTAGTGATGACACCACTGAGGTTCTCAAACACTATACTCACAGCATGTCTCAAGTTTCCATATTTCCAGTGTTTGCTGCCACATGTGGCAGGAGCTATCAGTCATATTAGACAGTATAGAAATACAAGTTTTAGGAATAGGACTGGTTTAAACCTTCATTGATAGAAATTGGTTGAACACCTGTATTTTCTTTTTTTATCGTTTATTTTCCAAACTTTGTAGGATTAGGATCAGTTGGTTTTACTCTTCCCTTTTCCCTCCTCTATTTCCTTCTGTTTGCCCAAATTTCTCTCCTAGTTATTCTTTGTCCCTAGTATTTGCTTTTTTGTGTTTGTCTTTTTTCTTCCTTGCTCTCTTACCTGTTTTCCCCCTTTATTTCCTGTCTGTCTCACCTTTGACCTGTCTTTTCTCCTACTTTAATCCTTGGTTCCTCCTTCCATTCTGTTTTTCTCTCTCCTTTCACTGCATTGTACTACAGTAGAGCATGCAGGGATTGCTGTAATGTCTACAGTAAGAAGGAATATGCTGTCCCATAAGTAAAGTCTATTAACTTTAGATTTTGTAAAACTTATTTTAGTTACCTTTAATGGGCAAAAGCAAGGAGACGGTGCCAGCTCTGACAGTTAAAGCAAAACAGTCTTAGGAAGATTTCTTTACTCAGATACTATTACTGCTTGTAAAGGCAAGGTCTCAGCATAATGCCTGGTAAAAGAACTCATCTCATCCACTGGCTTGTTTTTTGCTTTGCTTTGTGCTTTTTTCTATTTTGCCAGTCTTTTTTTTTTTTTTAAGCTACACTAAGAAGGGAAGTATGCTTAATAGTTTGAATTGTAGATAGGTAAAGTGTTACTGTTCCACAGGGTTCTTTTATTTATCCACTGTTGATATATTGGGCCAGAAAATTATTTGTTTGGGAATGCTGTTCTTGTGTTGTAGGGTACTAAACAGTGTTCCTGGTCTGTACCCACTATAGAGTGGGAAGGAATACCTCCCCGCACACCAGTGATAAAAGTATCTTGAGTTATTGCCAAATGTTCCCTGTGGGACAGAATTTCTCCTGATTAAGAATTCCTGCTTTAAGTGAATTGCTATAGATTTTATTATAAAATTTATTATAAAATTACCTAACAAAACGCAAGTAAATATTGAATTTAATTTTACTACACTGAGTTTCTGAATTCCATTTTGTTAGGTTTAAAGAGCTTACTGAGTTGACAGAAAGATTTATTTCCTTATTGAGTAAAAATTTGAAATTCTCAAGAATCTGTAAGTAGTATTATTTGACTATAAAAAGTATGACATTGAAGACCAGTGTAGTTGGTTGGAGACCTATGTTTCCGTTAGATTAACTATGTTTACAGAATTTCCTCATTTGTTATGAGATACTATTCCTTTAATCTGAAGTTTTCAGTTTGAGATATATTTTTCTACTCTAAAATTCCTCCTTTCTCCAAACCCTGCTACACAGTAAGATGTTTAGTTTTATTGTGTTACATCCAGAAGATTTAGCATTTTAAATATGAACTTTCATTTTCAATAGCATTTGTTTTACTATTAAGTATAACCCCAGTTGTTAATATTAAGTTACCTTAGTAGACCAAAGATACTAAAATGTTGTATTGGGTGAACCTCTCTCAAACCTCCTTTTAAGGTAGGAAATGAAAGAGCAACGTGATGTGATCCTTTAATCATGTGAATGTCACACAACATGCTTGCCTTCTAAAATCATTTCACTAAAGTAATGTGTATAGCGGACTGCTGATAAGTATGATGTTGGTCTTCTATTTTTAAAACTGACAACATGTTTATGATCCAAAGGCCTACTGCTTAAGGATGAAAATATATCAGATCTTTTGAGTTTTCAACGTTCCCTTTTCCTTATAGGTCCTAAAAATTTTCATTTCATTGTAAGTTATAAAAAAATTTAGATAGTATAGAAGATTTTATAGTAAAAGGTGAAAGTCCTTCCTCACATACCCTTCCTGCCTACTTCCTCCCTCCCTTCCAAAGTACAATTTTCCACAGGTAACCAGTGATTAAAAAGGTACTTATCCTTTTTTGGTACAATTACAAATAGAAATAATGTGAGAATAAAATGAAATGAACTGCAGAGTGCTAAGTTGTAGTTAACATTATTATTCATGTATGAGGATTTGTTGTTGTTTATTTTAATACTAATTCTTAGCAAGTAGCCTAGTCTGGTATCAAATCTCAGTCCTCCTGCCTCAATTTCCTGTATTCAGAGATGACACACATGTATTATAGTGCTCACTATACAAATGATTTAAAAAAAGGTCAGAACATGATATATGTTAATGTGTATATTTGTGTATATATGCATATATAGATACATGTTTGTATGTATAAACATATATATGTATATATATACACACTTAAAACTTGTTTTTTCCCCATATCCTAATATAACATAGAATGCTGCTACTTTATAGCTCATCTTGTGTGTGTGTGTGTGTGTGTGTGTGTGTGTGTGTATTTCAGTTGTCTTCTAAATAAACTCCACTGTTCTAATAATTAGCTGTTTTCTCAGAAAACAAGAGATCATCTGCATTGGTCAGATCTATTAGATTATGAATACTTTTTTTTTTGGTTGGTCATGGGGCTTGAACTTTGGGACTGGGTGCTGTCTTTCAGCTTTTCAGCTCAAGACTAGGTCTACCATTTGAGCCACAGCACTAATCTGGTTTTCTGGTAGTTAATTGGAGATAAGAGTCTCACAGATTTTCCTTCCTGGGGTTGGCTTTGAACCTCTATCCTCAGATCTCAACCTCCTTTATAGCTAGGATTACAGGTGTGAGCCACTGGCGCCAGACTAGATTATAAATACTTTTATTTATTGTTATTTTCAAGAAAACAGAAATGTTGTTTACCCTAAGTGAGATGGATATAGAGGAAACTACAACTGAACCATATTCTGTTGAAACTGCTCATAAAGTAGTAATCTGTGATAAAGGGTATTACTTGCAAAACAGTCAACAGTAGGCCTAACTTAAATTCTATATATACACCAACAAAATCCTTCAAAAACGAAAAATAATTTCCTGAAAAAATGTAGATGGATTTTAACTACCAGCCTGGGCAAAAATTAAGACACTAGTCTGGACAGAAAAGTTAGCAAGAACTCATCTTACCCAGTAGCTTATAGTGTGCATCTGCCATCTCAGCTGTGCAGGAAGTATAAGTAGGAGTCTCATGGTTGAGTCTGGGCTGGGCAAAAATGTGAGAACCTATCCCCAAAATAATGAAAGCAAAAAGGTTGGGGGCATAGTTCAAGTGGTATGGTGCCTATGTCACGAGTATAGCACCAGCCCAGGATTAAACCCTCCCACCAACAAATCACAAAAACAGTTAGGGAGATAGGAATAAAACTACATAAAATGGGGGCTGGGAAGGTGGCTCAGTGGTAGAATACTTGCCTTGCATGCATGAGGCCCCGGGTTCAATTCCTCAGCACCATGTAAGCAGAAAAAGCTGAAGTGGCACTGTGGCTCAGGTGGTAGAGTGCTAGCCTTGAGCTGAAGAGCTGAGGGACAGTGCCCAGTCCCAGAGTTCAGGCCCCATGACTGACCAAAAAAAAAGAAAAACTACATAAAATGTAAACTCTTACATTTTTCAAAATTTCATTAATGGAAAACAGCTTATTGTGTAGCATATGAATAAAATTTATGTAAGTTCACAATTAATATGAACCTATTTTTTCTAACAGCTTCTTTGTGATATTGGCCATAGTGAAGAAAAACTGGGTTTTAACTATGAAGATATCATTATTTGGTAAGTTCAGTTCAATCCCCTCCCTTATCTCTTCCAGATTTTAATTATTTCAATTTGATAATTTTAAATTAAAGTTGTGAGAACACAGCACTACATATGTGATTTTATAGGCAATTGATTGGACATTAGAAACATTTAGGTTCTTAGATTACTTTGTTACCTAATGAGTTGTGATTAACAAATAGGAAGAACCAGAGCTTATGTTAAAAAATACCTGGATTTCTATAATTTAAACTTTGAAATGAATTCTGAACTTTATAGACTGAAATTTTCTTACTCTTCTGGTTTAAGATTTCTAAGTGTTACCTAAGAGAAAGTATACCCAAGCATACTAATAAAGGCATAATGTTGCACTTTCATAACTATTTTTTTGGTGCCTTAAGGAATTAAAATTGATGTAGTGGTCTGTTTCTGCTGTCATTGCCAAATAGTATTGCTTTAACCCAATCAGTCTTTGGGAGGACTGTAAACAAATGAAGGAGAATAGATTATAGGGTCATGTAAGGGTATACTTAATTTATCTGATGTAAAATAAACTACAGAAGATGAATAAAATAACATCAGCTTGATTTGAGAGACAATACCAAAGAGACACCAAATAAAACCAGCATTACCACTATAAAATCCCATAGTTTGGAGTGGATATTTCTTATCCGTGGGAAATGTAATTGGATAACATTAATTCATCACTATTAGAAGTTTTGCATAACTTAGCAGAGGAAGAATTTGATACAGGTTGAGCATCCTTACTATGAAAATCTTAAATGTTCCAGAAACTGAAATTTAAGAGTTATCTTGGCGGTTTAGTTTTACATTTTCAAATGTGGGCTGCTTACTTGATGCAGTCTATAGAAATAACCTTATCTCCAAAAACCTGGAAATCTGAAATCTTTCTCATCCCAGCCATTTCAGATGAGGAATGTTTAACCTGTCCGGTGCGCTTTAGACTCCTAAAGCTAAGCATTTGGTTTCGTTTTTCTTCCAGTTTGCGGTTAGCCTTATTAAATGAAGCAAAAGAAGTGAGAGCAGCAGGGTTACGAGCACTTCGGTATCTCATCCAAGACTCCAGTATTCTGCAGAAGGTGCTAAAATTGAAAGTGGACTATTTAATAGCTAGGTAATTTTCTGGGAGTTTTTTATACTTCATTTTTTAAAAAGGTTTATGTCAAGCTTTAATATACCTACCATAAAATGTACAGATTTTTAGTGTTAAAGGTTGATAGTTTTGTTGTTGATTTTTTTTTTTTGTTGGTCATGGGGCCTGAACTCTTGGCCTGGGCGCTGTCCCTCAGCTCTTCCTCTCAAGGCTAGCACTCTACCACTTGAGCCACAGCACCACTTATGGCTTTTTCTGCTTATGTGGTGCTGAGGAATCAAACCCAGGGCCTCATGCATACAAGGCAAGTACTCTACCGCCGAGCCACTTTCCCACCTCATGGCTTGATAGTTTTTATAAAAGCATATACAGGCTATTTAGAAGACAACATTAGCAGACTACTAGTAATGTTTCATTTTACTTTCAACAGGTAGTAAACATTGTTCTGACTTTTTCATTGTAGACTGTTTTTTTCCTATTTTGGGGTATCATGTTGGAAGTGAAAAGGAACACTACTCTTTACTTTCCTCATTTGTGAGATTCATTGAGGTCTACTAGTTTTTACTTTTTTATTACTGTGTAGTATTTCATATTATGATTAGATCAAAATTACTCTATTCATTTTCTGGTTGCTTTTAGTGTTATTTTAACAAGTTGCCATGAACATTTCTTGCACAAACCTGCAAGCAGGTAGACATAGTCACTCAGTTCTCTTATATGTATGTACAACTGGACATACGGAATATTAGTTTAGCTTTAGTAGATATTGTCAAATAATTTTCAAGTGATTGAACAGATTAACACTATTATCAACAATGTATTAGTCTTCCTTCTACTTTATCCACATCAGCATTTGCTGTTTCAGTCTTCAGCTAGCCATTCTGGTTTTCATTGTGGGTTCTCATTTTGGGTTCTCATTTTATTTTTAATTTGCACATCTAGTTTTGTTGCTTACTCATTTCTAAGTGAATGCCTTTTTCTTTTTTTGTCCGTCATTGGTCTTGAACTTTGCCTTTCTTTTTTTTGTCAGTCATTGGTCTTGAACTCTCAGCTTGGGTGCTGTCCCTCAGCTCTTTAGCTCAAGGCGAGTACTCTGCCACTCGAGCCACAGTGCCAATTCTGGTTTTCTGGTGGTTAATTGGAGATAAGAGTCTTATGGACTTTTCCTTGCCTAGGCTGTCTTTGAACCACGTGAGCCACTGATGCCCGGCATGAATGCCTTTTTCTTGTGGGAATTCTTGGTGTCTTCTAGATGAGTCTTTTCAGATGTACATGTATATTGAGAATATCTTCAAATGTGCCTTGAAGTTTCATCCTTTCAGTGGCTCTTTGATGAACAGAATTTCTTAATTAAATCCAAAGTGCTTTCCATATATATGTACATATATATTTTCTTAATTCTCAGTTATTGTACAAAGGATTTTCAGTTCAAATCAGTTTATAAATATAATGCATATTGTTCAGTCACCCTTTCCATTTTTCCCAACTCTACTCATAACACTAAGTTACATGGTTCTGTTTTTACATGTATCCTGACCTCACAAGAATGAATATTGTTGGAAATTGCAGCTCTTTGCCTATGTTATTTTTCTGTTCTGGCATTTTTCATTGCTTATGTTTTCATCTTGGATCATGTGTGTGTGAGAGCGTATGCATGCACACACCCACACACGGGCTTGAACTCAGAGCCCCAAGCTTAGGGCTTTTTCTCCTCAATGCTGATGCTCTTCTACTTGAGCCATACCCTCACTTCTGGCTTTTTGCTCGTCAATTGGAGATAAGAATCTGATACTTCTGTTACATGAGTCTTTATAGATAGATTCCTGTATTTTTTTGAAAGTTTAAATGTAAGAATTGGAGTATATTTTATAACATCACTGGAAATACTTACTTGCTGATACTAGAAATATTTGCTGGTACTATGAAAAGTATATACTGAAAATTTAATATACTGTATTGACATGAAGATGAGTGTGAGTAGTAGTATTAAACAAAACACTTTACTAGGATTTTATCAATGATTAATATTTGTGTATTGTTTAGGTGCATTGACATACAGCAAAGCAACGAGGTAGAGAGGACACAGGCACTTCGATTAGTCAGAAAGGTATGCTAATATGTGGGAATAAAGGCAAATTTATGGTTTTCATTGTTAAATATTTCTATTTTTATATTACAGTGTTATAGTGTTAAAATATAGTGTTAAAATTTAGAAACCAAGTTTTCATTAAAATTTTATTTCATTAAAGTACAAATTAAGTAGATCTGTTAAGCTTTTAGATAAGCATAGTTTGTACAATATGTGATTGGGCAGAGTTAGGACTATTTTTATAAAGTGTTATATTCTTATAAAATGTCCATTTTAAAGAGTATGTCTTCCATTAGTGGACAGGTAAGTATAATTACTGATTTGCTAAGTTGGTTTTCTTTTAATTTTATTCTTACAGTTGATACTATTAAATGGTTGTCACAAATAAATATAAAATTATTGTTTTAAAGGTGAATTTGAATATAATCCATGAGCAGTCGTGATAAAAACAAAAAAAGTAGGCATTGTGTAATACAAATTGTCATAATTTAATACCTGAAGAAGGTGAAAGGCAATCATGAAACTTAACAGAACTTTTTTATATAATTTGTTGGCCTTGATGCTTTTAAAAGAAATGACAAAGTGGTGCTGTGGCTCAAGTGGTAGAGTGCTTGCCTTGAGCTGAAGAGCTGAGGGATAGCGCCCAGACCCAGAGTTCAAGCCCCATGACCCGACCAAAAAAAAAAAAAAAAAAGACAACTTCAAATAAATCCAGACAATTAAATTCAGCCTCATTGGATTACTTAGTAAATACCTTTTTTTTTTCAATTTTGTACAATACTTTGTACAAACTAAAATTTATAATACAGCTCAGTAAAAGTAAAGACTCTTTAAAAACAACTTAATAGCACCATAACAAAAATATCATTTTATTCTGTTCTCTTTGGAGCTGCAGCATAAGATATTATTTATTATTCCAGTAGTTGGTTGAGCTAAAAAGAGTAGTTAAAGTACATATTGCCTTTAGGGGCTAGAGACAAATGATTTTATTAGAACTTTTAGCATCTAAGTACATATTTTTTCCAGCAACTAAAGAAGTACAAATCATGTTTAATTATTATTACCAGGTCACTGAAATGTTTTGGTATGTATTAAAAAAATTAAAGTTTTTGCATAATTGTATTAATGTACTTTGAAAGAAAAGTACAATGTTTTACTTGTTTTAGGATAATTCATTCAATAAATAGTTAAGAAATACTTGTGTTACTTTTACTTTCACCTCTCCAGTTCATTTGAAAGACTTTCTGTTTATTGTTTTTTTTTTCTTTGAGTGTCTCTCCAATATGTTTTTCTTCTACTTTCCCTACTTCAATCCAGGCAGTCTTTTTCAGTCTCATTCATTTTCTTCATAACTTTCTCACTAGTCAACTGTTGGTACTTTTTTGTTTTTAATCACTTAAATTCTACTTACCAATTAATTCAAGCCATCATTATTTCCTATGTAATTTCTTTATTCATGTAATAGGGACTAGTAATAATACAGTTTAATAGCCATCGGGATTTAATTTGGTGGAATCACATACTCTCGAAACAGACACTGCAGGTTAATGGCAAAACCAGAACAAGAACCCAGTATACAGATTTCCTAATTGGCTAATGATTATTAAATACAACTTTCCTTCCTTCCTTCCTTGGCACTCTGAGCTTATTTTTGGTCTATACAACCATTTCTATCTGATCTATATTATTTTGTCAACTGTATGCAAACAACCAATCAGCCCAACCACAGATAATTGCTTTCTTCCTACTTTTTTTCATCTCTTTGCACATTCTATTTTTCTCTGTTTAAGTTTTACATATGACTCTTAGTGAACTCTGTATTTCTTTAGTTCTTTTGTGTCAGTTCTACAAATTTGGTACCTAATAGTCTAATCTTTACATATATCTATGCCAGAAAGTATGATTAGAATTATGACTACATGGAGTATTGAATGATTTTTAAGGGAAGCAGTTTCTCAATTTTCACTGAATTTCCCTGGAAAAAACTAAAGAATGACTTCTTATGTAAAAATTTGAACATTTTTTTAAAGTCAGTCGTGGGGCTTGAACTCAGGGCCTAGACAATGTCCCTGAGCTTTTTGTTCAAGGCTAGGGTTTTACTACTTTGAGCCACAGTGCCACTTTTGGTCTTCTGGTGGTTAATTTGAGTCTCACAAACTTTCCTGCCCAAGTTGGCTTAGAAGCATGATTCTCAGTTCTCAGCCTCCTGAATAGCAAGGATTATAGGCATGAGTTACCAGCTCCTTGCAAAATTTGAATTTTTTAGATACAAAATTTGAATTCTTATTTGTTTCATAGCATAATTATTGAATTAAATATTCTTACTACACATGAGATTTGAGTACAATTTTATATTGTAGCTGAGACCATCTTGTAACTATCTTCATTCTGAATTAGTAAACTGAGGCACAAAGATTGATTTGGAAAAGATGGCTTAGTTTATTAATTTTATATTAAGTTATCAAAGTCAAATTGAAAAGCTAATTTTTAGCCAGTTCTTTTCAGAATATATCACCTCATTTTTCTGTTTAGGAAATTTCTTGTAAGCTTTGTACAAACATTACATAATAAAACATAACATATTGTAAGCATTGAAATATAAGTTACTATGAGCAGTTAGAATATTTTTACTCACAGAGACCAGTTATTTTCTGCAGGTCTCCCCTTCTGCTTTCTGTTCTTTCCTTTTTTTTTTTTTGATGAATTGAAAATACTGATTTTGAAACATATGTGAATGCTCTTTTGGATTCTTCATTGATTAGGTATAAACCTGGTTTGAGGGGTGTATTGTAAAATTTTAATTGTAGTTATACAGTAACTAGCCAATATAGACTCTTATTTTAATCTCTGGGTCTTAACTGTGTGTTTTGCATTTAGTGATAGTGTATCAGTTGTTTTATAGCACAAGTTTTTCTTTTTCAACAGGTTTCTGAATGTAGTAACATTGTGAACAGATTAGTTTTCTCCCTGTACAAATAAGACAAAACATTACTTTGTATTTTTAATCCAAGGATCTGTTATTTTGAAATAAAGTTATTTTGAAATAAAGTGAAGTGATCATTAGTGGCTTAATTTGTTTTCTAAATCAAAGATCTGTATATTTTTAACCTATATTCAGCATGTTCAAATTATATTATTATCAATTAAATCTTTTATGAAAAGTACTTTTTTTTCAAGGGAATGTCTGTATTTGATCTCAGGTCCTCAAAGTTACTTTACTAACAAGATAACTCCATTGTTGATTTTCACTGATTATTTTTTGGATAGAGTCTTCAATTCTTGCTTGGTCAGGAATCTGAGCCATAATTGCCTACTTTATTTTGGCTTCCCATCATCATTTGGGATAACAGGTACACACCACTGTACCAGGTTTTTTGTTTTTTTTTCCATAGATAATCTCATGCACTTTTCTGCTTGATTTGGCCAGCCTCAGCCTATCACATGGCATGAGATGACAGCTACACATCACTGCTCCGAGCTATATGGGTTGAGAAGAGTTTTGAGCAAATCTTGATCCTGCTATTCACAACTTTTCAAGTAGCTAGGGATACAGTGCATTATTTCATCAAGCTTTAGGACTAGATATATACCATTGCTATCAGGTATATTGAAATGTGAAATATGTATGGGCTATTAATGGTTTCTAACATTAATAATGGAATTTATGGCTAGTGATTAAAGATATCTCTGGGTGTCTGTTATAGTAAAGAGAGAGTGAGGACCGAATCAGTGAATTTGATGATGAAGGAGGGGTGGAGATAATGATGTTAATGAACTAAGTAAAGAATCATAGTGATCATAGAATACTAATACGTTGAGTGCTGTTGTCATTATTGATTTACATCACGTAGGAACTAAAAACCTGTGTATGAGTTTCAGTCCTAGCGTAGCTTAGAGTCTCAGAAATAGTAATTTATAGTCCAGATTACTAGAGAAACGTTAAAAAGATTTTCACAGTTATGATTACTAACATTGATTTATTAGTCGATCATTCAAAACCTTTATGTAGCCTGTTAAAATTGGTACCTGGATTTAATTCAGATCTAAGTCTGAATAAATTAAGTTTTAAAATGTACTGTAAAGTAACTAATTTCTGTTCCTAATGTCTCTGTTACAGATGATTACTGTGAATGCTTCCTTATTTCCCAGTTCTGTGGCCAACTCATTAATTGCAGTTGGAAATGATGGACTTCAAGAAAGAGACAGAATGGTTCGAGCATGTATTGCTATTATCTGTGAACTAGGTCAGAATTTTCAAGTAATATACTATTTTATAAAGAATATGTATTATTTCTGTAGTTATCAGTACACAATTTCTGAAAACATAATTTTGAGTTTTATTTAACATAAGTTCAGAGTGGTATGAAAATTTTGTATCTTAAAGTTTTACTTACATGAAATTTAGTAGATGAAATATCTAAATTTAATAATTATAATAGAAACTATAAAGTCTAACACTGTGGCGTTAGTCATAGTACATGATCAAAATAATCCACTGTAAGCTGAGCCACTATAAAATGGCTTGTATCTGTAATCTAATAGGAGGCAGAATTTGTTGATTAAAGTTTGAAGCCAGTTCAAGCAGAAAGTCTCTTTGTCTTAAAACACTAACAAGAAGCCAGAAGTGGAGTTGTAGCTCAAATGGTAGAGTGCCAAAGTCCAGTATATATAAAAAGGGAATTCTAAATGCAAAAGCATCAAGTTGTTAAATGAAGTAGAAACTGAAGATAGCAACATGGGTAAATATCTGATTATTGGAAGAAGACTGTATTGTGAGTATATAAAAAATAGGAACTTCAATGATTTAAATTTTACTATAAGGAATCAAAAAAGTAAGCTATGGTAGAAAAAAAAGTAAAAAAAATCAATGCAACAAATAAAATAGATAACTTATTGCAAACAAATCAGTGGGAATAACAATTCTTAGAGAAGTAACTGGCCTCACTTTGAAAGATAAACTCTATCTATCTATCTAGCTAGCTAGCTATGCATCCATCCTTCCTGGTCCTGGGTCTTGAACTCAGGATCTGGTGCTGTCTATGAGCATGTTTTGTTTAATGCTAGCACTCTACCACTTGAGCCATAGGGCCCTTCCTGCTTTTTCTGAGTAGTTTATTAGCAATAAGAGTCTCACCCACTTTCCTGACCATGCTGGCTTTGAATTATTATCCTCAGATCTCAGCCTTCTGAATAGCTAGGATTACAGGTGTGAACCACCAGCGCCCAGCTAAACAATTTTAAATAACAAGAAACATGACTTTTTTTTTCTCCATCACCTAAAGTAGGAGTGATAAGGTTATATTTCTTCTTGAGATCACAACTCATTTATGAAGTTTAAAGAAACAAAGAAGAAACAGATTCTGCAATGGAGGATTTAAAAATATGCCCACAATATCTATTTGTTTATAGACAAATTTTAAAGTATTATTAAGGAAATTATGAAAATAAGCATACTACCATTTTGTAATTTATGGGATACCTGGAAAGGTATACTGAGGTATTAACATGTCATCATAAAATATTTTTTATTTAAGCAAAAAGTAAGTGTAAATGAACCATTGCAACTTAAGAAGAAAAGAATATGAAAAATAAAAAAGTAAAGTCTGTGTAAAGCAGACAGCAAATAACTATATTAAAAGTCTTAACTAGTGGCTGAGTGTGATGGTACACAACTGTAATTCCAGCTACTGAGGAAGCAGAGTGATAACAGAAACAGGAGGATCATGGTTTGAGGCCACCACTAACAAAAGTTATCAAGACCCTATTTCAAAAACAAGGCAGGTGGGGCTGGGAAGGTGGCTCAGTGGTAGAGCGCTTGCCTTGCATGCCTGTGGCCCTGGGTTCGATTCCTCAGCACCACATAAGCAAAAAGAAAAAAGCCGGAAGTGGCGCTGAGGCTCAAGTGGTAGAGCGCTAGCCTTGAGCTGAAGAGCTGAGGGACAGTGCCCAGGCCCAGAGTTCAGGCCCCACGACTGGACCCCCCCCCCCCCCCAAAAAAAAGGCAGGTATAGTGGCACACACCTGTATTTCCAGCTACCTGGAAGAAGTCAGAGGTAGGAGGATTACAAACTAAAGGAAAGAAGGCTGGGAGTGTGTCTTACATGGTAGAACAAGTTGCCTAGAAAAAGTAAGTCCCTGAATTAAAAACCCTGTACTGGGGGGAAAAGTCCCAGTCAGAGAATACGATAGATCATTCAACCTAAATGGTTTTTCTTGAAAAAGAAAACCATGAAATACATCTTTAACTGCTGGGAAAAATTTAAAGGTAAAAAGTAATAAAAGGAGAATATAATAGAATCTTATTAAAGATTTTTAAAAGAAATTACGTATTTGAAAATATACTGAATAATTCTCCAGATAATTATTAATTCTAGTTACTAGAAGTATAGAAATGTGATCGATCAAAACCAATAGTAGTTGTAAACAACAAGGAAATAATTGCCTTCAAGATAAGAATCAATATTTTTAAAAAGAACAAGTAACTTTTATACACAGGTATACATATATACTCATATTAAAATAATTAGAATACTACTTAATAGTCCAGAATATTTATCTCAATATATTATCTCAAATCACCAGTCTTATTTGATTGGTTGGTTTGATTTGGTGGTAATGGGGTCTGAACTCAGAGCTTGCACTTGAGCCTTGCTTACCTGGTACTCCACTGCTTGAACCATGTCTTCAATCCTGTTTTATGCTATTTAGACAGTGGAGACTAAAACTCCTTACCTGCCCAGGCTGGCTTTGAATCTCAATCCTCCAAGATCTCAGCTTGGCTTTTTGAATAGTGAGGATTACAGACATAAAACACCAATACACTACTAAATCTGCTATTCTTAATAGTAGGTTTCTAAATGTTACACCCTTGTAAAACTTTTTGCCACATTATTTGTAAGATAAAATAATAACTGAAGTTTTTATACATAGTAGTACTACTGTGTGTGTGTGTGTGTGTGTGTGTGTGTGTGTGTGTGTATGTGTGTGTGTGTGTGTGTGTGTGTGGAGAGAGAGAGAGAGGCAAGTAAAAAACCCTAGTAGTTACAGTGGAGTCATGTGAAAATACAGATTAAATAGCTATATTTTATGTTTTAACAATAGTAGAAGAGGAAAATACTATAATTCCAAAGTAGAAAAGAAAACTGAAACAAATAAATGTAAGCAATATATAGGAATTTAATAGTTTAGGTGGCACTTTCCAGCAGGATAAAAATTTCATTCCTTGAGTTAGGGATTGGTATCTATATCATGGAGATCTGCATTTTGATTGTATGTAATTATGCTTCTGTTAGAAAACATAGGAAGATAAATATTCTAAAATTCAAATTCAAGAATAAATGAAAAATTTTGGAAAAGAACGTTGAAGAAAGGAAAGGTGGTTTTTTTGTTTTGTTTTGTTTTGTTTTTGGTTGTTCGTGGGTCTTGAACTCTGGGCCTGGGCGCTGTCCCTCAGCTCTTCAGCTCAAGGCTAGCGCTCTACGACTTGAGCCAGAACACCACTTTCTGGTTTTCTGGTGGTTTATTCAAGATAGGAGTCTTACAGACTTTCCTGCCTGGGCTGACGTTGAACTGTGATCCTTAGATGTTAGATAGGATTACAGGTGTGAGCTACCAATGCCCGGCCAGGAAAGATTTTCTTTTCATACTTTAAAAAAACTAGTAACATAAGTTATTAAAAGGGAAGAACTTAAAAATTGCCAGGCAGGGTGGTCCACACCTGTAATCCCCAAGTAGAGATTAGAGTGATTGAGGTTCAAGGCCAGCCAATGAGAAAGTAAGCAAGACCCCCACTGAAACCAAGCAAGCCAGGTATGTGATGGTGCTTACTTGTCATCCCAGCTACACTGGAGGCAACAGCACTTCAGTGTAAGGTTCGCAACCCTTAAACAAAAATAGTTGGGGTATGGTTCAGGTGATTCAGTCAATGGCCCTGAGTTAACAAGAAAAATAAATGAAAGAGATACAGAGCTGATCCATAGAAACTTTACTATGGTGATGCACACCTATAATCCGAGCTCTCAGAAGGCTAAGGCAAGAGAATTTTAGTTTGAGGCTCTATAGTGAGTGAGTTCTAGTAAGAGTGGGTTACATAGCAAGACTGTCTCAAAAAAATAAAATCCAAATATAAAACACCATGCTTACGCATTCACATGCAAAGAAACCTCTTGATCTTTAGAATAAGAGGAGTTACTCAAGTATTGGGTTTCTGTTTACTCATATGCGTATGTGTTCATCTTTGTATGTTTTGTAAAATTAAAACAGTGAAATAAGCCATCTAAAGCAAAATCTACAATGAAGTTAATTATAAAAGATTTGAAATAGATACATATATAGAGACTGTTATTTCTACCATAAAAAATAACTCCTTGATGGGAGTTGATAGGAGGTAAAATCAAAGAATTTAGAAAGACAAGGACTTGGATGAGGCTCAAATGGTGGAGGGCCTGCTAGTAAGCTCAAGGCCCTATGTTCAGACCCCAGGACCACCAAAAAACAATAAAAACAGAGGGAATGAGGTAGGAAGGAAGGAAAGAAAGGAACCTTTTATCCACTTGTCCTAGTAAATACGGCTGGAGATCTTTCAAGAACAACAACAAAAATACTAAGTTTTAAAGTATAAGTGCAGTCAGGTACCAGTGGTTTATGCCTGTAATCTTAGCTACTCAGGAGGCTAAGATCAGAGGGGAGGAAAGTCCATGAGAACTCTTATGTGTTAACCACCAAAAAGTCAGGAATAGAACTGTGGCTCAAGTGGTAGAGTGGTAGTCTTGAGTGCAAAAATAAAGCTAGGGAATAGTACCTAGGCCCTGAGTTCAAGCCCCAGTACCAGCAGAAAAATAAAATAAATCAGAACTAAATAAATAAATGAAATCACAGATTTCAGCTTACTTTATTATTGCCAGTATGATTTGTTAAGTTTTTCCTTTTCATTTTAGCACTTCAGAATCCAGAAGTTGTGGCCCTTCGAGGTGGACTAAACACCATCCTGAAAAATGTGATTGACTGCCAATTAAGTCGAATAAACGAAGCCCTCATTACCACAATTTTGCACCTCCTTAATCATCCAAAAACCCGACAGTATGTTCGTGTTGATGTAGAGCTAGAGGTAGGACCTTTAATATTTTCTAATTTTAAATGTATGCTCTTTCTTTAATAGATTATAGCACATTTATGATCAACCTGTATTAATTAAGGCTTTATTTAATCTCTCCCCCCCTTTTTTTTAACTGGCTCTAGGGTTTTAAATCTGGGCCAAGGCACTGTCCCTGAGATTTTGTGCTCAAGCTAGCTTCTACCACTTGAGCCACAGCTTTACTTCTGGCTCCTTGTTTTTTGGTGTGTGTGTGTATGGCTCCTTGTTTTTTGGTGTGTGTGATTAATTTAAGATAAGATTCTCATGGATTTTCTTGCTTTGGCTGGCTTCAAACTGCAATCCTCAGATGTCAGCCTCCTGAGTAGCTAGGATTAAAAATATGAACCACTGGCTCATACTCATTTTATAGCTCATTTAATTTGGAATGAATCAGAAATATTATCAGGAATATTTGATCAAAGCATTTGGTTTCAGCTGTAAAAATTTGCTGAGCAAATTAGAGGACCAGTAAGGTTACATCAAAATATTTACTTATTTAAGAATCCCGGTTGGCTGCCTGTGACTTATGCCTATAATCCTAGCTATTCAGGAGGCTGAGATCTGAGGATCATGGTTCAAAGCCAGTCTGGGCAGGAAAGTCCAGGATACTCTTATCTCCAATAAACAACCAGAAAACCGCAAGTGGTGCTGTGGCTCAAGTGGTAGAGTGCTAGCTTTGAGCTGAAGGAATAGTGCCCAGGCCCAGAGTTCAAGACTCATGACCACCACCAAAAAAAAAAAAAATCCCCTTTGTTTTTAAAGCCTTTAGTGTGTTTATCTGTGTCTCCTGCTAAATATATACTATTTATTTTAAATTCTACTAAAATTCTTTAACTTGGAAGCACTTTGTTACCATTCATGCTTAAAAATGTACACATATTTTAATGCGCTATTTGTAATTTTTTATTTTAGTAATTCATAAACACTTATACAATCTGTCAAAAGTAGTGATGCATAGTGTAGGTTAAGACTCAAATATATTCTTACAGTTTACTTTTATTAATGCATTACACTGTTGGCTGTTGCTGAAAATATTGAGAGTAACTTCAGATTTGTCATTTTAGAATGATTATACAAGAGATAAAATATGCATTACTGAATGTTGATAGTTGTGGTTTTATTAGGATTTGGTTTTGTTTTCTGAGATAGTCTTATTATTTGCAAATTGAGCTCCTGTGCTTGATCTGTCTTCCTGCCTCATCGTCCTAGGTAGCTAGAACTATAAGCATGAGCAGGCTCAGCTGTAAGACATGTTTTAGAAGATTTCACATTGTAAATTTGACAGTCTATGTAACTAACTATAACTGTGCTATAAGCACAGTACTCTCCTTTGTAGGTAATTTAAAACATATTGTTTATTGCATTTCTATGATAATAAACTGGTATTATTCTGGTATTATTGATATTTCATAATATGTTTAGCTTTTTTAAAAAATTGTTTAAATTTTAATTTTTATGCATTTTTTATTGTAAAAATACTGTACAAAGGGGTTACAGTTACATGAGCAAGGTAATGAGTACATTTCCTATCAAGCATTGTTACCTCCTCCTTTGTTTTTGTTTTTCCCCTACCATCCCATCCCTCCCACCTCCACTACTACACTTCTCCACCCCTCCCTCCCATGTTTAGCTTTTAAGGGGCGTTTTTGTTTTTTTTTCTCCTTTTTTTTTTTTTTTTTGGTTGGTGCTGGTCCTAGGTCTTGAACTCTTGGGCCTCATGCTCTTAGCTTTTTGCTCAAGACTGGTATGCTACCACTGGAGCCTTACCTCCACTTCCAACTTCCTGCTGGTTAGTTGCAGATAAAAGTCTCCAGTTTGTCCAGACTGCAACAATCATCAGATCTTAGCTTCCTGAGTAGCTGTGATGACAGGCTTGGGCTACTTACAGACTACCTTTTTTTTTTTTTAATCAAATAGAAAATTTATAGTACTAAAATTGGAGAAAGAACTGCAGTAACAAAAGATGATAGATAGAAGCTTTTTTATTATTTCTAGATATCTTGAAGCAGATGAGCAAAGGTTTTATAAAAGAAATCAAACCTCAAGATTATAGTACATTTTTAAGTACCCAGCTGTCTTTTCACTTAATCTTATTTTTTTAATTACATAATTCTTTTTTACCCTTAAAAAAAGGCAGTTTGAAAGAGTGCCCATTAGGCTGTACAGGTTAGGTTTAAATTTTTGCCTTATGACCTGTTGGCTTTATGCCCTTGGACCAGGTTAGTTAGTTTCTCTTGGACATCCTTCTTTTCCTAGGAGAAATGAAGGTCATAGTTTCAAGAAAATAATGAAGATTAAATGCCATAATAATAGTGATAGTAAGTAGCAGGGAGTGTTAATGTAAAGTGTTTAAGTAGTTCCAGGTGTTTTACCTGTTATTCAGTGTACATAAAATGTTTTGTCTGTGCCTTGCGTATTGAAAATGCTGAATAAATGCTGGTTGCCTTGGTGATTATTTATCATTATTTTCCATCTTTTCATTGTCATTATAGAATCTGCTATTAAGAGACTGTAGCCCTCATTTTAATTAATTTTTTGTCAATTTTGCTTTTATTCTAAATTAATACTTTTACTTCTCTAAACTATTCTCAGTGCTGTTAGACTTAAATCATTTTCCCATTAAAAATGAATGGATGTAATTAATATTTTTAATAGCTTTTTTTTGGGGGGGTGGTCGGGTTGTGGGGACTGAACTCTGGGCCTGGGCGCTGTCCCTCAGCTCTTCAGCTCAAGGCTAGCGCTCTACCACTTGAGCCACAGTGCCACTTCTGGCTTTTTTTTCTTTTTTCTTATGTGGCACTGAGGAATCGAACCCAGGGCCTCAGGCATGCAAGGCAAGCGCTCTACCACTGAGCCACCTTCCCAGCCCCATTTAATAGCTTTTTTAGTTTATTCTATGTTGATTTCTAGTGAATTTATACAGTTGCTATTATACATCAACTTTTTCTCATGGAACTACTTGATTATCAGATTGAAACTTCATATTGATTTCTTGCTGGCATCAGAAAATTTGGAAAAGCTTTTAGAAATTGTCTGGAGCTAAAAGGGCAAACTGAGTATTTTGTAGCTAGTTTTCTGTTGTTGACAGTAAATTCTCAAAGATGTATGAATGTGTAATTGAAATCTGTTTGAAATAAGAAATGTATCTTATAAAATTCCAATATCTCACTTCTTCATGAAGACTTGATAAGCTTTATTGAAAGAACTGGAAGAACATAATAAGCATACAGGCAAGCCAGGGGTATAGGAGTCTCCACAGTTAGAATAGGTGACTTAACTTGTCTGGTAAAGAAAAGATAAACCATCTTTGATTTAAAAAAAAAAAAAAACATAGTACCTTTTATAAATTAAAACAGTGGCCAGTGTTGTCAAAAGTTTCTTATCATACAAAAGAGATAATGATTTGAAATCCAAAAGAAATCCACATTTCACAGAAATACACTCAAGAAGTAATCCAGGTAGAAGATTTTTTTTTTGGTTGGTCGTGAGGCCTGAATTCTGGGCCAGTGCACTGTCTTCAGCTGGTTAGCTCAAGGCTCGCGCTCTACCACTTGAGCCACAGTGCCACCCAGCCTTTTCTGCTTATGTGGTGCTGAGGAATCGAACCCAGCGCCTAATGCATGCAAGCACTCTACCACTGAACCACCTTCCCAGCCCCAGAAAAAAGATTTTATAACAACTGTGGTTAATTCTTTATAACTATTGTGGTTAATCTGAATTCTGAATTCAGATTTCAGATAATTAAATTAGTTTGCACAAAGAGCTTTCCCTAGTAAATGAAGAGTAGGTCAATGGAAAATACCTGGGCAAAGCACAGAGAAAAAGAAGGAAACAGAAAGCATAATTGTAAAATTTGTAAAGAAGAGAAAATTGGCCAGAACAAACATCCAGGGAGATGATAACCAAAATTTTGTTTCTGAAATGAAGTTTTATATTTATAAAAACTTAAAAAATTCTAGATCAAAAAATTAAAAGAGAAGAAGATGCAGGAATATTACAACTGTTGAAATTAATGCCAATTTTAATTCTTAAGGGTAAAACAATCATTTCCAAGGATCATATTTGACAGCTAATTCCCCAACATATTGGAAATTAGTAGTAGCTGAGTGGCATCCCTACAGTGCCAACTATGTGCTGTTTAGGTACAAGTTAAACCTCATTTTAAAAGACCAGAAACATGCCAGGTGCCAATGGCTCACACCTGTAATCCTAGCTACTTAGGAGACTGAGATCTGATGATTAGGTTCAAAGCCAACCTGAGGAGGAAAGTTCCTGAAACTCGTCTCCAATTAATCACCAGAAAGCCAGAAGTGGCAATATGGCTCAAAGTGGTAGAGAGCAGGCTTTGAGCAAAGGAACTCAGGGACAGTGCTCAGGCTTTGAGTTCAAGCAACAACAACACAAACCAACAACAAAACATAAAAAAGTCCAAAAATTTAGGGTGGTTTTTTTTTGGTCAGTCGTGGGGCTTGAACTCTGGGCTTGGGTGCTGTTGCTCAGCTCTTCAGCTTAAGGCTAATGCTTTACCACTTGAGCCACAGCACTACTTTTGTTTTTTTCTGAGTGGTTTATTGGAGATGAGTGTCACAGACTTTTCCTGCCCGGGCTGGCTTTGCACCGCAATCCTCAGATCTCAGCCTCCTGTGTAGCTAGGATTAAAAGTGTGAGTCACCGGCATCTGGCTTAGTTTGTTTTTCTTTTAAAAAGGTACCCCACATTTCTTGATTACTTTGAAAAGAAGTCTCACAAATAGGAAATCCAATTAAAGATAGATAGAAATGGAATTTACTTTGGCTTATTACAAAAAGAATGTTTTTTATTAAAGACTCTTGTGCTTCTGTTTCTTTTTTTAAAAAAGCGAATTTTAGCACCCTATACCGATTTTCACTACAGACATAGTCCAGATACGGCCGAAGGACAGCTCAAGTAAGTACCACTGGTTCCTGATAATGAAGAAGTGATGTGTGTGTAATAGTAAAGTTTTTTTTTTTTTTTACTTGCTTGCATGTATAGTCAGAGAATGAGTTTAAGTAAAATATTAGCTTGTGGAATCATAGTGCATTTCCCTTGTTTACAATACTTTAAAAGAAAACTTGGGGAAATTATTATAAAGATTCATTTGTTACTAAAAAAAATCATCCAAGGTATAGATTGTAGTTGGAGGAACATAAATTAAGAGTTAACAAGATTCTATAAAATATTGAAGCTGGCCATAAATCATTCATCAAAACCTATAAACAGTTCTGTTGCTTAATTAGTTATTATATAGAAGAGAACAAAGTTGTATACAGAATTGTGAAGGAATGTAGTAACATGTAATGTTAGTAGTTCTTTAATATTTAATACTTTTTTAGTGAATAGATTATTGAATTTGCTTGTGGGGAAGGCTAAAATAAGTTTGAGGCAAGGATTTGAAATAGAGAGTATGGTGGTGTTAACAGGTTTATGTGATTTTCATTGTTGAGTAGCAGCCTTCTAATATATGCTAATTAAACAAACTGCTCTTCTCTCTAATGCTTAATTAAAGCCTATATAAGAATAGTTTTCAGAAATATCCAGGAACATACAGCTGCATAGAGAAAAGGAATTTAAGATTTATTGTGAGTCATGTTGTGAATTTTAAGTTGAGGTTATTTTGCGATAGGATATTGGAATATAACTGGTCTTATTTTTTTACAAATGGTTTTGATTTTGTGTATAAATGCTTACCGATTAATAACAATTTTTCTTCTAGTAGTATTAAAACCTCTGTTCTTTTTAAACATTGTACATCTTTGATACTTTATTTTCTCCTAACAGAGAAGATAGGGAAGCACGGTTTCTAGCCAGTAAAATGGGTATCATAGCAACATTCCGGTCATGGGCAGGTATGTTATTCCGTTCCATGATTTTTGTTTGTTTGTTTGTTTGCTGATGTTGTTGTCATTTTATGTCCTGGTACTGAGGTTTAAACTCAGGGACTTGGTGCTGTCCTGAGCTTTTTTTTTTTTTTTTTTTTTTGCTCAAAGCTAGCACTCTACCACTGGAACCACAGCTCCACTTCTGGCTTTTTAGAGGTAAAAGCTTCCTGGGCTGGCTTTGAACCATGATCTTCAGATCTCAGCATATTGAATAGTTAGAATTGCAGGCATGAGCTTCAGTGCTTGGCCTCCATGTTTTGTAGCATCTAAAAAGTAACTTTTTCAAATATTAAATTTATTATTACCTAATTTAAATATTAATCTAGTGTTTTTATATTACTAGAACCAAGGAAAATCATACAGTTATTAAAATATAGTGAAGAATAAGAAATAACTAGTATTCTTTTAGATATAATATTAAATACATACATTTATTAGCTATTTGTAAATACTGTGTTAATGATTATCTGGGCAATTTAAGAAAAAATTAAGCATTATCTATAACCCTCCTCCTTCCAAAAAAAATCCCTCCCAAAAACAAAATAAAAATCTAGTGTTGAATGTTTTATGGTCATATATGTAACTAAAAATTTGTTAATGAAAAATAGTGTGGTAATATAAGAAATACCAAATAAATTGAGTAGAGCTACTGTACCTTTTTCTTCTTTCTTTTTGCCATGATAAGGATCAAATCTGAGTCTTGTCCAGAAAGTGCTGTACAACTGAGGTACATTTGCAGCCACTAAGCTCCTTTTGAATGGGATTATATGTTTTATCTTATTATGGAGTAAAAAGCTAACATTTTTTATATAAAATAACACCTCTACTAATTGTTATTTTCTATTAGCATTTTTTTCTTCCTTATTGGCATCAAGAATAATTGAAGAGAACATGGGAAGGAATGTAGCTGTAAGTAGAACAAGGCAATTTTCTTGTTCTACGTACTGTGGTAACCCTAATGTACAAATACCTTTTCCTCACTAATGTTTATTCCACTCATAAACTTGGTCCTTAGCCAGTATGTTTCCAGGAACTTGCTTTCTCCTATTGGCATTATGGCAAAAGCCCTACCTTGCCATATTTCATAAGTACCTATTTTTTTTATCCTCACAGTAAAGAGGGGGTCTCTGATCACCCAACATCATTTTTTTTAATGTTTGTTTTTAATCCATTCTCTTGCTTTAATAAAATACTCAAGACTGGGTAATTTTTAGAGGTTTATTTAGTTCACAGTTGTAGAGGTGGAGAAGTCTGAGTATGGCATGGTGAGACAGAATAACTATGCTACCTTGGATCTCTCTCTTTCAAAGACTTCTGAAGTCTAAAGCTCCTCAACATAGAAATTGAGGGTTGAATTACTGAGAACATTACATCCTTCCATACTTTAGCCCTCCCTGCTCTTCAGAACTCAGTGTAACTTTGTTTTCTAAGTAATCACTTTACCATGGTTCATCTTACCTGCCATAAACGTGGTTTGTCTTTTCCAAAAGCTTCTGTCTTGCTTTAATCACCAGTATAGCCTAGCCACTATCTCATTCTTACTACTTCTATACACACTCTGTCTCTTTCCTCATCACTCACTGTGTCTTTTTTTTTTTTGGTTGTGGGGCTTGAACTCTGAGCCTGGATGCTGTCCCTCAGCTCTTCAGCTTAAGGCAATTGCTCTGCCACTTGAGCCACAGTGCCACTTCTGATTTTCTGGTGGTTAATTGGAGATACGAATCTTGTGGATTTTCCTGGATCCTCAGATCTGACACTCCTGAGTAGCTAGGATTACAGGCATGAGCCACCGGTGCCCGGGAGCCACCAGCACCTGGCACTCACTGTGTCTTTAATCCCAGCCAGTCTCTTTCTTTATTGCTCTTAGATCTTTTTTCCACATTACTTTCTCCTTGAACCTTTACATACCGAACCATCATTAGAAATGTTGGAGTCTTCCACTCTTGTATTGAAGTAATAGAAATACCAGCATATTAGACACTACAGTGGTGAAAGCATTTTTCTAACAACTTGTTTGTTCTAAATAATATTTAGATTTTTTGGTACTATTTATGAGTTAAATCTTGTGTGTGTGTGTGTTAAATCTTTTTGGGGTGTGTGTGTGTGTGTGTGTATCCTGAGGCTTGAACTCAGGGCCTGAGTATAGTCCCTGAGCTTTTTGCTCAAAGTTAATGCTCTACCACTTGAGCCACAGCTCCACTTCAACTCTTCGGTGGTTAATTGGAAATAAGAATCTTACAAACTTTCCTGCCTAGGCTGGTTTTGAAACATGATCCTCAGATAGCTCAGCCACCTGAGTAGCTAGGATTAATGTTATTTCTGTGATACGTTTTATATTTCTGTCATCGGTACACATAAATACCAGTTGCTCTGCATTCTTGAGTATTGAGTACTTTCGATTTGTTTATTGGCTATTTGCATGGCTTTCTTCAGACATGATTTTATATTTTCAGAACTCATTGACTTAGTTCTGTTACTTAAAATTTTTGATCTTTATTAACTTATTTGATGTCTGTTGCTTGCATTCTGTTTAGTCAATACATCTTAGAAATAAACATTTAAAAGACAAATTCTATACAGTTTTTCACTTTGGATTGAAGAGCATTAAACAAAGGAGAATAGACCATTGTCTTATTCTCTTCCATGATCTTAACTCCCACAGTAGTATGTATCAGTCAACTGGGTGCTTATCAATTTGTAGATATGAAAGAGAAACCAAAGGAATTTAAGTGATAAAATTATTTCTAATCAGAGGATTACTGAGAATGCTTAAAATGTATTTCACTTATAAATATCAATTACGGTAACCAGGTAGTATAACTTAACTTGGAAAAACATTACATATTTTACATTTTTCTAAAAAGTTCTTAATGATACTTATCTTTCAATTTTTTTTTAGGTATTATTAATTTATGCAAACCTGGAAACTCTGGGATCCAATCTCTAATTGGGGTACTTTGTATACCAAATATGGAAATAAGGGTAGGTAAAAGTTATTGTCATTCTTTAATTCCTGGATCTTTAACAGAGGAATTATTTAGAAAAATCATTTCAAATGAAGTTTTTGTTATTAGTTAATTTTTGTCATGGAACATGACATTGCTTAAACCTTGAGTTTCTTATAAATTTACTGCTGTGTATAATAACAATCAAAATTTGAACTGAAAATCTGAACGTAACTATGCTTTGCCCATTTAATGCAAGCAAGGCAGAAGGACATTCTCATTGTAAGAGGTTCAAGTTTTACAGAAATACATTTAGGAAAAGCTGTGGCTTCTAGTTTTTATTATGTTTCTATCTTTTTATGAATATTTTATTTTAAAGATGTTGGTTGAAGTTATTCCCTTTAAATTCTTTGTTTGTTTTAATTTTGTTCCTTCTTTTAGCCCTTTCTTTAATTGAACTAAACTTGTAGTTGGGAAATACTAGGAAATATTAGTCACGGTATGCCTTGCTTAAATGGGAAATAAAAGGCATTTGGATTATGAAAATGGAAAGATATGATTGCAAGTGGAAAGATCTCTTGCATAGAGAACTAAAGGCTTTGACAATTCAGTTGACTTTTTTAAAAAGTTAAATGATGCATGTAGTAAGTATTCAGTAATTTTCCTTTTTTATTAGAAGCATGCCACATAATTTTTCAAAACATTGAAAGTTGTGTTTATACCACTTTAAATAAGATATTTTAAGTCTTTAAATAAAGATTTATTTCATAGAAATAAGTTAACTATTTGTTTGCTGTTGTAGCGAGGTCTGCTTGAAGTTCTTTATGACATATTTCGTCTTCCTCTACCTGTTGTAACAGAGGAGTTCATAGAGGCATTGCTCAGTGTAGGTAAGTTTTGAAGTATTTTTGTACCTATTATTATAATTTTTAAGGTTACTTATCTAGTGTAAACACAGCTCTAAAGAACAATATTTAATGTAATTTTTTACTTCATCAGCATGGCTTGAAATAAAACATGATAATAAAATGTCATATTCCTAGGAGTTTTAAGTTTCTTTCTTAAATCAACCTAGTTTAGAAATAAGCTATGAAATTAATAGGAAAATGGATCAAGAAAGTAAGAGAGGAGACAGCAAGAAACCTGGATTGTTTTCCCTTTTTTTTCTTTCCCCAGCCCTTTTGTTTTTTGGAGGTTGAACCAGGTACTAATCCACTTGGCCACATACCCTAAACCTTTTCCTTTAGATGTTTTTCAAATAGGGTCTTGCTGTTAATAGCCAAGTTTTGCCTGGAAGGCAGTCCTTTTATTTATGCTTCCTATGTAGCTGGGGATGGCAGGCAAGCACATGTCACCATACCTAGTTTTTTTTATTGGTTGTGACAAACCCAGTTTAGTAATTCTTATGTTACCCAATTAATTGTTCTCTTAATTTAGTCAAAAGACTGCTCTAAGTCCCAAAACGAAGGAAATTAGATCTGTGTGCATTTATATAGCTATTTTTCTTTTTTTTGCCTTGAACTAAAGGCCTCACACTGTCCCTGAGCCTCTTTTGCTCAAGGCTAGCACTCTACCATTTGAGCCACAGTGCCACTTCTGGCTTTTTCTGTTTATGTGATGCTGGGGAATCGAATCCAGCGCTTCATGCATGCTAGGCAAGCACTCTACCACTAAGCCACATTCCCAGCTCTAAATAGCTTTTTTTAAGTGTATTGTTCTTTAAGCCAAAGAACCTTTTGAAGTTCTTTATTAGCCACACTTATCTTTTTCAGTGTTACCTAATTGTCTTTGTAACCCCTTGGTCTTTCATTATAGATCCAGGAAGATTCCAAGACAGTTGGAGGCTTTCAGATGGCTTTGTAGCAGCTGAGGCAAAAACTATTCTCCCTCATCGTGCCAGATCCAGGTAGCATTGAAATACAAACATTTAATTTGTCAATACTGCTTTTATATTAAACTGTGTACTATATGGAACATTGTTTAAGTTATTTCTGTGCTGTGTTTATTTCCAGACCAGACCTCATGGATAATTATTTGGCACTGATACTTTCTGCATTTATCCGCAATGGACTTTTAGAGGTAACAATTATAAACCTCATTTTATTTTGTCCTTTCTACGTGGACTAAAAAATTCAAAGGGAAAAGCACAAGTAATGCATAAATGTATACACGTAAATAATTTTGTGTATGCATATACATTATGCACACACACACACACATATATATATGTATATATACACACATATTTTTGTTTTTATAGGGTTTGGTTGAAGTGATAACGAACAGTGATGACCAAATCTCAGTTAGAGCTACCATACTTTTAGGAGAGCTTCTACATATGGTAAGTATTTCAACTTCAGATCATCTGTTTCATACTTGAATGCTTTAGTTAGTAAAGCAGGCTAATTTAATATTCTTGCTTTATTTTACCCCCCCCCCCAAATAAAATAAATTTGTATTTTTTGGTGGTAGAGATTGAACTCAAAGCCTTGGACTTTCGTTAGACAGGTGCTCTACCACTTGGGCTATGCCTCTAGCCCCTTTTCCCATTGATTTATCTTAAAGTATGTCTCATTTGATACTTAGGCCAGCCTGGACTATGATCCTCCTACTGGTATGTCCCTATGTCATTGGAGATGACATGTGCATGCCATAGCACCCAGCCTTTAGTGGAGATGGAATCTCTCTTGAGACAAGTCCAAATGTTTTTGCCTAGGCTGGTCTTGAAACATGATTCCCCGGATCCTCACCTCCCATGTAGCTAGAATTATAGGTTTAAGCAACCAAGCTTACTAAATTTGCATTTTTAATAGTGTTTATCTTTGCATTACAAAAATCCTTTGGTGCTTTTATTATGAGATGTATATATACATGCATCTAGTTTTGTAAATTAGTAAGGTACTCAGTACTGAATGTCAATCTCTTTTTTATGGTGTTGAGCTTGAACTTAATGTCTTGCCACTTGCTAGACAAGCTCTCTACTTTTTCTTGTTTTGCTTTAATTATTTTTTTGGATAGGGTTTCATAATCTTCCCCTCCTGAGCTGCACTCTGTTACTCTCCAACCACTAGCAGCACTTGGGTTATGTATGTGAGTGAGATAATGGAATAGAGCAAGGTGTTAACAGTTTTCTTCTTTTTAATGTATTGAACAGCCACTTGCTCTGTTCTTCAACCCATATATGAAAGAATAAGTCATTTTACAGGTTCTTGGGTTTGATTATATGTATTTTGTGTATTTTTTTCCTCTCATGACAGTGTAGAGTTTGAACTCAGGACTCTTATCTCCAATAAAGGCTAAGGGGACAGTCTCCAGCCCTAAGTTTAAGCTCCAGTACTGACATGTGGACACCACACACACACACACACGCGCGCGCGCGCGCGCGCGTGCACACGTGCACGCACACACACACACCTATTTCCTATAAGGATACCAATTATCAATATCTTGGGGTTTTTGTTGTTGTTGTTTTGTCTTGCTTTTAGTATGAAGGAATCACTTTTTGCATAAACCCATAACTCTGTGCTCTGGAAATATAAATCTGACCAACTTTAAGCATAGTGCCATTAGTTAATTACTTATTCCTATATCTACTCTTTTGTGATTAGTATGTTTATTGCTTGAAAGCTGACTGCATGGTAAGATTTTGGTTGGAAAACAAGAGTTAATAAGTTTTGTGTTTTTTTTTAGAGATAGTTGGGATATGATATATACTTGAGAGACTGATTATCAAGACTGCATGTATCAGCTTATATGTTTCAATATTGCATCTAGAATTTTTTTTTTTTTGGTCAGTTGTGGGGTTTGAACTCTGAGCCAGGATGCTGTCCCTTAGTTCTTCAGCTTAAGGCGAGTGTTCTACCACTTGAGCCACAGCACCACTTGCTATTTTCTGGTGGTTAATTGGAGATCAGAGTCTCATGGACATTCCTGTCCAGGCTGGCTTTAAATTGTGATCCTCAGATCTTAGCCTCCTGAGTAGCTAGGGTTATAGGCATGAGCCATCAGTGTCCAACTGCATCTAGAATTTTAAGTGATATTTTTATACATAATCCTTTCAGGTCTGTCAAAAATTGAGTTTGCTAGAGTTCTACGTAGAAACATTCAATATTTAACATAGGATCTGTGAAAATCTGTGACCTTATTAATGTATATTTATATGCTTATATTTGTTATATCTCATTTTTATTTACAATATATGAAAATTGTATATAGTGAGGAAAATAACTCATTATGTTAATTTTATGTAATCTTGAGCATACTTGTATTAATCTACTAAGATCTCACAAAATGTTGTGTTTTATTTTAGGCAAACACAATTCTTCCTCATTCACATAGCCATCATTTGCATTGCTTGCCAACCCTAATGAATATGGCTGCATCCTTTGATATCCCTAAGGAAAAGAGACTGTAAGTAACAGAGCTCTGCAGCATCTTAGGATGCTTACATTTTAATATCACTGGGGTTACTTTCTCTTCTTTCTTTTAGGAAAGAAAGGTAGGTAGGTTTTGCTTGGAAATTCTTCAAGAAGTCTTATAGATAAGAAGAAACAATAATCAAAGTTGTTTTTTTTTTCCTTTTTGTTTTGGTTGGTGGTGGGGCTTGAGCTCTGGGCCTGGGTGCTGTCCCTGAGTTCTTAGCTCAAGGCCACTTGAGCCACAGCGCCACTTCCGGCCTTTTCTTTTTTTGTGGTATTGAGGAATCGAACCCAGGGCCTCATGCATGCGAGGCAAGCACTCTACCACTGAGCCACCTTCCTAGCCCTCAAAGTGTTTTATTTGTATGTTAAGATACAAAATATTAGTAGAGTGACTAAAGAAGTTTTTTTCCAGTGTGTTTCTGAACAGAGTCATTTGATTTATCATGTGTTTAAAAATGTTTGAGAGTTTTTGGATTTTTTTTTGTTTAAAGCAACAATGTAGACTTTTTAAAAAATGTCTGTAAATTATTTCAAATTTTCAACATCCACATACTACTAACTCATTCCTTTCCTTGTATGGTTCAGATTGTTGGACTTTTAGAACTCGTACTGGAGAAACTATAAACTGTTCCTTTCTTCTTTTCCCTGTCCCCCTCTCTTCCTCCCTTTCCCCCTTCCCCTTCACTTTTCCCCTTCTCTTTTCTTGTTGATAGTGGAGTTAGAACTCGGGGTCTTTTACTTGCTAGGCAGGCACTCTACCAGTTGAATCCTTTGGTTTTTCAGGCAGGGTTTCTTAGTTTTGCTGGGTATCAGACTTGGTCCACTACCTTCCCATATAGCTGGGGTCACAGGCACTATTTCTGATCTTTTTTCTTTGTGCTTCCAGATTTAACCACATAGTTTATCTTTTTGTTTTCTTCAAATAGTTATATAAAGAGATTTAATTGAACATGTCAATTTATGTTAGATCAGAGTCACCTTCCATCATTTTCCCTGGCCCCCATATATTCCATTCTCATCTTCTCAAGTTTCCTAATTCTGTTTGTACACTAAGTATTATAACTCTTCATTTGTCCACTTCCTTCCTTTTAATTCCCACTCCTCTCATTCAAGACATGTTTTAGCTTTCTGGTATTCAGCTTTTTGACTTGTATGATAGTTAATTGCTCAAGAGTTTACCTCTTTCTATACAGTACTCTCTGTCCTTGAATTGCTATTTTAATAATTTATCTGTTATCACTTTAAATTATGCTACTTTTGCTATTGTATATATTTTTTTCCTTATTAGAAGAGCCAGTGCAGCACTAAACTGTTTGAAACGCTTCCATGAAATGAAAAAACGAGGACCCAAGCCTTATAGCCTTCATTTAGATCACATTATTCAGAAAGCAATGGCAACACACCAGAAACGAGATCACTATCTTCGAGTCCAGAAAGATATATTTGTTCTTAAGGTACACTCATGATTTTTACTATATACAGTTTCCTCATTCTTCAACACTGGATTTTAGTCTATACATCTGAGCTTTGTAGTTTGTTCATGCCTGTGGATTTTTCATTTGTGTTCTTGTGTTTACAGTGGACAGGTAGTTTAGAGCCAGGTTTTTATTACTTTATTTTTTCTCCCAAGGCAATGTCATTTATTGTTACTATTTTTTTTTTTTTTTTGCAGGTAGGTTTTGTTATAGTGGCACAGAACACATGGGTTTGGTTGTTACATTTATAGTGTATGTATGCATAGAGGGAATGGCCTTTTCATTCTAAGGACGTAAAATATGTGTAAACTAAAAAGCATGAGTAACGCCTAATACATCATACCAAATTCCTGATCAGTGGAAGACCTCTAGGCAGCATTTTTTTTCAAGTCTGATCTGGTATAGTATGGTTTCTGTCCAGCTTTGAAGCAAGGGATAGATGCATTGGATACTGAATCTGGAACTGATTGCACATACATGTTACCTGGTACCCCAGGGGACAACAGGACGTCTCAGAAATCCATTCATTTTCTGTTGCTTTTGGCAATGCACAGAACATTCTGGAAGCTCTTCCTTCTGAAAGTTGGTTCAAACCTTCAAATAGCACCAAGTGCTTTTGAGCTTTGGAGAGCTAGTATCCTGTGCTTCTTGTGCTAGTTCAGCTCCCATGGTCCACAGTGGCATGGCAGGGGCCCCTGCCACTCTTGGTCCAACCTGGAGGATAAAGAACTCTACCTCAGAGCCCTTGAAGCATCAGGGCAAAGGCACCAAATGAGTATTTCTGGTGGAGAATGACAGTAGTGGGTAGAGAGGTACATGCAAATGCCTTAATACCTTTTAAAATTAAGACTTTTTATAATCTGTCCATAAAGGAAATGTCTTTTCATTTTTAAAATTTGGATTTAGTCGTCTATGTGAGGATAGTTTACCTTGTCTTATTTGCTGTCTGGTGATTTTAGGATACAGAAGAAGCCCTTCTAATGAACCTTCGGGATAGCCAAGTCCTGCAGCACAAAGAGAATCTTGAGTGGAATTGGAATCTTATAGGGACCATTCTTAAGGTGTTGCAAATGACTTTATTATGATGGCTTGTTTTCATTTTTTTATAATTTATTACAGTCCTGTGCTTAGGAGTTGATAAATATATTTATATATAATATATTATGTTTTTCTAGTGGCCAAATATAAATCTAAGAAACTATAAAGATGAACAATTACACAGGTATGTAAAAACTATTGTGCATTTTAAGTTAAAGAATTTAGATTTAGAGCATGTCTAATGCCTGCTGAAAATAATAATTGACATTTTAAAGCAACATGTGCACATTTAGTCAATTAATATTCAGTAGGTATATAAATATGTAAGTATAGTCAACATTTGCTAATTACTTTCTGATCATAAACATTTTGCTTTTAGTTTTGGGTCAGAGTCATTGAGATAAAATTTTTTAAACTGGGGTATGAATCAGTTTTGTAGATGTCTTAATCCTTACTGTATGAGGATGACAATCATAAGGATATACTTTTTTTTTTTTTTTTTTTTTTTGCCTGTGGTGGGGCTTGAACTCTGGGCTTGTGCACTGTCCCTGTGTTCTTCAGCTCAAGGCAAGTGTTATACCACTTGAGCCACAGCACCACTTCTGGTTTTCAGGTGGTTAATTGGAGATAAGAGTCTCACAGACTTTCCTGCCCAAGCTGGCTTTGAACTGCAATCCCCAGATCTCAGTCTCCTTTATAGCTAGGATATAGACATGAGCCACTGGTGCCCAGCAGGATATACATTTTAAATGTGCAACTTTTGTACATCATTCACATCTGAATTTGAAAAGATACCATTTTTAGTTCCTCTTAATACTCTCCTTGACCACTATATAAAACATGATTAATGTTCATAGCATATAGAACACTTCAACTGTGCTCCTTCTTGAGTGCACCCAGGATGTTTTACTCCTGAGTGGCAACTAGCCAATTACCTGTACTCATATCGTTGATTAAGGCAGCTTTACCTTTTTTTTAAAGACTTTATTGTTATTGTAGAGGTGATATTTAGAGAGGTTATAGTTACTTGAGTCAGATAATGAATGCAGTTCTTCCCTTGCTCTCTCCTAGTTTTTCCCTCCCATCCACACCCACAGGATGTATAGTTCATTTTTCATATAGTGTCTAGTGAGTACCCCTGTTGTATTTGTTTACCCTTTGTCCCACCATTTCTCTGCCCCTCTTACCCTCCCAAACTAACAAAAACAAGACAAATGGAAAAGACAACAAAAATAGCAACCCAAAAAATCCTTGTTTCCTTTTCTTGGATTTCATTTCATAAGATAGTACTTTATTTGGTCATAGGCACATAGCTACTGAGCCTATGTGATTCGCTCCTGTGCTCCTCCTTTGGTCTCACTGTGTGAATGTCTGGAGACCCTTATAATTTATCATGTACCAGTGTGTTTTTTTTTATATCATTCAATGTGTATACTTGTAGATCTATAAGCACATTCTAGTTACCACAAATGAGGGAAGCCATGCAACCTACGTTTCTTTGGATCTGACTTATTTCACTTAATGTAATTTTTTTCAAGTCTTTCCCTTTTTTTTTTGGGTCCAGTTGTGGGGCCTGAACTCTGGGCCTGGGCACTGTCCCTCAGCTCTTCAGCTCAAGGCTAACACTCTATCACTTGAGCCAGAGTGCCACTTCCAGCTTTTTTTTTTTTCTTACGTGGTGCTGAGGAATCAAACCCAGGGCCTCGAGCATGCAAGGCAAGTGCTCTACCATTGAGCCACCTTCCCAGCCCATGTCTTTCCATTTTTTTACAAATGGGGCAATATCATTTTTTTTCTGATGGAAGTGTAGAATTTCATTGTGTATATATAGCACATTTTCTTGATCCATTCATCCACCGAGGGGCGAGGGGCATCTAGGTTGATTCTACATCTTGGCTATGGTAAACAGTGCTACAGTGAACATGGCTGTGCTGATGGCTTTAGTGTGGTAGTGTTTGTGTTCTATTGGATAAATGCCCAAGTTGCTGGGTCATACTTAGAAGCTCTATATTTAGTCATTTGAAGCATCTCCATACTGCTTTCCAGATTGGTTAAACAAGTTTACATTTCCACCAGCAGTATAGCGTCATCCCTGCCAACATCTGTTATTAGTTTTCTTGATAATGGCCATTCTAACTGGGTAAGGTGGAATCTCAGTGCTGTTTTGATTTGCATTTTCTTTATGGGCAGAGATTGTGAACATTTCCTCATGTGTCCATTGGCATTTCTTTATTTCTTCTTAGAAGTCTATAAGTTTGTAGCCCATTTATTAATTGGGTTGTTGAGTTTTTGAAGGTTAATTTTAAGGTGGGGGTTAGTTTTTTGAGCTCTAAGTATATTTTAGAGATGAGGCCCTTGTCTGATGTATATCAGGTAAAAATCTTTTACCATTCTGTGTTTTGTCTATTTACCTGTTAGTCATGTCTTTTGCCGTGCAGAAGTGCTTCAGTTTGATGCAATTCCATTAATCCATTCTTTCTTTGATTTGTTGTGATTCTGAATCTTTCTTAGGAAATTTCTACCTGTGCCCTAGTGTTTTCGCTAACCCTTGCTGTAATATTTTCATACTATCTGGCCTTTTACATTGAGTTCTTTGATTCATTTAGAATTGATTCTGGTGCAGGGTGATGCATGAGGATCTAACTTCAGTTTTCTGCATGTGGATAACCAATTTTTCCAGCACCATTTGTTGAAGAGGCAAGACAGCCTTATTTTATGTTGATCCCATTAGCATTATTTTTGTTCATCTTTCATGATATTCAGCATAACATACGTATTAAATTTTGAGGAATATATGTAACATAAAATATTACACTGAAATAAAGATGCTTTTAGGTACTAGTTCTTTATGTTCCTTAAGAACAGAGATGATGTCCTAACTCCTCCTGTATTAGATTAGATTGTAGTACATGAAGTTAAATTGAACTAAGTTAAATTGATGATTGGCACACAACATTGAAAGTTGCTGAAATAATATAAATTACGTTCATAAATTCATTTATAAGGGCTTTCTTCACATTTGCTCACCTCTATAGTCTAGATATCTTTTTTTATCGACCAGTAATTTTCTTCTCTGCTATTTCTTTTAAACATCTTACTGAAAAATTCTTATTCCGTGAAATGTTCCTAAAGTTTTCTTTAATGGTACAAATGAATGTGTTTATTATGTCTCTTGCCATTTACCCCCAATGGATGAGATCCAAAATATATTTTTCAAAAACTTGTTATGTCCTAACACAGTAGTCAGAGTTCTTTAATAATTGTTTAGCTTCTCACTTGGTTGACAATTTTATTTGGTCTTAGGTTTGTACGAAGGCTTCTTTATTTTTACAAACCTAGCAGTAAATTATATGCCAATCTGGATCTCGATTTTGCCAAGTCCAAGCAGCTCACAGTTGTTGGTTGCCAGTTTACAGAATTTCTTCTTGAGTCTGAAGAGGTAAGCCCTCATTTCACAGCAAAAATTTTTTAATAGAATTTACTACCTACCTCCTTTCGTCTTTCACTACCTCTGTTTTACTTTTATATCTAAATAGGCATAACCTTTATTTAGAAACATAAGAAGTGAGTTGAGACTTAGATATCAATTTAGCTAATTATAAGAACCTATGTGCTATGGTCTGCTCTTCTGTAAGATAGTATTGTGTTAAATGGGATTGTAAATAACAGATACTCGGAGAGTAATATATATTATTAGTAATTCATCAGCATTAATTATTTTCTATCTGATTATAAAGTTGATTTTTCTAATTATAGGACGGGCAAGGGTACTTAGAAGATCTAGTGAAAGATATTGTTCAGTGGCTCAATGCCTCATCTGGAATGAAACCTGAAAGGAGTCTTCAAAATAATGGTTTATTGACCACCCTCAGTCAACACTACTTTTTATTTATTGGAACACTTTCTTGCCACCCTCATGGAGTCAAAATGCTGGAAAAATGCAGTGTATTTCAGTGGTGAGCATCTCTAGTTTCTGTGCAGTATGACCCTAAACTTTATTGTTTGTCTTGGCAGGCTGACCTCTTTTATTTTTAATTCAGTGAAATAACTAGTATTTTTTTTTTTACTTGTTATACATGAGTTTGGAAAGTTTTACTTTTCAGAAGATCACTATTGTCTTTGATGCTTTGACATTACGTATTTTTCATTACTTTATTTCAGAAATGTGTTTTTATATTAGGTGTTTAAAGTCTGTTGTTGGCACAAACAACACACAAAATGATAACTGTGTAGTGATGAATATGCTAATTGTGATCATTTTTTTGAGATTGCTCTCTCCCTCTCTATATACATATGTAGATGTATCTGTATTCCCCCCCCTTCTCTATGTCTGTCTGTATCCTTTTCTGTCTCTTTATATATATTAATATGTGTGTATGTGTGTGTGAGAGAGAGAGAGAGAGAAAGAGAGTGAATCAGGTTGTTTACCTTAGATATATTTATTCTTTAATTTGTGGTATATCTCAATAAAGCTGGAAAAATATTTGTTGAATTAATGTTTTAATAAGCTTAATCTTTCTTTTTATCTTTACATTTTAGTCTTCTTAATCTTTGCTCCTTGAAAAACCAAGACCATTTACTAAAACTGACTGTTTCAAGTTTAGACTATAGCAGAGATGGATTAGCTAGAGTCATACTTTCGAAAATCCTGACAGCAGCTACTGATGTGAGTAAAACACAGACAATAAAACTATATTTTAAATAACTATTTAGCTTAATACTGTATAGATTTGGGCCTAAATAAAACTAAAACCTCCATTGGTAAAGGTAGAAATTGGGAATATTATAAAATGTTAGGAGAAATTATGACTTCATTGTACCCATATATATGTATATATTGGTCTTACTGAGTTTTAAACTCATGGCCTTATACTTGCCAAGCAGGTCCTATTTTACTATTTGAACCACAACCTCATCCTTTTTAGCTTCAGTTATTTCTCAGATAAGACTTTTTTATCTGCTTTTTGTCTGAGCCAGCCTTGGACCACAGCCTTTCTCACAGCGCCTCCCACATAGCTGGAATTTCAGGCATGTGCCACTGTACCCTGCTTGTTTATTCAGATGGAGTTTGTCTATCTTTTGTCTGGACTATGAACTAGAGTACCCTAATCTCTGCCTCCCACGTAGCTGAAATCATAGGAAAAAGCTACTGTGCCCATCCAGTGCGCAAATTTTTTTAGGAACAGAATGAAACGGCTTCATAAAAAGGGATATTTATATTAAGTACTAAACTATCACTTTTACCCTTTCTGTTTTTTCCAAAGACTTGCCAAAAAAAAATTAAATAGGCTAATCATAGTGAAGTTACTTTTTTCTAATGTTCATTTACGTTTATAGGCTTGTAGGCTGTATGCAACAAAACATTTAAGAGTATTATTGAGAGCTAATGTTGAGTTCTTCAATAATTGGGGAATTGAGTTACTCGTGACTCAGCTACATGATAAGAACAAAACAATTTCCTCTGAAGCTTTGGATATCCTTGATGAAGCTTGTGAAGACAAGGTAAAGTTTCAAGTTTTTTAGTTTTTTTTTATAGTGAAATACTTACACTACATTTCTGTTAAGATATTAAATTGACAGGAAAGTATAATTATATAACATCAATGTTTTGGAAAAGGTACTAGATGCAGTTATTAATTTGTTTAATATTCACCTATTTTAGGCCAATCTTCATGCTCTTATTCAGATGAAGCCAGCTTTGTCCCACCTTGGAGATAAGGGTTTACTTCTCCTCTTGAGGTAAACTTTAAGTAAATTCTCCTGTGATTGTATTTTCTGTTACATTTTTTCTGATAGTATAACATTAAAGCTAGATTACAATGCAAACTGGAAGCATTCTGAAAGAATTTTACCATGTAACTTCAGGTACAAATCTATTGTACAAAATTTAATAATCTTCTGTTCACTGGTTTCCTTAATAGGTGCATGTGTGTATGTCTGATTAACATTTCTTTGTTTTACGCTATATTCTTTACTTCAACTAGTTAGGTTCATATGTTTTTGTGAAAATGTATCTTCAGTTGAAATTTTAGTGATAGTTGAATGTTTTGTTTTGGAGGGAAACTGTTCCTAAAGTCTTCACTTTTACATATGTCACCCATGTATTTTGAGTTATTTTATCTCTTCATACATTTCTTGTCATTCTTAATATTAAATTGTAGGTGTTTTAATTTGCAGATTTCTCTCCATTCCAAAAGGGTTTTCCTACCTGAATGAAAGGGGTTATGTAGCAAAACAACTGGAAAAGTGGCACAAGGTAAATTCTAATTGAATAAGTTTTAATTTATAATGTCTTCATGGGGAAACATAGTTACAGTGTTTTTTTTTTTGTGTGTGTGTGTCACCTATGTTTTAAAACTACTGAATTTAAATATGTATCTATCAATATGAAATAAAATCTTAAATTCTATGTAATTCCCTACATATTAATACTTGGTCCATTTTAAAGCTGCAGTATTTATTTTACAGTGAACTTGATTTTGTGTAAATTCTATTGAAATTTTACTTTAACCCCAATTGATTTTAATATTTTAATTATATGTTTTGTTGACACTCTTAACCATAATTACTGATCCTTTATAAGATTATAATTTCACACAGGTCTTTTGATGCAAGAACAAAGATCAAAGCAGTTCTATTTAAACAGATATATTCCTGCAGTTAAGCTTTATCTAAGGATGCTACTTTACATAAACCTGAAAGTTAACACTTGAAGGCATACATCTGTGTAGATCATTGAAACTTTAGGCCTGTGAAGAAAGCTATATTCCAGTATAGCTAAGACTAGAATAAAAATGGATGACAAAGCAAATAATGTATAATAGACCTACTTTGTAGAGGATTTGTAAGACCCATAGTATGATGCTAAAAGATTCAGTTAATTTCCTTTTTATAAGAGTCTCATATAAAGAAATTAATTTTTTTATTATCTTTAAGTAGTTGTACAGAGGAGGTACCACATAACAAAGCAGTATAACTACAGTGTATCCTGAATCAGTGTCACCCCTTTCAACATTCTTACTCCTAGGGAAGGGGGTGAAAGACTTTGAAGAAGATGAAATAAAAATTTTTACTTAATTAATTGGGCCTAAAATGTTAATAAAAGGGAGATATATCCAGACTATCATATCATTGCTTCTGAATATAGTGGAATATTTGCATTCATAAAATTTCTTTATATTTTCCAAAATTTATTTCTGAACATGTTCTCTTCATTTTTTCCATATTTATACTTCTAAGGGTTGGGAAGTCTTGGCATAAATTTGATGAATGCATGACACTGTATAACCAAAGAAATATTATTTTCTAGGAATATAATTCCAAATATGTTGACTTAATTGAGGAACAACTTAATGAAGCACTTACTACTTATCGGAAGCCTATTGATGGTGATAACTATGTCCGTCGCAGTAACCAAAGGTATAGTCCAGTTAATGGAAGAAATATTTAATAATCTTCTATATTCTCTTTTATCTACTAACACAGCAAAAATCTTTACATAGCATTGATTGCTCAGAAATTTCATTGGCATACATACATGCTGAATACACTTACTAAAACAGAATTTAGGTGTATCTGTGTTTTCTCACCTTGGCTTACTATTCTAGCCTCAGCTTTTCTACTAGTACTTTGAAACTTGATAAACTATCATCTTTCCAGAAAAGTCTGCATGCCTTCTTACCTCCATTTTTTTTTAATGTTGGGAAATGTATAATTTCATTTATTTAATACATTAATAGCTATTTGTTTAAATTAGTACGTTTATTTAATTAGATCTTTGTTACTTTATTATACCAGATTACAGCGTCCTCATGTTTACCTTCCTGTACATCTTTATGGACAACTGGTACACCACAAAACTGGCTGCCATTTATTGGAAGTACAGGTAATCATCGTTCTCTTATTTTAAATCCTGATGGTAATTCACAACGTTAATGTTGTTAAATATATATTTGCAGAAACTTATCATACACTATAAACTCAGTGGCATAGTTTGTTTTTTTTCGTTTGACAGCATTGATGATTTTGAGCTCAGATTCCTATACTTGCCAGTGAGGCTTATCTACCACTTAAGACACACCCCTAGCCCATTTTGATGCTTTTCATTAGTTTTCAAATAGGGCCTCTCATTTTTGCCTGAAGTTGGCCTTTGACTATGATCCTTTGACTTATACTTTCCCACAGCTAAGATTATAATGTGTCCTACCATGCTTAGCTTTTTTGTTGAGATGGGGTCTCATTAACTTTTTTACTATAACTGGCCTTGATCCATGATCCTTCTGGCTTCCACCTTCCATAATTACTTTAAATTCAGCTATCATATAGTTGACTTAAGTATTCTGTTTGTAATCTTCAGACATTATTACTTGTTTATTGTATTTTCCTGACTTGTGTGAGACCTTTTTGAATAATTAGATTTTTTTGTAGAGTAAGCAACCCAGTAAAAATCTGAGTTCTTTCCTTTACAGTTTGTTGTAAAAATTAAAATCTCCATACATACTGAGAAACTTAATTTGTTTCCTTCTTTCATTGGATAATTAAACTAAACCTAGTATAGCTTTTGTCATCCCCAGGAAACAACAAAATGAAACTTGTATGCTATTCTGAATTTCATAGATTACCTCTGCCCCCGCTTCCTTCCCCCTGCAAAGCAGTAGTGCTATACCACTTAAGCTATGCCCCTAGCTCTCATATACTTTATGAAATGTAAAGGACATAGACATGCAGTTGTTCATTGAATAAAATATGCACATAAAATAGGTACATTTAAATTCTGACTCAGGTTTTCTTTCTTTATTTTTTTTTTGGTCAGTTGTGGGGCTTGAACTTGGCCTGGGAGCTGTCACTTAGCTCTTCAGTGCCACTTTTCTTGTGTTTTATTGGAGATAAGAGTCTCACGGACTTTCCTGCCCAGGCTGGCTTTGAACCATAATCCTCAGATCTTAGCCTCCTGAGTAGCTAGTATTACAGGCGTGAGCCATCAGTGCCCAGCTCAGTTTTTCTTTTAGGTCGGTGTTTTAGTAAATATAACCTATGTCTAATTCAAGAAATAAATATTTAGGGTATGGGTCAAGTATCCAAGCACCTACTTAGTAATTGAAGGTCTGAGTTTAGCCCCCTCAATACTGCCAGAAGCAAAACATAAAAATAATTATAGAAATGATGTGTGTGTATAATATTTATCTAGCAATTTAGTCCTGTTTTGGTTTCTGTTTGTTTGAGACTGACAGGTCTTTCTGTGTAACAGCTTACCTACCCCTAACTGCCCTGACATGGCCTGTCTCTATTTACGTCACAATTAATCACAGGAGCCCAGAATTTTGGTTTTTTTTTTGGGGGGGGGGGGGGTTGGTTATAGGGCCAGAACTCTGGGCCTGGGTGCCGTCCCTTAGATCTACCACTAGAGCCACGACGCCACTTCTGCTTATGTGGTGCTGAGGAATTGAACCTAGGGCTTTATGCATGCAAGGCAAGCACTCTACCACTAAGCCACCTTCTCAGCCCAGGAGCCCAGAGTTTTGCATAAATATTCTTTGTAGCTTCATGTAACGTGTTCTTTCGTTACGTCTGTGAAGACTGTCAAGGACATAAAATGAATCCAAATTTAAATGAATTTCTCAGTGTCACTACTGAGCAATTCAGTCATACTGTTGTACTGTGTTGAAGTCCAAAATCCTGGCCATTTAGCTCAGTTGGTTAGAGCATAGTGCTAAATCCAAGTATTATTTTCTATTTACTTTGAACACTAAGTACCTTGTCTAGCACTTTATGGTTAATTATTAAATGATGCAAACTTTATGAGTCTGGTGCTATTATTATCCCTACTAGGGAAATTAGGTTAGCTACCTTTGGGGAAAGTTAAATAGCTTTTTCAAGACCAGACTTAGTATTAATGATAAATCTGTAACATGAGCTTGAACCTATACACGAACAATATGGGCTTCTAAGAAATTTTACATATTTTCTGTAGAAGTTTAAATATGTAAAAATGCCTAAAAGTAAATCTTAAACAGGTTTAATGATACAGTAAGACAATACATTAAAAGCATAATATATTGTTACTTACATAATTTTTTTTCTTTTGCCAGAATATTGTTACAGAACTCTGTTACAACGTCCGTACACCAGATTTGGATAAATGGGAAGAAATTAAAAAACTGAAAGCTTCTCTTTGGGCCTTGGTTTGTAATAAACACTTCTGTAATATCTTCACAATTTTTAGATTTTTTTCATGTTTATCTGTAAATATTAAATACTAATATTTTTGGAAGTTGTTAGAGTAATATTCTAAGACCCAAGATTGTTCCTGCCACCTCAATTTTTTTTTTTTGGGGGGTCCAGTCATGGGCCCTGAACTCTGGGCCTGGACGCTGTCCCTCAGCTCTTCAGCTCATGGCTAGCGCTCTATACTTGAGCCACAGCGCCACTTTCTGGGTTTTTTCTTTTTGCTTATGTGGTGCTAAGGAATCGAACCCAGGGCCTCATGCATGCAAGGCAAGCGCTCTACCACTGAGCCACCTTCCCAGCCCCTCAAATGTTTTTTTTTTTTTTTTGGTCTGGGCATGGAGCCTGAACTCTGGGCCTGGGCGATGTCCCTCAGCTCTTTAGCCCAAGGCTAGTGCTCTACCACTTGAGCCATAGCACCACTTCCCGCTTTTTTCTTATGTGCTACTGAGGAATCGAACCCAGGGCTCATGCATGCAAGGCAAGAGCTCTACCACTGAGCCACCTTCCCAGCCCCCCTCAAATGTTTTTATGCTAAAGAAATATTGTTACTGTTGAGGGGTTTTTTTTCCCTTTTTTTTTTTTTGGTTGGTCATGGGGCTTGAACTCTGGGCTTGGGTGCTGTCCCTCAGCTCTTCAGCTCAAGGCTAGCGCTCTACCACTTGAGCCACAGCATCACTTCCAATTTTCTGGTGAATTGGATGTAAGAGTCTCACAGGCATTCCTGCCCGGGCTGACTTTGAGCCATGATCCTCAAATCTCAGCCTCCTGAGTAGCTATGATTCCAGGCATGAGCCACTGGCACCCAGCATTACTGTTGGTTTTACGGCTTTTGTTTTCTTGCTGAAACAAGTAAGAACATTAACTTCTAACATTTTTGAGATTTTTTTTTTTTTTTTTTGGTGCTGGTCCTGGGTCTTGAACTAAGGGCCTGGTCCTGTACCTGCACTTTTTTGTTCAAGACTAGTACTTTACCAGTTGAGCCACAGCTCCACTTCTGCCATTTTTGGTAAGTAGTTGGAGCTAAGAGTCTCAGTCTTCATTCACATGCACAGGTTGGCTTTAAACCTCAACCCTAAGATCTCAGCCTCCTGAGTAGTTAGGGTTATCTACATGACCCACTAGTTACCTGGCCTTAAGATATTTTTTTTCTTTCCTAGATGTTTTTAAATTTCATTCTTGGTAGCTTTTCAGATCTCTTAAGAGCCCCTCTTGTAATTTTTATATATGTTCTTCTTTCAGGGAAACATTGGTTCATCAAATTGGGGTCTCAATTTGCTACAGGAAGAAAATGTGATTCCAGATATACTAAAACTTGCAAAACAATGTGAAGTTCTTTCCATCAGAGGGTATGTCATTTACCCCAGAAGTACTTCTAATGCATATGTTATTCACAAGTAGCTTTAAGGCAAAAGTATTATGTGATTCATAACTCTTAATTAAGTATAAATTCTAAGTATATAAGAATTTAAAATGTATTAAGTATGTTAATGAACTCTTTGTATAATATTTTTACATTATTCTGTCCTGTGTTTTATGGGGGTACTAGGTCTTGAACTCAGGACCTGAACCTTTGTAGTCTAGCGTGATACCTATGCCTCCAAGCCATGTTTTTTACTGGTTATTTTTAGAATAGTATCTCAGGGCCTGAGTTGGCATCCACCTACTTTTAGGCTTCCTGTCATCTCTAGGGTCACAGGCACTTGCCAGCATGTCCAGCTTGCCTTCTGTGGAGGTAGAGTCTTGTGGACATTTTCTGCTCCAAGCTGGACTGCAACCAAAATCCTCCCAAGCTTGGCATAATAGATGCATGCCACTGCACCCAGCTACGGCTTGAGGAGGGTTTCACGCTTTTCACCTTGGCTGACTTCAATCTATAATTCTATTTTTCAGCCTTTCAAGTAGCTAGGATTGCAACTGTGAGCCACAGCATCCAGCCATAATTCTGTTATTATGTAGAAATTAATCTTTTAGATTAGTTCAGTAATTTTTAGATAATAGTTTAGTAATTTAATCCATGTATTGTAGCTTTTTACTATCTTTTTTTTTTTTTTGGCCAGTTGTGGGTCTTGGACTCTGGGCCTATGCGCTGTTCCTGAGCTCTTTTGCTCAAGGCTAGCACCCTTCCACTTGAGCCACAGCGCCACTTCCCGCTTTTTCTGTGATTAACTGGAAATAAGAGTCTCATGGATTTTCCTGGGCTTGCTTTGAACTATGATCCTCAGATCTCAGCATCCTAAGTGTCTAGGATTACAGGCATGAGCCACCAGAGCCCAGCCAAAGGCTAAGATTTGCTGAGGTCATATTGTATTCATTTTGTGGTAATTATTATTTTATTAGAACAATTGGCATGATTTTTATTGTTCCTAATTTATTTCTAAATGGAATTGCTTTTTACAAAGTAAATACTTTTAATGGCTTTAAAAATAACCAAGTGTACATATAGCAGTTAGTTATTTTATGGTTGCTTTAAGAAATGTCATGTAATTTTACATTGTTTATATACAGGACCTGTGTATATGTACTTGGACTCATAGCTAAAACCAAACAAGGTTGTGATATTTTAAAATGTCACAACTGGGATGCTGTGAGACATAGTCGCAAACATCTGTGGCCAGTGGTTCCAGATGATGTGGACCAACTCTGTAATGAACTCTCATCCATCCCCAGCACTCTGAGTTTGAACTCAGAGTCAACCAGCTCTAGACATAATAGTGAAAGTGAATCGGCACCATCAAGTGAGTATTGGGATAGGTTCACATACAGTTAGCCATTGTAGGCAGGTTTATTTTGACTTCAGAACCTAATTATTTGTTCTGTTTTACTCATGTATGTTTGTAATTCATGATATATTCCATTATTGGTTATAAATCTAAAGTACTTATTTGGCAGTAATAGCTTCTTGGAGGAAGCATATCTTCACAATACCAAGTATAGCCACCAGCATATAGTTAGTGTTCTCACCCCATGCTTTCTAAAAGAGATCTAACAAGTACTTACTTGTCTACTTTCTTAATTTACATAATATTTTTACTCATTTTTCAGATGTGGAAATTGTTTAACAAAAATATATTTGCTACGAGATTTTTTTATATCTTTAGTTTTGAGTATAGCAATAGGTTCCTCCCCCTCCCCCCCCAATGGGGCTTGAACTGAGGGCCTGGGCTGAGGGCCTAGGCTCTGTCACTGAACTTTCTTTACTCAAGACACTGCTCTCTCTACCACTTAAGCCACAGCTCCACTTCTTTTGGTGGTTAATTGGGGATAAGAGTCTTAAACAAACTTTCCTGCCCAGGCTGGCTATGAATAGTGGTCCTCAGATCTCCTGAGTATCCAGTATTATGAGTGTGAGGCACAGGCACATTGCTAGCAATAGATTTTAGAACAGTGGAGGAGTCAAAGGTATAGGTTGGTGGTAGAGCACTTACCTGTCATGTGTAAGACTATGGGCTCAATTTCTAAAATCAGAGAAGTAAAATACTGGAATTTTGAAACAAATTATATGTAAAATAGTTTGTGATCATAAGCCTTTGCTAAGTTATTATCAGATGTACTAAATTTAAGACCTGATTCTTCTGTTAAGAACATAATGCAAACTGAGTGGAACACTTCTATACTACTTGCATGAGAATCTGGAGTTCAGTGTTAGCCTGGACTACATAATGAGACACCATTTCAAAAAAAAGTAGATTGTACCAATATATCTAATATGTCAACAAATCTCAGCATATCTAAGAAGCTTTGAATTATAAAGTGCTGCCTATTAAAATTCTGCATACCTCTGACAAAATATACCTTGACTTTAGTCTTTAGAGAGATTCAGAGTGACCATAACAAAGTACATTTCAGAACTGATGAACACATTACAATATGCAAATTCATTTAGAATTTTTCTTTGCTTTCGTTTGAAATACATGAAGTAGTGTATAAGTATTTACCATAAAAGATAAAAGTACATAAAATCCTATACATGCTGAATGTCCTATTAAAGTTGGGCACTTAGTATCTGTGACAGAATGGAGAATGGACATAAGTAGTCGAAAAATAATTTTTTAATGTTGTGAATTAGTTTTCCTTGTTCCTCTAATCCCTGGGGAACCCAAGACTCAACTCCATACGAACATCCACAGATGTTCTTTAAAGTGACATCATATTTGCAGTTAGAGTTATACTTGATTGCTTAAGGAATAAGGAAAAGTTAAAAGATTGAGAAATCGTTCTCTTTTTTAAAATTTGTTAACTTTTTTTGAGTACTGGAATTTGAATTCAAGGCCTCATGCTTGAAAACTAGATGCTGTATCACCTAAGTCACACTCTTAGTCCTTGTTTGCTTAAGTTAATTTTTTAGATAGAGTCTTGTTTTTGTCCAGAGTTGGTCTCAGCTATTAATCTTCCCAGTCTCTGCCTCCTGAGTAGACAAGATCTCAGCTTAGTACAAATTTCTAGCTGGAATTCAGTTGTTACTGCTTTTGTGATATAAACTACCAAGAGTTTGTATCAACCAAGTAAGCATATATACTTGAGTCTCCGTTTTCCCTGTAAATTCATCTTGAATATTTGGAAAATTAAAGGTAATTTTATATAAACTATACTTTGGAAGTAAGATGAGATTTTCTAGTGTCACACTCTTACCAGGGAACACTTTTATGTGGTTCCATAATTTAACCCTTTAGCTTTTAATTTTTCTCCCAGATGACTCTTTGAAACACATTTTTTAAAAACATTTTTACTGAAATGGATGTCATTAATAGTTGTCATGAATTTCTTTATATGCTTTAACTAATAAACCCATCTGTCATAGGTATGTTCATAATGGAAGATGACCGATTCGGCAGCAGCTCTACTAGTACATTTTTCCTTGACATCAATGAAGATGCAGAGCCAGCATTTTTTGACAGACCTGGACCCCTAAAGGATAAAAATTCATTTCCTTTCTTCGCTTCTAGTAAGCTTGTGAAGAATCGGATCTTAAATTCACTTACTTTGCCTAATAAAAAACATCGTAGTAGCAGTGATCCAAAAGGAGGAAAACTGTCATCTGAAAATAAGACAAGCAACAGGCGGATTAGAACACTTACAGAGCCCAGTGTTGACTTCAATCACAGTGATGATTTCACACCTATCTCCACAGTACAGAAAACATTGCAATTAGAAACTTCATTTGTTGGAAATAAGCACACTGAAGACACTGGTAGTACTCCAAGCATTGGAGAGAATGACTTAAAATTCACCAAGAGTTTTGGTGCAGAGAATCACAGAGAAAACACAAGCCGAGAAAGGTTAGTTGTAGAAAGTTCAACAAGCTCACACATGAAGATACGTAGCCAAAGTTTTAATACAGATACTACAACAAGTGGCATAAGTTCAATGAGTTCAAGTCCTTCTCGAGAGACAGTAGGTGTAGATGGAACAACTATGGATACAGACTGTGGAAGTATGAGTACTGTGGTAAGTACTAAAACTGTTAAGACAAGCCACTACTTGACACCACAGTCTAACCATCTGTCTCTCTCCAAATCAAACTCAGTGTCCCTGGTGCCTCCAGGTTCTTCACATACACTTCCTAGAAGAGCACAGTCCCTTAAAGCACCCTCTATTGCAACGATTAAAAGTCTAGCTGATTGTAACTTTAGTTATACAAGTTCTAGAGATGCCTTTGGCTATGCTACGTTGAAAAGATTACAGCAGCAGAGAATGCACCCATCTTTATCTCACTCTGAAGCTTTGGCATCTCCAGCAAAAGATGTGCTGTTTACTGATACTATCACCATGAAGGCCAACAGTTTTGAGTCCAGATTAACACCAAACAGGTGAGCAAAAACGCTTTAAAATGAACAGTAATCATTGTATTTTAACAGACTTAAATGTAAAACATGAGTCAGGTTTAACACTGCAAAAGAACTGACCTAGAACTGGGGGGTATAGCTTGGAATAGAGCATCTGCCTATTAAACCTGTTAGGTCCTAAGGTCACACTCCAGTACTGCCAAAACAATAAAATAAAAACTGACCTATTATGATTGGTTACTATGGTAGGCTGTTAGCTCCTTGTTACCCGATATGATTTGAAATGGATTCTTGCAGCTGCGAGGGGGGAAAATAAAACTCCATTAGACCTTAAAAATAAACACTTGCTTTTCAAGGACACAAAAAGTCACAGAGCTTTTTTTTATTTATTTCTCGCTTCTGCAAGGATCGATTTTAAAAAGAAGCATGTCGGGGGAATCAGGAGCTTAAGACCTACAATAACAAACAACCTTTTCAGGTAGGTCAATTTAAGGCTCCAAAAGTTGACCTCTTTTTTTTCTTTTTAAATAACTGAAATTTTCAGTTAAATTATTTTAGCTTTCAGTACCTCAGATTATTAACTAGGGACCTATAAACACTAAATGAATTAACTGTTTGGTCCTCAGGACTCAGCAGAGACTTCTGAAGAACACTTTAATTTTTATCAAACTGTTCAGAGAGAACAGTTTGTTTTACCTTGAAAAGAGATACACTATAAGGCCCAGCATCAGTGACTCACGCATGTAATCCTAGCTATTTGGGAGGCTGAGATTAGGATAGTGGTTTGAAGCCGGCAGGAAAGTCTGTGAAACTCTTAACTTCCAATTAACCACTGAAATGCCAAATGTGGAGGTGTAGCTCAAACTCTGAGTGCAAGCCCTAGGATACACACACACACACATCTCTTGTTGTTTGTTAGGACAAACTTCCCTTAGTTTTTAAATTACTTGTATTTGTTTGAATATATTATTACATGTTAGATATTTATAATAATGTCTGACACATAGGGAGTACTCTATAAAAATTAATAATAGCTGGGTATTGGTGCCTCACACCTGTAATTCTAGCTACTCAGGAGGCTGAGATGTGTGTATTGCACTCCAAAGCCAGCTCAGGCAGGAAAGTCTGAGATTCTTATCTCCAAGTAAGAAGTAGAGCTGTGACTCAAGTGATGGAACACCAGTTTTGAGCAGAAAAAGCTAAGGTACAACGCCCAGGCCCTGAGTTCGCGCCCCATTGCTGGCACACATGCATGCACACACTGAAGTATTACCCTTGTTATCATTGGTAGTTTTATGAAACTCATCTTTCTCTTACATGAAAGTCTAATTTGAATAGTGTTACATTTAATTGAGGGGAGGTACTAATATCAGATACTGAATTTTATCTCCTGTTGTAGAGTTTAATAAATTATGATGTAATGCATGACCTACCTAGAAGAATCTGGCTTTAACTCCTTCACCAATCCAGAGCAAAGCCAACATCCTGACATCTATGCAGTGTAATTCATGAATTTGCCATTTGGGCAAATACCTCATATAATACATACATACAGATACTTCATATAACAGAAATTAGATAGATCAGTGCTTATAATAGTGCATTTTTAGTAGAAAAGCATCCCTTTTTACAACAGAAAAATAGTACATAGAGTAGATGTAAATGAGAACTATATTGATTGAAGTAGAAATTGGAAAGGAAGACAATCCAGTGTTTTCCCCCCTACTTCCATAACTCTTGAAGAGATTTATGAAGTCAAGGACACGTAATAGTAAGAATAATCACTGACCTCTTAGGAAATTCAGAAATTTCTGTTGAGTAGGGTTTAGATGGAGATTAGGAATGACTTTGCTATCATAATTGTAATAGCTACTACTGATGCCTTTGTTATATGTTGTGTGAAATAATTCATTGATTTAGTATCAAGCTAATTGAGGCAATTTTAACACACTTGCTTTTCAAAATAGTAGTATTCATAGCAATGTAGAAATTTGAATAGTGTTGTACACATAAAGCAGATGCCAAGTGAATGGTTTAGCCGTATCTGTTACATGAATCTATATGGCAGTTGTGTATTTTATGGAAATACCAATTTGTAGTATTCGTTGTGGAATTGTTAGTGACAAGTGGTTGTGTAAAGACCAGTGCCTCACGAAAGGCTATCTCTTGTAATATTTATAAATGACACCATTTTATTCCGTTACATAAAATCTGTTGAAAATTAGAATGTTAATAAGTAATTGCTCTTATTTTTCTTAAGTATAATAGTGAATGGTATTAATAGATGTGTCTTGAGCTGTGTGATAGCAAATCCAGTAGTCTTAAGTGACTGAAAAGATAGTCCTTGAATTGTACCTCTATTTCTAGGTTAGTTCTTTTTCTACTCATAGATGTTGAAGTTTTCTAATTCCTTGACTTTTCTCCTTTACATGGGCTATCTTTTTTTTTTCTAATTGTAAAGATGCAGTTACATGAGTAAGGTACATTTCTACCTGGGATATCTTAACAATAGTCTTTGTTGACATTCAACACTACTTCTGATTTTTTGTGGGGGGCGGGAGGGGGAGTGGCTGTGGGGCTTGAACTCTGAGCCTGGGCACAGACCCTGTGTTCTTTAGCTCAAGGCAAGTTCTCTACCACTTGAGCCACAGTGCCACTCCCAGTGGTGGTTAATTGGAGATAAGAGTCTCACAGACTCTACTGCCCTGGATGGCTTTGAACCACAATTCTCAGATCTCAGCCTCCTGAGTAGCTAGGGTTTTAGGAGTAAGCAACCAGTGCCCAGCTACTTCTGATTTTTTTGTATGTTGCTATAGCAGCTAATTTTTTTTTAATTGTGAAAATACTGTACAGAGGGGTTACAATTACATGAGCAAGATAATGAGTACATTTCTTATCAAGCATTGTAGCCTCCTCCTTTGTTCCCCTTCCTATCCTACCCCTGTCTCCCCACCCAAAACTCCTCCCCCCCACCAAAGTTGTAAAGTTCGTTTTCGACATAACGACTTGTACATCTCATTGTTGGAATTGGTCCACCTGTATCCCTATTTAAACGATTTTTTTTTCCCCTTCCCCTCCACAAATTATACCGACATCAAATACAGTGAAAGCAGGGGTTATACCGTGGGGGAAGGACATACAAAGCAACAGAGAAATAATCTTATAAATGTGTTAGAAACAATCGCATGAAAGAAAGCAGCTAATTTTTTAAAGTGTGTATGTGATCCCAGTAAACAGACTGTTTAGTATTTGGTTAGCTACTTTTAAAAAGTTAGAAATAGAAATCACCTTTTAAATATAATACACATCAAGATACTTAACGTAATTTTTTGTGGCATTGTAGGTTTATGAAAGCTTTAAGTTATGCATCGTTAGATAAAGAAGATTTATTAAGTCCCATTAATCAAAGTACCCTCCAGCGATCCTCCTCGGTTAGGTCCATGGTGTCCAGTGCTACATATGGTGGCTCAGATGACTACATCGGTCTTGCCCTTCCAGTAGATATCAATGATATATTTCAGGTATATATTACAAATCTTATTGTTTTCTTATTACCTGATTGTTTGTTTTCTCTTAAATGTTTATTGGAAATTATAACTTAGAGCAAATTGTAAATTATGGGGAAGATAATTTTAAGGCAATTTTGTCTAAGGAAATTTTAAGATGAAAATTCACCTTTTCAATTATACTCTTTAGTCAACTCTTGTAGACTCTTGTATTTAGTACCGCAAAGTCTCTAGAATTTCATCCTTTCTCTCATACTAAATTAGCACCATGTTTGATTTATTTATGTATTATCAGTGAAAAACTAGTATTTCTGACTTTGTTTTTCCATACTTGTTCCTCTTTTTCCACCTAGAGTAAACATATCTGATGCCCAGTTATATAAACTGGTACTAATTCTAGGAGATACCCACAGATGTCTACATGGTATTATAGTACTGATGAATACACATTTGCTCAAAGGACTACATTTTCCCCCCCTAGTACTAGAGATTGAACTTGGGACCTCAGGTTTATTGATAAGCACTGTACCACTTGAACTATGTCCCTACCCTTTTACTTTGATTTTGAGAGAGGACCTCGCTTACTGCCTTTGCCTGGCTGTGAGCTCTAGTCTTCCTCTACCTCCTGAGTAGCTGAGATTTCAGGCATGTGCCACCATCTCAAATTAAATACCTTAAATAACGTAAATTACCAGTTTTTAACATATATTTAGCTCATTGAAAATATGCTAAAAGGGTTTTAGAGTTGGTCCTTTGTCTTTTTGGGCAATCTCTCCTTTGCTAATAAACTTTCCATTGTACATTCATAATGTAAATACATAGCAAGTCTGTTTTAATTATATTTCACTTAATTTTCTTCATATTCATAAGGTGGACTTTTTGTACCAAGATTTATGATTCATATCTGTTTTAGGTAAAGGATATTCCTTATTTTCAAACAAAAAACATACCTCCACATGATGATCGAGGTGCAAGAGTGTTTGCCCATGATTCAGGAGGTAATGAATGCATATTCTTTGTTTTCATGAGACTACTTATTAAGTTAAAAACGAAAAGTTCTTTATAGAATGACACTAAAAATTCAGGTAAATACACTTTTGGGTCAGTTAAAAAAATTATACCAAGGCTGGGTTGTAGCTCTAGTGGCAGAGCACAAGGCCTTGAGTTCCAACTTTGATATTGACCAAAAAAAAAAAATTAGACAAAATAACTGAGACACTTAAAATGAAGCCTTTATTAGACACGTTCTCAATCTGTAGGTCTGTAAGTACAGGCTGCACTATATGCTTGTCTGTAACTCATAATCCTCTCCTCAGCCTCCCAGTGATTAGGCTTCTACCAACAAGTCTGGCACAAGTTTAATTTTTTGTTTCTTTCTTTTTTTTTTTTTTTGGTGAGGATGTTCTTTTTTTTGTTTAGTTTTGCTTTTGTTTTTGTTTCTGTTTTGGTCGGTCGTGGAGCCTGAGCTTTGGGCCTGTGTACTGTTCCTCAGCTCTTCAGCTCAAGGCTAGCGCTCTACCACTTGAGCCACTTCCAGCTTTTTTTTTCTGCTTATGTGGTACTGAGGAATTGAACTCAGGGCCTCATGTATGCAAGGCAAGCACTCTGCTACTGAACCACCTTCCCAGCCCCTCATGTTTTTGTTTTTTTTTTAATAAGGACTTAAAAGTGTTATTCCAACAAGTGCCTGCCTTCTAAATGATACTTTTTTTTTTTAAGTTCATGGAAAATGCTTAACAGTAATCTTCATAGGTTCAAGAAACATCTGTTTAGGATGAGGAAAGATAAAAAATGTTTCTGTAGGGCTGGGAAGGTGGCTCAGTGGTAGAGTGCTTGCCTTGCATGCATGAGGCCCTGGGTTCGATTCCTCAGCACCACATAAGCAGAAAAAGCTGGAAATGGCGCTATAGCTCAAGTGGTAGAGTGCTAGCCTTGAGCTGAAGAGCTGAGGGACAGCGCCCAGGCCCAGAGTTCAGGCCCCACAACTGGCAAAAAAAAAAAAATGTTTCTGTAAAGTATACAATCTATCTTTTATAAAATTTTATATTTTATACATATGAATACAAGCCAAAGATTTTACAGCTTCATAATCTTGATTTTTAAGCCTTTAAACTTAGATTATTTCTTGTCTTTAGGCAAATTCTGGGGAAAATTGAACTGATACACTGTCTTTTCTATTTTATATTTAAAACTCATACTAAAGTAATATAAATAAATGCTGATTATAATTATTTCATAACTTAGAACAAATTATTTTTCCCAGTTAAAATTAGATGTTAAATCATAAAAAAAATTCTGATCTTCTCTAAATTTCCATACAGTTTAAGTAATTTATAGAAGGTATGGTTGGTACTATCTCATCTGACTATTTTATATTTTCTTACATATAGGTCTCCCATCTGGAACTGGAGGTCTTGTAAAAAACTCTTTTCACTTGCTACGACAGCAGATGAGTCTTACGGAAATAATGAATTCAATCCATTCAGATGCTTCTCTGTTTTTAGACAGTACAGAAGATACTGGGCTACAGGAACATACAGATGATAACTGTCTCTATTGTGTCTGTATTGAAATTCTGGGTTTCCAGCCCAGTAACCAACTAAGTGCAATATGTAGTCATTCAGGTCAGTGATTTTTCTCCTTTGAGATGAATCCACCTGCATTTGAATCTGTTCCAGTCAGTCACAAGTCAGCTGTCAGCCCTCTTGATTATTCCTTCTTACTCCATTCTTGCTAGTTCATACTTACTCAGTATGTCTCTACTGTAGAATACGTGTTTTAGCCTTTAATTGTGATTTCCTCCAATCCACCCTTAATACTCTTGACTAACATCCATCATAATTCATGTATGATACACAAGACTCTTTGTGGTTTACCTAGTGATGTTTTTCATCATTTTTCTCTTTTTTGGGCTGGGGGAACCTGAACTCTGGGCCTGGGGGCTATCCCTCAGCTCTTCAGCTCAAGGCTAGCGCTCTAAAACTTGAGCCACAGCGCCACTTCCGGCTTTTTTCCTTTTGCTTATGTGGTGCTGAGGAATCGAACCCAGGGCCTCAGGCATGCAAGGCAAGCGCTCTACCACTGAGCCACCTTCCTAGCCCTTTTTTTTCTCTTTTACAATTGCCATACCACTACTGACTGACTGCATTACTGTTAGGCATGAAAAATGTGCTTTCCCCACTATTCTTGAGAAATATGTTTTCCCCACTGTTCTTTTCTTACCCCTTCCCCTCTCCACACAGAAGCAAGTTCATCACACAGATGCCTATGGTCTGTCTGAGAAGTCCTCCTCATCCTAAGTGTCAAGCACTTTTTATATTGTGTATTTCTAATAACTACCTATGTAGTAGGCTCTCAGTTTATATTTGAGAGCATGTGTGCATATATGGGTATTCATACATACACCAAGATTGGCCTTTCTTTTTAATATGAATCAACAAAAGTTACACATAAGCAGTTTCAAATTAGTATAAATGTGTTTCAAGTGTTATTGAGTGTATACTTTTTCTTAATAAATATTATATAGATACCTCAGGAAAACCTCGTAGTGATTAGATTTCTCTGGCTCTTCCAGATTGCTTCTTCATAATTCAGTGCTTCCCAAATCATTGGATTGTGGCATGTAAGCATGCTACAAATAGCATAAAATTAAGCAGTAGGATAGCAATCTTCTCTTTGATTCCGTATCCCAGTGAGGCCTGAGTTTGGTAGATCCTTTGTAAGTAGGCCTCTCACATATTGACATGATATAATTATTTTCACTTATTTATAATTTTTTTCTGTGAATTTGGGAAAGTGTTAAGATATATTTCACATAGTAGAAAAGATACGCTTTTGAACATTTGGTTACATTATTTATTCTCTAGCTCCTATAAGTTCTTTTTCATTTACTTGCTCAATAGGTATATATGAAGTACTTTTTAGTAAGCTTTGCTATACTGTCTTTTACTTAGTTATGAAATATATATGGGATTAGCCCTGAATTGACCCAGCCATAGAGCAGTCACAGCTAGTTTTAACCTATTTGTTATCTGCAGCAGGGAGTGATCAAGCCAAGTATTACAAGGTTGGGGACTAGTGAAACACTTGCTGCAGTCTGAGAGGCCCTGGTCTTGATACAGCCACCTTTCACCCCAAAGTTTTTTCTAGTGATGCCAACTGTTAGATTGAGGAACAGCACATTCAGAACATCTTTTAATTTGGACAGTATAATGTGCCCATTGATAAGCATTTTGTAGCAGGGATTCTATTTGAACCTTTAAATAATCATGCACAAGGAAAATGATAGCCTTTCAAAATTCAGTATTATATGTTTCTGTTGGGTCCAATATATATACCGCCACATTTGCTATATTATATACTTAACCAACTTACAGCAGGAAATCTTACAAGTATATTAGGCTAACCAGTGTGAGAGGTGACTACAAAAAAATATTGCCAAATATAAAAAGTAATAGCCTCCACAACAGACAAATGAAAAGGAACAGTAAGAGCATCATTTTGAAGGTCAAGATTATTAAGATGATAAGCTGAGAGGTAAATAAAAACTACATAGGGAGAGGAGGATCCAAAGAGACAGTGATGGATTTCACATTTGGTTGACTATGGGATTAAATGTTTCACTTAAAAATCTATGTGAAAAACAAGTTTATATAAAACCTATACAGATGATGGTGTTGGGGAAAGATGAAGTGGAACCCTGTCCATCTGGCTTTCTTGCCCAATTTATATACTTTGAGGAGGCCCCAAGAAATAATCTAATAGCAGAGTAGTGAACTTTGGGAGCAAAGAAACTTAGGTTCAAAGCCAACACACTCTTGCTAAGGTATTTCATCTTGTATCGTCTAGTTAATCTCACCAAGCTATAGTTTTATTTTCAGCTTAACTCTGGAAACAATGACCCCTTCCTAGTATTAAGCCCTCAGTAAATAGTAGTTTACATTGTAAATAATTATATAACTACACTTTCATATTCCTAAATAAAATAGCCTTGTTCTCTTCCTTTTACATCTTCTGCTACTCTACAGTTAGTTGATAACTGGGTTTATAAATTCAGAAATAGACAGGCTTTGTTGGCTTAGGCCTGTGATTGTAGCTGCTCAGGAGGCAGAGATCTGAGGATTGTACTTCAGAGCTAGCCTAGGCAGAAAAATCCATGAGGTTCTTGCTTCAATTAACTAGGAAAAGGCCAGAAACAGCTGTGAATCAAGTGGTAGATTAGCAGCATAAGCAAAATAACTAATCCAGGCCTTAATGCTGGAAATTATAATATCAGCAATAGATTTCCCTATAGAAATGCGTAATTTTTTCTAGAAATAACTTAACATTTCCCATAAACTAAGTCTCTTTGCTCCCAAAGTTCATTACTCTGCCTGTTAGATTATTTCCTGGCGTCTCCTCAAAGTATATAACATGGATTTCTGGTTAAACAACAACCAAAAATAAAAACCTTATGATTTATTTTTCTGAGTTAAGGCAAATGGATGTTTTGCTTACAGCATTTTGTTTTGCTTACAGCTTTTTGTACTTTCTCTCATAGTGGCATTCAACTGCAGTCAGCCTTATCTTGCACTACAGGGAGTAAAGCATGCAGCTCCAGTGTATTTTGTTTAGGATATAAGCTATGCTAAATTGCTTACCTTCATTTTTAGATATAAAATAAGAATAAGCTCTAGAGTGCTATAAATTTAAAAGAGAGGAAGCAGTCAAAGCAAACAGGCTTAAACTAAGCATCATCCTTTTTAAGTAAATCCACTTAGTTTATGGACTAAATGTTTTATCCAAATTAAAAGTAATTTTGAAATAAAGCATCTCCAGTAAAAATGTGTTTAAAGTTCATTACATGGAATTCTTCTTAATTGAGAATGGAATTTAAGTCCCTGAAGGTCAATCTTCGGAATCTGGTGTGTACAATTTGCCTTCAGCTGAATAAGATGCATATCCTCTATCAGTAAGAACAGTAGGTCAGTTAGCTGTTCTTTTCCCCATCCCAGGAGTTTTTTGGTTCTCTTTATCCTGCTGGTATAAATAATACCCCTATTTTGATCAAATCTCTGGAGTTTTCATGTAACACATATTTATCTCATTTAAGATGTTATTGGAGGGGACTGGGAAGGTGGCTCAGTGGTAGAGCGCTTGCCTTGCATGCCTGAGGCCCTGGGTTCGATTCCTTAGCACCACATAAGCAAAAAGAAAAAAGAAAGATGTTATTGGCGTGATTTAATATGTTTCATAACTAATGCCCTTCATACAAAGAGCATCATCAGAGGAGAAAATTATAATTGAACCTTGCTTACTTAGAGAAATGAGGTTTGTTTGTTTTATAATGAAAAGCTAGAACTGAGAAAAGGTAATTGTACTCTTCCTCGAACCAGGAATGTTTTACCATTTCCCCTTGGTAGTTCATAAGCTGAGTCTAAAATAACATGATTATTCATTGTTACTTAGGAAAAGTAGTGTTAAAGTATATCTTTAGTTTAAGAACCTTTCCCAGTGGTTTTATTTTAAAAAGCAGTGCATACTAACATATGTTACTTTTACATGTTTGGCAAACACAATTCTTTAATAACCAAAATATTAAACTGCATTAAATTTAGAAATCTTATTTTCCAAGGAACTAAAGTATTTTCCACTTAGTGTGATATAGACAGTAATCTTAGCAAGTACAGGTAGATGAATGATAAGTCTTATTTTGTGGAAACCAGAGTAGGAGGAGGTAATAAATACTTCTCATATTGTAGGCTAAAGAAAACTGGACCTGCCTTTAAAAGGTTTTCTCCTCTAGCTGATTGTGTGTGTGTGCTCTGTCAAAATTGTAAAAATCAATTTTCAACATTTTTTAAAGTATCAGGGTTGTGTGATTTATTTATTTTTTTTATTTTTATTTTTTTGTCTGTTGTGAGGCCTAAACTCGGCCTGGATGCTATCCTTCCACTCTTCAGCTCAAGGCTAGCACTCTACTACTTGAGCCATAGCACCACTTCTGGCTTTTTCTGCTTATGTGGTGCTGAGGAATCGAACCCAGGTCCTTATGCATGCAAGGCAAGCACTGTATCACTGAGCCGCCTTCCCAGCCTTGGGTTGTGTGATTTTTATAGGTTGTCCAGTGTTAGTTCCTAGAAAGGAAAACCAGTGATTTTCTGATTTCCATTTGCTCCATGTAAGTAGGTTCCCAGGAAAAAAAAATTAAACCCCCAAACATTTGAAGTTAAATGTTAGTGTACTTCAAAATCCTCTTAGCAATATGTAGGTGATATAGTAAATAAAATTGTAGGGAATGAACTGAGCTTTACGTAGGAAAAGCATTGTTCTTATATTGATTCTGTTCAGTGGAAAAGGGAAAACTCAGGAAATAATACACTTCAATGCTGCTAATATAACACAAGATCAAGAAAGAAAATTAAGCCAAAGACCTGAAGAAGTATGCATATGGGGGGGGGGGCATGTATTGATTTATGCACATGTACACACACTTAAGTTTTAATAGCATTTTACTATGGAGAGGTATTTAAATGGGGAAGGAAGGATGAAAAGAAAGAGAACAGATGTTTTCACTTTTAGCTCTCTCTCTATATTCACTTGAATTTTTAATCACATTGCTATAGTAGTTTTGTTATTTAGGAAAATAAAGAATGTCTTCAAAGTTTAAGATTACCCTGTGTTAGCACTCAATATCTAAGTAATCTCAATTATTTTGTAAATATTATTTTGAGAGAATTGTTATAAGTACTCTTTTATTAGAGTTAGAGTAAACAAGAATAAAGTGTTTATAATTCTTTAAATAAATTTGTTTCAGATCTTCAAGATATTCCATATTCTGATTGGTGTGAACAACCTCTCCACAATCCCTTAGAAGTAGTTCCGTCTAAGTTTTCGGGGATTTCTGGATGCAGTGATGGAGTGTCTCAAGAAGGCTCGGCAAGCAGCACTAAGAGCACAGAATTGTTACTAGGTGAGCTTTTAGATTTAATTCTCATCATGAACGTTAGCTTGTTTTTAGCTGGTATTTAGCTGGTTGGGTTTTTGGTTTTTTGTCATTGTTTTTCATAAATACTGAAAATTAAAGTCATTTCAAAAATTCAGCAAGCCAGGGCACAAGTGGGTTCATGTTTATAATACCAGCTACTCAGGAGACTGAGATCTGATCATTGTACTTAGAAGCCAGTTGGGGTAGACAAATCCTAGAGGCTCTTACCTTCAACTACCCAGCAAAAGGCCAGACAGAAGGTGTTAAGTGGTAGAATGCCAGCTGTGAACAGAAAAAGTCCCAGGATCAGTACAAAGAAATTATAATAAGCTTAAACAAAAACTGGCAAGTTTTGTTTTAGTGAAGTAGTTTAGCAGACTTTTTTTTTGTCTTTATACCTTTATCATTATTATCTTTACGTAGTTGTGCTACAAAGGAGTTGCCATTTAACAAATACAATATATCTTGATCAGTTTCATCCCTTTTGGCATTCTCACCCACCCCTCTCCTACCCACCCCTTCCCTTTTCTTAATTTTATTTATGTATATCACATTGGATTCTTGTTTGATTTTTTTTTTTCCCCTCTTCTCTTTATTCGTCTACTCTTTAGCAGTAGCAGGTTCTTAAATATTGCATCTGTACCTGCATTCACTTGTATGGCAGCCATCTGCTTTTATTAGAAAGTTTGGTTAGTGGCAGACCAAATGCAGTTGGTTTCAGTTTTTAAAGTAACTTTACACTCAAAATCTTCTTTTCAGGTGTTAAAACAATTCCAGATGATACACCAATGTGCCGTATACTCCTTCGCAAAGAAGTTCTAAGATTAGTTGTCAATCTGAGTAGTTCAGTTTCCACCAAGTGTCATGAAACTGGGCTTCTAACGTGAGTAAACTGTGCGTGAATGTTATTTGTAAGATTCTTGAAATACTTCAGAAGTTAGCTTACCAGCACCTCAAACACATCTGTATGAGGTTGAATTTTGTTACACTTTGTGTGTACTTCAACAGATGGAATACAAAAGCAAGAATGAGAATCTGTTTCTTATCCATTAAGCCAGACATTAAAATATAAGTTATCTCCTAAACAGAACCGGGCTGGTAGTTCAAACCTATAAATCCTATTCAGGAGGCTGAGAGCTGAGTCTCAAAGCCAACTCTGGAAAGAAAGCTTGTGAGACTCTTCTTTCTAGTCACCAAAAAGCTGGAAATAGAGCTGTGCCGTAAATGGCAAGCACTAGACTTGAGTGAAAAGCTTAGGGACAGTGTCTGAGTTCAAGCCCCAGGACCAGCATACACACAGAGAAAAGCTGTCTAGAACAATGCCACTGTGTTAGTGTTTTTACGTGTTGAAAAAAATTAGTTTTTGTTATTAAAACACATTTATGTGGCCATGTGAATGAAGAATTTAAGACAATTTCAAAATACCTTATTTAAAAGCACAGCCTTTACATTCTCAATTTGTTTATGACACAATAATTATTGATGGCTATAACTCTTGACTTTTTAAGAGATTTAATCCAAAGACCAAATGTCTAAAAAAAATGCAGGCTTCAATTTTTAAAAAGGTGATTTTTTTATTGATTTTTGTTTCCAATTTCTCTTTAGTGTTATACTTTTTTTCCTAACTTACAGCAACATGACAAAAGGAAATTTTGACATTATTGTCAACATCTGTATTTGCACTATTTAAAGTAGTGGTTCTCAAAAGAAATGCACTGTAAGGTCTCCTGTAGGGCTTTTAAAGGTCATGCAGATGCCAGCACCCCTCTGCAGATTTCTGGGTAGAGTTCTTATCTCCCACAATGGATAATTTTAAGCTGCTCTCCAGCAAAAGTCACAGTTTGAAATATTAAAAGACAAGTTCAGATAGTTAAAGACATTATAACTTTAGTCTGACAATTTTGTTGTAAAATCTGATTTTGACAATACTTGAGTTGTCCTAAGCTTATGTAAATGTGATTTCTTATACTAATGAGAATATTTTTAACTTTATCAGAAGCATTAAGGTTTTGGTAACCTTAAAAAAATAAAAGTGATACATTAGAAGGAAACTGGATGAATCATGATTACAATTTGTATCATCCCATGGACTTTTCTTTCATTTTAGAATTAAGGAGAAGTACCCCCAAACGTTTGATGACATATGCCTTTATTCTGAAGTTTCCCACTTGCTGTCACACTGCACATTTAGACTTCAGTGTCGGAGGTTCATACAAGAATTATTTCAAGATGTACAGTTTTTACAAGTAAGGATTTGTATGTCTGAAGACTTTCCAGAATCATTCCATGTTTGAATTAAAAGAAAGATTATATCTACACCTTGTGCTGTTTCTGTAAAAGGTCTTAATAATTTACCATGTTTTTCCTAGATGCATGAAGAAGCAGAGGCTGTGTTGGCAATACCACCAAAGCAACCTATAATTGATACATCTGCTGAATCCTGACCTCTTATTTATGATGAATATAGATACATGCTATATATATTCATATTTGTGGATACCCTAAAAGCCTCAGAAAGGACTGGCTGCGCAGCGAAGACCAAAGTCTCTTCTGCGCACCGTTCCAGCAAGTACTGCTACCTGAACAGTTGGAACTGCTGACTTCCTAACCAAATCAACTTCTTTCTCTCCCCTATTGAGCCCTTTGAAGGGTTCCTGATTCTTACCAAGTTTAAGAATTTCAGTACCATCATATACAAGAGCAAAGCACTGAATACCTATGTAGGTTTTCTATTTTTTCATTTTTAAAGGCCTAATGACAGTGGATCAATAATAGGAAATATAAAAGCACCATCACACAGTTATTACTGAATTCTTTTTTTTTTCTTTTTGGGGTAAATATAAAGATGCCTTGTTTGTTAACTGATTTGTGGAAGCCAGGAGTCAGTATCTGTGAGGCACGGGACGGGGTATGTTGTAACTGCTGGTGTTAGAGAGTGAACCTCGGCCCTTCCACCTTTTCTTAAGGTTTGTAACACTACTTCAGAGGTTTATAACCTCAAAGTGAAAGAAGAGCCTCAGCAATCTAGGACTCTTTAAGTTATTTTTTTATGTTATTAGACTGCATAAAAATTCTAAGTTGTTTTCCATCTTTCCAGTTATGTTTCAATGTATTATTATAGGCTGTTTAAGCCAAGTAAGGTTTTTCACTACAGTTTGTTATTAAAATTTACAAAACATTTTGTAGTTTAATTGAAAATATTTCCCACTTGAAAAAATACATACATTTCTGGTAGACTTCCATTTTCGTCTACTTCCCATATCATCATTTTAAGTAGGGACTTGAATAAGCACTGTTAGTTTAGCCTAGAGCAACGGAACGCATTAAAGAATACTTGGAATCTGGAGCAAGAGCTGTGTGTGCCTGCAATTTACACATTCCATGGGAAAAGAAGAGCCATATATCCTTAAAATCATTATTGAAACTCATTAATCAAATTGTAGTGAAAAGCCTTAATTACTAAATTTTAAAGCTTCAGTAATTTAATTTTTATCAGTGTTCATATTTTGCACAAACTAAATAAAGGTAGTGATAGGTGAGTTTAAGAATACACTTACTGCCTTTATCACATTTGTGAAGTTCTTAAGTTATGGGGGGCAAGGTTTTGTTTGTCTGACTTGTGTACGTATAAAGATATTTGGAAACCTTTACAAGAGTCAAACATATATGCAAATTTGTATATAAAGATAGCATGACCACCATCCTTATATTGCTTGTAAGTGAAAGGATTGTCTTTTTTTGAAATCTGCATATAAATAGAAAAAATCCAGCTGGACTGATTAGGACCCTTTTTTAATTCATTTCTGTAGAACATTTTTATAATTACACATCAGCTTTGACACAGTCATAGAACATTGATTACTATTTTCCTATGTTGCAGATCCTTTTTGTAATGGTCTTGTTCTTTTGAGATCTCTGTAAAGGACCCTGTGAACTAGAAAACGTAACTCACAGAGATGCTTGTTTTCATTTTTAATTCCTAGCACTGAAAGCTCCCGTTGGGATGAAGCATTTCATCTCGCTTCCTAACACCTTGTGGACTGCACTTCAGTTGTTCTCGTGTGCACTGTGTAGCAATTTACATTAAAACAAGGCAGATAAGGGCTCTAAGCTGCTGCTTACGTTAAAAAGTGGTCTTCTCTCTCATAAAATTCAGTGAAAGTAAAACAAATAACTTTACCACTGAACCCAAGTGTTTATTTAAATGTCAACAGTACTTCTAAGAACGTTGCCTGTCACCTTGGTCTTTGGTCTTGGACAAATAAAACTGCCTTTCCAGAGAACCAAACATCAGAGATACTAAACCAAATAGTGGTTAAAATTCCAAAGGAAGTAATGTAGTAGTATTACTCATAATGGGATTAGCATATTTTAGACATTCACTTTAAACACTACCTCAGTTAATATAGAATATAAAATTCTGTGGTTTAATCTCTCAAAAGTCAATAATTCTTTTCTTGTCACAGACAGCCCTCCATCCTTGTACCCCACCTGTCATTCATCCTAAAGAAGGCTGTTACTATTAGCCTGAACAGGTTTTGTTATTGTTGCTGTTGTTGTTTGACTGTTACTTTGAAAGACATGTATGTCATCATACCTGCCTGTAGCACTTACTATTGGAAGATACTCAGCCTTGTCAATATACTCAGAAATCTGTGTTTAAATTTATAGTGCTATTTGGTTTATCTATATTTTTACTGACAGGTCTAATATGTTTTCTTTAAGTATTTGCTTGTACAAAAGTAGATGTTTATGATGAAAACTACACGCAGTGCCAAGTGATTAACTTAGGTGTTTAAGAATATTAAATTATAGCAGAAAAGTCTTAAGAATGGTGTCAGTAATAATAGAAATAATCAAGAAAGTTATCTATAAATAATAGATATTCCCACACTATAGAACACCAAAATAATGTCAATACTGTATGTTTTTTAAAGATTTTAGGATTAATCTTAGTCCATATAAATTTCTATCACTTGATAATTACTGAATAATTTGGAGGAATTGGAACAGTTATACTAGTTGTAAACTGAATTTCTAATTGTAAAGTGAATTATCATTTCTAATTGAACTTTTTTCAAAAATAGATTTCAATTTCACATACTAAGAAAATACTGATAATGAAATTAGAAATTTAGTATTCATAATTGAATATACTCTTAAAATTTCTCACATGTTTATCCCATTTGTGCTTAGGTAAGTTGGGGAGTAGAAAGTAGGAAGTGTGTTCTCCCTAATTAACATTTTTCTGATAAAGATTAGTAGCATAAGGACATTTTGTAAGACAATAATGTTAAAAGAGGTTATTTAGAAATCTATACATTATTGGTATAATAATGCATAGAAAACTCCTTCAGAAATCGTGGCTTTAATAGTTTCCAGCTCTTCTGCCTAGAGCTTGAGATGATTAAAGGTGAGTTTTTCAAGGCATGGCTCAGTGGCAGAGTTTTCAACAGTGAGATGTCAGTGCTTATTTAGATTTGTCTGCTGCTATTTAAACAAATTTTTGTTTCATTCCATTTAGAGGATGCCTTTTGTCCCCATATGAAAGCACAGATCACAAGCAATAAAAAAAACTGTATGTCATTCACATTAAAACTGCAATTATTTTTGCGTGGTAAGAGTGAGGTGCTAATTTTGTGTGAAAAGAACTTGTAAATTGATTTGGGAAATGTTCTTTGGAAGTAAGGGTTTTGTGTTATTTTGGTTTTTCCCCCAAACTTTGTCTGTGCTTCCATTTTTCTCTCAGATTAGCAGTCAACTAAATGGGAAATCAAAGAGGAGAATTACTACAGAGACCTTTAAGAAGAAGTATTAGAAATGAATGACCATTTCAGATTTTCTAAAATATAGTTGGTAAAGGTCCTTATGTCTTTTTATTTGTAAAATACCTTGTTGCCATCTTAATTTCAAGAATGTCACTACAATGAGAATTTTATCAGAAAACAACAGTGAAATTAATAGCAGTGCTTATCGAAGAACAGTGGAATCTCTAAGATTTCAGAATCTTTCCAGAAAAGTTCTTTTTTCTTTTAGTTCTAGGTTCCCTGTTTCATTCATAGTAGGTTTAGATAATTCATAGAATATGGAATTTTCCCCCATTGGAATATTTTTTACAATTAAGTTTATAACTATTCCACGGCATGCATAAATTGCACATATTGTTTGATGTTCTTTATAAAATACTTAATTTGAAAATTATAATTAATGCCAAAAAAAATCTTACTTTTTTGCCACTTAACCAGGTTGATTTAGCACAAAATGCAAAATCTTGGGGCAAGAGGCGGGGAGTGAAGAAAAGTTGATGGATGATTGTTGAAATATGTTCCATTTACTGACCTGTCAGAAACCCTTAGAATGCATTGTAAAAAAAATGGGTGTAAATTAGTTTTGAAAAATAGTAAGAGGTTGTGAAAAAAATCTCAGACTTTAATGTTCTGTAACCACATGATTTCTCTTTTTATTTAGTAATACGCTGCTACATATTTGGAGGTTCTGGTGTTTGTAGGTCACTGAACAGACATTGAAATCTGATTTATATTGTATAACTGTAACATAGAAACAAAAAGTATTTATATATTTTCCGTAAGAATATTTCATTGAGTTGTGTATAATTTAAATAAGATTTGTCCCCAAATGTTTTTGCTCACCCTGATTTTTTTGTTGTGGTTTTCTTGTTTTTGTATAATGTGTACAGTTTATGTCAAGGGCATTAAAAGCCTCCTGAAACATAATCTTATCAAAGGGATACATTGTTAATAAAATGTACTTAAAATTTCTAAACTGGTGGTGCTCTTGTTCACAATTTAATCAAATATATCTACATTGTCATATACACAAGTGAGTTATGCAGCCATGAGCAAAAACGAAATTTTATTTGAAGGAAAATGTATGCAGCAAAATAAGCCAGACTCAAACTAATACTGCAGTATTCTCTCTTATATGTGGCAACTGGACTTTAAAGTGGATGTGATCATACGTGGAAGACTTGTGAAGAAAACCAGAGGGAGGTGGGGAGCAAAGGTGATAGGGCAGAAGATGATCACAATATATTGTATGCGTATATGGAGAGGCCATAATAAAACCTATGTTTAAAAATTGCAAGAAAGGATGGGAAAATGGTTAAAAAACAGTCGTCTATGGGGTGAATATGAGAAAAGAATACAGATGTATGTCTGACAAATCCCCTACATTGTACAATTAATACATACTAATAAAAATTGGAGAATAGAAAGGGTTTGGAAGATAGAAGTATTTCTAAATAAAATCAGTTCTGAAAACTTGAGGAAATGATACTTTTGATAATAATCTAGTGAAGATGCCTTCTGTGGGAAGTATTCCATTTTTCATGGAGGCCTGATCAGATAGCCCAACCTGAAGCTGCCTAGTGGTAGAAAAGCATACCACAGGCAAAACAATTCTGGACGATAAAATTCAGAGTCAAACCTATTTGTTAAATGTGTCTCACCTTAAGAACAGATTTGTTTTTGATATGTTAGGCATTAGGCACTTTAATTATTTTTTCCCATCTTTTTTTAATTGTGTGTTTGAGAAATACAGTTGTCTCATTCATCTGTAATAAGTCAGAATGTAGTTTAACATTAAAAAGATCATTTGTTTATTTAAAAAACTGATTAGTATATAAACTACTCAAAGCACTACTTGAATATTTTAAAAATTAAGATATTTAAAACTTGTTTATGTTTATATTAGAGAACTTAAGTGAGATATGTATGCATAATCCTTCAAATTGAATGCTGAAGGTATATAAAAATTCTGAGGGCTTTTACTGCCATCGGTTAAAGGTTTTTAGATCTTCTGCCTCATGTAATGTCTTAATAAGTTTTCTAAATTCTTTGAAGTGAAGCCAACTTATTCTTAGCAATGTTAACTACAACCCAGTTCAACTTGACTCTCTTCTAGTAGATAATGACATTGCCTATAATTAACAGATTAATTGTTACTAGGTCAGCAAGCATTTCAGGCCTATGACTAGAGAGCCCTGCTCCCATTCTGAGTTACCAGGATTCCCTGTACACAACTGAAGATTGCTCTGTAGACTGTGCAATATTTACAGGTCATGAATGCCAGTCCACCTTACCACCAAAATGCCCTTCATCTCTAAGGAACTATGAGTTGGGTTTAAGGTACACTTATTGTAAAGGTGATGTACAGAGGGGTTATAGTTACATAAGAAATAAGTACATTTCTCCTCAGCCCATTTTCTCCCAGTTCCCTCATCCCCCGACTCAATTCTCCCTCATATTGTAAAGGTCGTTTCCAACATGGTGTCTTGTGAGTAGTGCATTTGCATTAGTTCAATCTTTGTCCTTTGTCTCAACATTTTGTTATTTCCCTTTCCTTCCCCAAATGAGATGAACATCATATATACAAGGTACCAAAATAAAAGACAGTGACAACAGGGGATAAACCAAAGGAAAAAACTTCACACGGTACATTAAAAAAACAATAAACCTATTTCCATATCTTGGAGCTCATTTCAGTTAGCATCATTTTATATGGTCCTATGTACATAGCTATTGAGCTATTGTGCTCCTCTGCTAGGACTGTCCTAGATACAAACTAATTATTACAAATGAGGGAAACCATGGAGCCTGTTTGTTTGCATCTGGCTTACTTCACTTAATAGGATTTTTTCCAAGGCTTTCCATTTCCTTACTGATGGGGTGATGTCATTCTTTCTAAGGAAGCATAGAATTTTATTGTGTATATATACCACATTTTCTTCATTCATTCATCTATGGAGGAGCATCTGGGTTGGTTCTATATCTTAGTTCTGAGGTTTCTTAGTTCTGAGTTGCTGGTTTGATCTATCGAGAGGCAACAATGGTATATTAAAGTCACCAACAATCAACATGTTCGGATCTCTGCATGATTTTAGGGTAAGTAGTGTTAGTTGGATGAATTTGGGTGCTCTAGCATTTGGTGTATAGATATTTAGAATTGTTACATACTCCTGTAGTAGAGATACCTTTATTAGTATGTATTATCTCTTCTAATTTTCATTTGAAGTCTATTTTATCTGATAGTTTTGCAACTCCAGCTTTCTTGTGGGGGCTGTTTGCTTGATAAAATTCATTCCAGCCTTTCACTTTCACAGTATGTTTCTGTGGGCAAGATGTGTCTCTTGAAGACAGCAAATAGATGGATCTTGCTTTTTAATCCAACTAGTCTACCTGTGTCATTTAATTGGAGAGTTAAGCCCGTTAATATTAAAAGAGTTAGGATTGAGAGGTGTTTGGTAGTTACTGCTATGTTATCCTCCTTAGGAGCTGTGCCTGGTTAATTCTTACTGTGATTATCTGATTCTTACTGTGATTATCTGATTCTCTGTTTAGGGGCCTGTTTCTCTGCCTTTATTGTGTTCTTATTGGTTTTCTATATGTAGAAGGTCCTTAAGTATCTTTTGTAATACTGGTTTTGTGGAGATACATTGTTTCAATTTTTCTTTGCTGTGGAGAGTTTAGCTAGGTACACTAATCTTGGTAGTTGTTTGTCTTTAGGGCGAGGCATGCCTCATTTCAGGCTTTTCTTGCTTTCACAGTCCCTGCCAGAGTTATTCTGATTGGTTTTCCCTTACAGGTGATTGATCTTTTCTCCCTGACAGCTTTAAGGATCCTTTCCTTGGTCTCTATTGATTCTGTGTAGATTGCAATGTGGTGGTGGGGTATCCTATTATTGTCTGGGCTGTTCAGGGTTCTAAAGGCTTTTTGTATCTGAATGGGCCCTATCCTTTTACACATTCGGGAAGTTCTCTGCTAGGATTCCATTAAATATATTTCCTATTCCTTTAGCTTCCTCTGCAGGCCCTCGTCAATACCTATTTGCCTTAAATTAGGCCTTCTGATTGTGTCTGGTATTTCTTGTAGGGATCTGTCTTGTTTCTTGGATTTGTTTGGAATATTTGTTCTTTCTAAAGTCTAGACTATCTTCAATTCCAGAGATTGGCTTTAATTTCTTTGTTGAAACTTTGTTTTAGATCTTGTATGATCTTCCTTGATTTGGTTTTCAGTGTTTTCTCTCAAATCCTTTAACTGAGTGGCTATACTTTCATTGGACTCCCTTTACTTCTTGGAAATTCTTTCAGCTTTCTGTTTGTGGATTCGATGAATCCCTCTATTAATTAGCTTCAACATGTTTGCTCATACCTATATTCAGGCTTTCAATCTTTTCACTCATCATGTTTACCAGTATTGTTTGTAGAGCATTTTGAGAGCTATCCTCTAGGTTTTCCATTGACTGCTCTGTTGCCTTTTTATTTTGAGTGGGAATTGAGGTTCCTTGACTTGTCATTTTTCTTGTGTTTCTTTGGTTTATTCTGCCTATTTGAAAGTGAACTCAAATCCAATACCATACCAGAACACAATTTTAAGACAAGAACCAACACAGAGCTCTGTAGTTGCACAAACTTTAGAGGTTCACATCATAGATAATTTCACTCTCCTTTTTTGGATATAAGAAGCATATCCAGTACCACCACAGATCATAGTTTTAAGACAAAAACCAACCCTGAGCCCTGTAATTGCACTGATTTTAGAGGTTCAAAATATAGATAGGTATTCCCCTATCTCTGCTTTTCTTTGTTAGGGGAGCGGTAGTATTGTGATTAGGAGTGGGGATTATATACAATTGTAATCAGTAAACAAATCTGTCATGAGGTTTAAAGCAATCTGGACCAAAGGATAACATGATAAAACCACTTGGACACAGTCATAATGAATACATATACAGTCTAGCTCAATGGCAAACAACTAGGGATCACAGACTAAAAATAAAAAGGGAATGAGAGACCAGAAATAAAGGTAAATAGGTTGAGATGAAATTACAAGAAAGATTAAGAGATATGAAAAATAGGAGGAGAAAATAAGAGCAGAGGAATGTAGAGAAGAAAAGGAACAGAAGGAAAAAAACTAAGACCTAAATTCAGAGAGAAAAAAGGGGAGGGGGAACAAGAAAAAAAATACTTTAAAAAGGTATATGAATAAACTAATACTAAAAATAAAAATATGATTGAGAAATAGAGAAGTAATCAAAATACGATCTGAAGTATGTTCACAATGAAGGAGGAAGCCTAGTAATCTAGTGTATTTAGAAATGAACTGTAAAGCCGAATTCGGAAATCCTTACCCAAAAGACCACCAGAGACCGTCACCAATGTAAAAGCGTCACCAATGTAAAAGCAGAGGAGTCTTTATTGCAAGCTCAAGCTTGGTCCCCCGCGCACATGGCAGCAGCCCATGACGCTGAGAGGCCCTGAGCCCAGGGTTACAGCGCTTTTTATACATTTTTTAGGGAAGGCAGAGGCTTTGCATACATCATAACTTCTTGTAACAAATGACTACAAACCGTGGGAAAATCATAAAACAACTCTATTGGGCACTACAAAGCGGGAAAGGACCAGAAACAAGTTGTTAGTTAGATCAAAGGGGCTGATGTACTTTAAACTGGTTGGCTTGCACCACAGGGGAGTCTCAAGAGGATAAGTGCTAAACTGCAGGGTGTCTGGTTTCAATAATGCTCACCAGACCCCAGGAGGGGCAGCTCTGGACTTTCAGATACCTTGACATACTGTCTTGAGAAAACACCATCTGTGGTTCCGAGAATTGTTTGTGCAAGGCTTGCTTTCCTAATTCCTAGCATTGGGGCTGAAGTGGGTCAAGGGTTAAGTTGCAGAACTGAGATGGGGGGTCTTAAGTGAAATGGAGTTGCTTAGGTTCCTCAGAACAGAACAGCAAAGAAGAAGAAACATGGGGAAAATAAAAATAATAAAAGAGTAGGAAAAAAACAGTTAGAAAAAATATTATTTATTTTGGGGGTCTGGGGTCTGCCCTATGCCAGCTATCCAGTCTCTTGATGGAGCCTTTGATTTCCTTGTGATGGTCAGTTTTCTTTGTGGCTTACCTGGTTTCTCTGTTTGAGCACGTAGAAAAAAGTTGTACATTACAGACGGGATCTTTGTGTCTCCTCCCAGACTGATTTAGTGGGAGGGTGATCTGCTTTGTGTGTGACACAGGAAGGAGGCGGCTTGTTTCTGTAGCTTGGCGTCTGCAAGTGAGCTTGGATGTGAGTAAGATTGTGACTTACCTGGAATCAATGGCTTTTCCCAGAAGGTCTAGTTCCTGAGCATCTCTTTTGGCCTAGCTTGGAGAGCTTCTCAGCTTTTAGGGCCTATCCAGTTTTTTTATGTACTTTTTTTAAAATTGAGATTTTACAGATTGTTGGTTTTTTAATTCCGGCAGCCAGCTAAGCTGCAGTTGTAGCTGCTCTTGGAATAGAATGTTACTGTTTACTGTAGAGGGGCAGGGCCGCCTGATAAAGCCCTGCCCTAGGTAACGCTTCCTCAGGAGCTGCAGGACATTTCCCCTAGGCAGAGCTGCCTCTCATTGCTCAGATTCCTTTGCCCTGTTTAAAAAAAAAAAAAGGTGCCACAGCCCCTGTTTTTCCAGCCCAAGTTATCTGCTAACAGCTCTGGCAGGGTCAATGCCAGTATCAAAGATGGCATTCTTCTGGGGGCGGAGAGGAGGCTCTACCCTCCATAAACTGTTCTGTGAGGTTTTTCTTGATTTTTCGAATGGTCTGGGATCTGTGGCCAGCAGGATGTGGATTTTGGCTTCTACTCATCCAGTTGTGCTGGAGGTGAGTTAAAAGCCATGCACACTCTGTCCTGGCTCTGTCTGGCCACCACAGTGCTCAGGTCTGGCTTCTTAAGCAGGCTGCCTGAGTACTTCCTCTCTGGCCCCAAATCTCTGTCCTATTAAGGGTCACTTGGTATGGCTCTAGCTATGTGCATTTCATTGCAATGCTAAAAGTGGTTTCTTGGAGAGAGCTCAGTTAGACCCCCACCTGCACTTCTGCCGTCTTCCTTGGGAATCTTAGTTTTTAAGGTATTTATGGCCTTGTTGGAAAAATTAGAGCCTATTTAGAGAAATTATTAAAGTATTTCCAAAGGAAACATTATTTTCTTCAAAATAACTTAGGGGGATAGGGGAGTATTTGTGTGTGTGTGTGTGTGTGTGTGTGCATGTGCGTGTGTGTGTGCATGTGCGTGTGCGTGCGCACGCGCCTGTCTGGGGCTTGAACTCAGGGCCTGGATGCTGTCTCCAAGGTTTTTTTGCTCAAGGCCAGCTTTCTACCACTTGAGCACTGCTCCAGCTTTTTGGTGATTCATTGAAGATGAAAGTCTCAAACACTTGCTTGCCCAGGATGACTTTGAACTGTGATCCTCAGATTTCGGTCTCCTAAGGAGCTAGGATTATAGGCATGAGCTACAAGTGCAGTAAATGTGTTTTGATGTGGCTAAACCCAGCCATTGGTGTAATGTTGGGGCTGATATTTCTGCTTTTGTGTAGTAATTTTTTTTCTTTTAATCCTAATGCTTCTACTGACTGATACATGAATATAAACTTATAAGCTTCTGAATAGGACTTCCTTAAAGCAATACTAACATGATATATAATACCAAAACCTTTTAAATTCCAATATATCTGGTTGTTATAAACATTGGGGAAGAAGCCACAGCTCTAATCATACAGATAGTGTGAACACGAAATTATGTACCTGTGCACTTGCTGTTGGTATATTGCTGCATTTCAGGAAGATTTAATTTAAGCCATTGGTTCTCAGAAGTATACAGTAAATCGAGTGCATGTCTGAGAACTGATGCACACTGGTTGCAGGTCACATGCTGCTGAGGCTGATTTTGGGGGGGGAGGGGGGATCGGTTATGGGGCTTGAACTCTGGGCCTGGGCGCTGTCCCTCAGCTCTTCAGCTCAAGGCGAACGCTCTCCCACTTGAGCCACAGTGCCACTTCCGGTTTTCTAGTGATTTATTGGAGATAGAGTCTCATGGACTTTTCTGCTCATGTTGGCTTTGAACCATGATCCTCAGATCTTAGCCTCCTGAGTAGCTAGGATTACAGACATGAGCCACCAGCGCCCAGCTTAGCATGGTTTAAGTGTATCTAGGAACTTAATTTTTTAGTAGTCCATGAAGTGATTAATATTGGCTATATTGAGTAATAGTTAGACATTGATTTCATCAAGGTAGACAGAACACAATGATGTGATGGTGAAATGTTTTAATTAAGACTTTCTGCAACAGTAAAATAGTGTTAAGACTATGGATTATTTTTTAAACCAAACCAAAATGGAAGAATACACAAATCAGTGCCATTGGCATTTTCTGGGTATGTTTCAAGTGAAAAACATAATTAACAAAGGAGCATGGATGATTTCAATACTGAGCAAAAGTCTTTTCACAACTATCAAATCAAAGGAAACACTGCTTTGTGCTATGTTATTTTTTTCAACAAAAGGCTTAGTTACCTGTGAAGAAGAGGCTGAAAAGTTTGAACAAAACTACTGCTTTGTGTAGGTATATTCTGCTGTGGATAATTTCTGTAGGGTAACATTAGGTAGTTGCAGAGCTACAGGCATAATCAGAGTCATTTCTAACACACACAGCAGCTGGCAAAATGAAAGAAACTTTAAAACAAATGTTTTCAGGCCCACAAATTCTGAGCGCTCTACTTTGTCATTTGCATCCTGAGCTTCAGATACTCCTCAGCTTTCCAAGGAGAGTCAGGATGTGTGTGGAAATCAGTTCTGTGTCTGTGGACAGTGAGAGGTGAGGGGACAGCCGTTGATGCCAGGAGGAACACAGGAGCTGCTTCTGACATATTCTGCATATTTAGCTTTGTTGGGATGTCTGTCCTTGTGTTAATGAGAAGAACACTTAGAAGTTGGGGGCCTTAAACCATTTGTTTTGTAAAATGTAACAAACATTAGGGATGGGCTGATGGGAAGAGTAAGGAATTACATGTGTTAAAACTTAACTCTGTATCTACCCAGTATTTTGCATATGCAGTCATCCCACGGTGGTGTCTATGGCAGTTAGCTCCAGAACCCATTCCCAAACCTAAATCTTCATGTTTATGTAATATTTGCAAAAAACCTATGTGTATCCTTCTATATACCATGTCATCTCTAATACCTAAAATAATGCAAAGGCAAATATTACTAATCTTGGGGTGAGAATCCTCATATATGGAGGACCAAGTGTAATTTCAAGACATAGTTTCTCTGGAGCCAACAAAAATTTCTCACTCCATGAAACTTTTCAAAGTTGTGTCTCAAGTTACATCCAACAACGAGATTTCACCTGACTTATTAGTTTAGCACAATAAGAATGTAAATGGAGAGAATTTTCTTGACCCAGACAACCTACTGTGGAGTCCAAAGGGTGCTAAGTGGAAATGGGTCGTTTATATAGAGCTCTTGAACAAAAATGGGAACAATAAAATGTCAATGGAAATACTTAGTGATACTTTTTCCTTTTCTATTCTGAGGTAGTTGAAAATTAATCTTATTGTTTTACCACAGTAAGTTACACGTAAGAATTATGAAGATCTTATTGTTTCATCCATAGATCTTACTTTTTAGGTTAGATCTGTGCCTCAAGAGTTAGTTTTGCAGAGATGAGAGGGAAAAATCTGGGAGAGAGCCAAGGAAGTGGTGACATTGTCCAAAAAGAAATGTACTCATTTACCTGACTTATGAAACAGTAACCCTTCTGTACATCACCTTTATAATAACAATGAAAATTAATAATAAAAGTTAATGTTAATGACTCAACAAACTAGAAATTCTTAATTTCTAAGCAAGTCTAATATCTGTTAGTGTCCAACATTTGTAACTTTTTCATTAAACACAGTACATTTGAGTTGACAATGTATGTTCCAGTAATAAATCTTTTTGTGGTCCCTATTAAATATTTAACATAATTGCTTTACCCTAAAGATATCAAATATCAGAGTAAAATTTAATGACACTATTTTTCATGGGAAATGGAGCTTCTAGGACCACAGCTCCCTTCCACAGTACGGAATGGGCAAGGCCTGAATAGTGGCTATGTCCATTCCGTACTGTGGAAGGTTAGGCTATGCCTAACCTTCTGTCAAGTTAAAGTATACTGTGCTAAGGGTGAGCCTGGAATAAGCAGCAACAAGGCCAGCATGTTCCCATTATCTGCTATTTCTGAAGTAAGCCTACCAGAGGGAATGCTGAGTCCCATAGCTCTAGTGTTTAATCTAGCCAGACTGCAGTGTTCTTATATAAATCAGACCAGCAAGCAGGGACTGCTCACTGGGATAAAGGACCAAAGCCTGTGGTGTAGCATGGTGCCAACCATGCTACTCGCAGTGTCTGTGTGGGGTAGATCCTGTTAATGATAGTGTTCACCTTGATCTAAAAGGACCACTGAGGACAAGCTGCCCTCTTCGCTTGGGAGAGGTGAGGCAAGGCATGGTGGCACCGCCATTTGCATTTTATAGTCTGAACAGGGCTCTGGCATGGTTATGGTTGGATTGTTTGAAAAACCGTCCTTGTCTCCACACAGGGGTGATGCCAGTTGAGACACATAATTCAAACTTGCTTCTCCAGCTGGGATTTCTCTCAGAGGTTGCTCACAGTTGCCTTCTAGCACATTTAGTAAGTTGTCAGGTTGGGTCAACAGTCCTAGTTGCCACTGTAGGTCTTTTGAGGGTACTGGAATGTGACCACACAAACCAGCGTCAGAAGCTGACTGATTGTAAGTAAAGTTCTCGAAACAGATCCAGGGCCCAGGGCCTGAGTGCTCTTTTTGCAAGGGATAAAGGTAGGCAGTTAATTCACTCTCCGCCAAGAATGGCTTCTCAGTACCCATGACTTGTGCCTTGGTGCTTTCTGGCTTGTTTATAACTTCAAGAGCATCTGGAATGCAGTCTTTGACATTCATTATTGTTAAATGAGGGTTTTCCTACATAGGAAACAAAAGAATATGTAAATATAAATATACCTGTGTACACCAAAGGTGTATGTGAAAAAGGTATGTGAAGTACACTGAGAGGTTCATGTTTCTTTCTGGTCACAAGTGAGCTTGGAGATGGGGTTGAAAACTAAATGCTTTGCCTGAACAGAAGGAATCAAAGCTACAAACACCTATTAATTTTCCTTTTCCTTCCTTGTCTCCTGCCTTCCTTCCTTCCTTCCTCCCTCCTTCCCTTCCTTCCTGCCGTCCTTTCTTTCCTCCCTCCCTCCTTCCCTTCCTTCCTTCCTACCTTTCCTTTCTTCCTTCCTTCCTACCTTTCCTTCCTTCCTTCCTTCCTTCCTTCCTTCCTTCCTTCCTTCCTTCCTTCCTTCCTTCCTTCCTTCCTTCCTACCTTTCCTTCCTTCCTTCCTTCCTTCCTTCCTTCCTTTCCTTCTTTCCTTCTTCCTTCTCTCCCTCCTTTCCTTTTCTATCTTTTGCTCTTTCCTTCTTCCCTCCCTCCCTTCTCTCTCTCCCTTCCTTTCTTCTTCTTTTCTTCCTTCCTTCCTTCCTTCCTACCTTTCCTTCCTTCCTTCCTACCTTTCCTTCCTTCCTTCCTCCCTCCTTCCTTCCCTTCCTTCCTTTCTTCCTTCCTTCCTTCCTTCCTTCCTTCCTTCCTACTTTTCCTTCCTTCCTTCCTTCCTTCCTTCCTTCCTTCCTTCCTTCCTTCCTTCCTTCCTTCCTACCTTTCCTTCCTTTCTTCTTTCCTTCCTTCCTTTCCTTCTTTCCTTCTTCCTTCTCTCCCTCCTTTCCTTTTCTATCTTTTGCTCTTTCCTTCTTCCCTCCCTCCCTTCTCTCTCTCCCTTCCTTTCTTCTTCTTTCCTTCCTTCCTCACTTCTCTCCTTCCTTCTTCCCCTCCCAGCCTTCCTCTCCTCCTCTCCCTCTTCCTCTCCCTCCCTCTCATTCCCTTCCTGGCTCCTGCTCCAATCCTTCCCCCCCCCCCCATTTCTCCATAGCTCTTTCTCAGTCCTGGGGATGGACCCCCCAGACCTTATACCTGTTGAGTAAGCACCCTACCACTGAGCTACACCTCCAGCCTCTTCAGTCACCTATCTCATAGATGTAGGACCAGAAATGATTCTAATTTGAAGAGGTTTAGGAAAATATCATTACAACTGCCCAAAGTTGGATTTTTCCTTATTAGGGATTTTATATACCAAGAATTTCCTCATATTTGTTTACCTTGGATTTTATCAGTGACAAGATGCTGCTCTTGTTAGGATCTGGGATCTCTGGGTAACACTTCTCCTTCACCCTAGGAAAACAGTGGATATGGAAGTAAATTTCACAGGAGAGCGGAATGGTTAAGAACTCTAGAGTCCTATGTCTGGGTTCTAATCCTTCCTCTATCTCTTATTAATCTTCCATTGTACTTCAGCTCATTGGTTACATAAAGGTAATCCAATACTTACAGTGATCTTGCAAGAACAACATGGATTATTCCATATTGAGTACTTAGAAGACCACTGAATACAGACTGAGATATCTAAATTGGCTATGGCTACTGAAACACTTGCAAACTCTTTATTATATTCTATTTTATTTTTGTGCCAGTCCTGAGGCTTGAACTCAGGTCATAGGTGCTGGCCCTGAGAATTTCTGCTCAAGGCTAGCATTCTACCACCCGAGCCACAGCTCCACTTCTGGCTTTTTTTGGTTGGAAGCTAAATTGGAGATATGTGTCTCACAGACTGTCCATCCTGGGCTGATGTCAAACTGCAATCCTCAGATATTAGCCCCCTGAGTGGCCAGGATTACAGATATGAGCCACCAGCACCTGGCAAACTCTTTATTTTACATTGTTGTTTTTCTCATGTACTGATTTGCAAAGCAAAATTGTCAAAGAAATTACACAACCTCACCTACCTTTGTCCTTTACCCTTTTGTGTTTCTATATTATACAATGTCATTGCTAGCTGATGATGTCCTCTGAGTTTTGGATACAATTTTGTTCACATACTTACCACTGACTTTTCCAGTAACACACAGAAATGATGAACAAGACACTGAGAATCATGGGCAGTATGATCTGTACCAACGTGTAGGCTGAAGAAGGAAAGAAAGAATCTTTGTATGAGTAGTTCTACCTCCTCAAAGAAAATGTTTTTAATTAAGTGTTCAAAGGAGAATACTTTAACATGCTTATTATCCTCACATTTCTATTAGGCAAACTTCATGATTGACCAGTAAGAAGGATCAGTCAGCCAAGATCCAAGACCCTTTTGCCATTGTGAATCAAATCCTTCCTGCTAGAGTGGACCAGTTCCTCACTTACTCCCTAAATTAGAATTACACTTTCCCATCTTTGCCCCAGCTTTGTGGGTAGATGGAGAACATTTTCCTGCTATATAACTATAGGTCTTGGCTTGGCCAATGAGATGATGGTGATTATCTTGTAAAAGGATTTGAAATGTGTTCATGTAGACTGTCTTGCCCTCTGGTGCTCCTTTAACCCATCAGGAGTTTGCTCCAGGTAGCTGCTGCCAAGATGAATTTACATGTAATACATCTGAGCCACTCTGAAGCCTAAATTCAGCTTGGCCTAGCCTAGATGAGAGTCAGGCCACGCTGACCTATAAACCCATAAGCTGAAAGAAAAACTTATCTATCACTGAGATTTTAGCACTGACTAGTAAACTCCTAAGTTGTCTCAAAGTTGCTTAAATATTTCTAACTTTGGGTAATGATGTATGTGTGTGTGTGTGTGTGTGTCTGTGTGTGTGTGCGCGCGCGCTCACGCACACGCGCATGCTGATATTGGGGCTTGAACCCAGGGCCTGGGTGCTATCCCTTAGCTTTTTTGCTCAAAGATGGCACTCTATTATTTGAGCAACAGTAGAGTATTGGTTACCTAGAGGTAAGAGTCTCAAAGGTTTGAGCTGGTTTTGAACTGCAATCCTCAGATCTCAACCTCCTGAGTAGTTAGGATTACAAGCATGAACCACCAGCACCTGGCTAATGGTATCATTTTGTTTCTCAGCTTTATCAGCCATGCTTGTTTTTTCTTAATGCTCATCTCCCTGGTAGAGCTGCTTGTAATTCAACTAATTAATGATTTTACTGGCTGGGTCAATGGACTGTTCACATGTATGATTCTGTTCAACCCATTTGTCTCCTTCAATACTTTTCACCCAACACTTGGCTGGCCAGATAAAATGGGTGAGCTGAATAAGGGCTGCCTTAGGTAGAGGCCACGTCAATGTGATCAGGCAACAGGGGACTCTGGAAAGAAAGACCTCTCAGGTAAGAGGGGACCAGAACTAGCTTCTCAACAACTGGCCCCAGGTTAGCCCTGGCCCAGGGCGGTGGAGGGAAGCTCTCTCCCACTCACTAGGGACACTTTGCTCTCAAGATCAGCCTTTTTGACTACTACAACCATTTCTCAAATTTGGTTAAGTTCTGCATTTATACTGTATTTGCGAACAAGTGTGTGTGTGTGTGTGTGGGGGGGGGGGTGTTAATGATGTTTCCAAATTTGTGACTAGTTTTTACTAAACTTTTTATTAAAAAAAAATAATACAGATTGAATATCCTCCCTTCCCTCCCCTGCCCCCAACTCCCTTCCTGCTTGGTGGATGTTCAGATTTGCCTTAGGGATTATCTTTTCTCCATCAACCAGTTCCTACCATTCTTCTTTCTCCACCTCTCCAGGCAAATGCATTTGGACAAGATAGATCTCCATTCATGACACCTTTACCTGACCAAATTTGCAAACAAGGAGGTGGGGATGTCTCCACCCTAGGCCACCCATCTTTACCAGCCCCCTCTGGCAGCACAAGAAGCAGTTATTTGCCACTGGAAAAGCCAGCTGGCAAGAAGGCTGGCTGCAGAAACTAATTCCACCAGCACCAATCCCACACTGTGGCCTGTTCTATATGGAAGTCTGTGGCTCTTCGAATGTCCACACTAAACTAGGCTTCTGTGATTTCTCGAGAAGGGCCTCAGAAGCCAATGGGAGGCAGAAATAGGTCCAGCCCCTTAATCAGTCAGATTAGCCCTGGCTTTTGGAGTGGGATTCTGTATAATAGTTTGTGGAACAAAAGTGAAGGAGAAAGAGGGAGAGAGAGAAAAAAAAAAGTTTTAGAGAGACAAAATATTTGCAAATTCCAATCTAGACAAAACCTAAGGCAACACTTTCTAAGAAACTCCCAGGGAGAGGGATTCCATGTGTAGGAACTCACAGAGTTCATCTGGAGTGGTGACTGCCCTGAATGTTCCGTTGGGGCCTTCTCCAACACGCGTATAGGATGTGACCAAAAACTCATAGTGGGATTCTGGCTGGAGGTTTTCCACAGTGAATGTCTTTTGTTCTGGGTTTTTGATGTTGTATTTGCAACATACTGAATCATCTGTGATTTAAAAGCAATGTTGTTTACAAGGGGGACAAAAAATAACCTAGCAGCACAGTAGAAATTGGTGAGAGAGCTGGACCCTAATGCTCTTATTGCAAGATTTTTTAAACCACCACTAATGCTCTTATTGCAAGATTTTTTAAACCACCACCAACAAAAAAATTCCAATGATAATCTCACCACCTTGAAGACCCTGAGAAAACTTTAAAGAAAGGACACAACGAGCCAAGAGTCCATTATATAAAGAGAGCAATTGGTGATCCAGATAGACAGGAAGAACACACAGATCTGCCAGTGATGGTGGGAACTCCGAAGAGACTTAGAAGTAAATAGTAAGGCTGGGAGTGTAGTTCAGTGGTAGAACACTTTTAACTTGTGCAAACCTAGTTCATCTCCCACACCACCAAAATAGAACTGAATAGAAATAACGGACAGTCAGGACAGTTGACAAAGTTAAAGCAAAGAGGTCCAGAAAATTCTGTACGTGGCAGGGTTTCTTAAGGAGTTCTTGGCCCAGCCTTGTTCTTTCTGAAATAAGTTACAAATCCTGGCCTTCTTCCTTCTCTTTTTTTTTCTGTATTTAAAAGCTCCTTCTGATCCTAAAGTGATACAAGAAGTCCATTCAGCCTGGCCACAAGCCAGACTCTGTGCTGGGAGTAACCCATGACCTCACTTTTCATACCATGGTTTCAAATAGTGAGATCCTGAGAACACAGGTGAACAAATAAAAAGAAATGTCACCTGAACGAACCGCCTTTTCAAATCCTGGTTGGCACTGTCTGTTTTTGGATTTCAGATAGACACGGTACCCTTGAATAAAACCTGACTGGTCATTTGTGGAGTAATCTGTCCAGCTCAGAACAAAGGAGTGGGAGGTCAAGTTTTTCACCGTCACTGGAGGGTTCATTGAAGGAGCTGAGAAAGAAAGAAGAGATGAGAAAACATTGTGATTTGGAAATGGTCTGAGAACACCCACATAAACTGAACAGAAAACAGTAGCAGCTCTGGACAACATCACGTGTATGCCAAGTAAGGAGCTTTATCTGTGTCCCTTGAGAGTTTAATGTAAGGTTGTGAGAACTGGGAAGGAATTGGATAACGTTCTTGTTCAAGCCACACCTTTTACAAAGACACAGATGCCCAGACAGACAAAGTAACTTGCACAAGATCACATAGACATTTTTACAACGAACAAGTCTTTCTTAGGCTTGATTGTGAACTTGAAGCCTAACTAGCATTTGAGAGAAGACCCAACAGAGAACCTACAGATGAGAAGAAGATGGGAAGGAAGAGGCAGGGTTATGTTCCAAGAGGTAAGAGGCCACATGGCAGAAGAACTCTATTTCCCAAGTTAAGGCAATGAAGTTATTCAGATACCAGTAGGAAAATCTGAGAATGTATATGGAAGCTTTTCCTAGATCTGCTCCGCCACACCAGAGTTCTGCACACTGCTCTATGCACATGAACACAGCCACCAATGCTAAGCCATGCCCCCCCCCCCTTCCTCCTCAGAGGCAACTCGGCTCCTCCCAAGTGAAGACACTGAGCATTGGTCATGTGAGAGAATCAAGTCCTGCTGCACCGTGCTGCTTTCAGTGGCCTGGGATGTTGGATGTCAGAGTGTGAATAAGTACTCCACAAGAAAAATGAAACTCCCCACACTGCTACAGCGACCATGGTGGAAATAGGCAGACCTTTTCACAACATGACTGAAAATTCTTAAACATTATACAAGAAACGAAGGGTATACTTAATTATTTCAAAGCTGCTTAGGAGGCAGAGATCAAGGGATTACGGTTTGAGGCCAGTCAGAAGTTCTGGAGGCTTCATCTCAGCTGATGGATGAGCATGATAGCATTTGCCTGTTAGCCCAGCTACAGAGGAAACACAGTGACTGGGCAGAGTGGGACAGCACAAGTAAGTGGACTGGAGTCCAGGCCAGATGCACAGAAAGCAAGACTCTACTTTGAAAATATCCAACACACAAAAGGAAAGAGGATGGGTCTGGGAAGGTGGCTCAGTGGTAGAGCGCTTGCCTTGCATGCATGAGGCCCTGGGTTCGATTCCTCAGCACCACATAAGCAAAAAGAAAAAAGCTGGAAGTAGCGCTGTGGCTCAAGTGGTAGAGTGCTAGCCTTGAGCTGAAGAGCTGAGGGACAGCGCCCAGGCCCAGAGTTCAGGCCCCACGACCGGACCCCCTCCCAAAAAAATAGCAAAAGGAAAGAGGATTGGAGGCATGGTTCAAGAAGTAGAGCAGGGATCCCTGAATGTGTCCTCAAAGGAATCCTTGCCATGAATACTATTCTAGCTCTAGGACTTCATTGAAGAGTCATTATCGTGGGTATGGACAAAGACTTAGTAAAATGAAAATGATTCATGTAGGATCTAAGAGCAAAGAGAGAGAGAGATTTAGCCCTTAGAAGCACAAGATACTAGGGTAAGTTTTATAGTTTATCAGTGAAAATAATTGTAATCCCTGAAACTGTCCAGTAAAAGGTGACTTGTACTATAGCTCTTTTCAGTCATAAAAGTGACATGGTTAAATACTATTTTAGGACAAGAATAAAAAAAATCAGCTTGTATTCAAATAGAGTAAGGTCCCATTTTTTATTTAAAAGTATATGTCTGTACAAATAAAAGAATGCTCATTTATGATAGAATTGAATGTTTGCCTTATTAGCAACAATTTCCTTTTTTGCATTATATTTCACAAATGACCTTTTAAGGAAAATTTTTATGCCTACATTATTTTTTTAAAATGCAATTCCTAGTATAAATGGAAACATGAAAACTGGGCAAGGGGCGAAATCTTCCTAAACACAAAGCTGGCATCTATGGATGGATCTGAACAAATCCTCACAGGGCCCCATTAAATGCTTTCCACTTACTCAGTTCCTGGTAGTATCCTGTTCTTTTCTCTATTAAAGAAGCAACCCGTCCTGTAGATATTCCATAAACTCTGAAGTCATATCGAATCCCCGGTCTGAAAGCATCTGGAGAAGAAAAGTCAACACAGTTTCAACAACACAAAATGGCGTTCCCCTGGATTGTGGAAAGGAGAAGAGTGAAAAATGAATCTATGTTTCCCGGATCATTTCCTTCTTAGGATTGCTGCATTTTCTCCATCATCCCCCGCTCCTTCCCTTAAGCCTTAGAATCATCTGTGTTATAAACACCTGACCTTGTGGTGTTGACTGCAGCAAAGCTACAGGATTGTCGTCATTGTCAGGAGACAAGCCACACCTGCCATACATGGCCTTATCCATGTGCATCGAACTGGGGGGCAAAACCCTTCCAAACCCTCCATTGACTTGAAATCTCCTCAGGGTCCTTGCCTCAACCATTACAGCTCAAGGTCTTGGAAACTTTGCTTCCTCTTCCTCATTTCCCCTCTCCTCTGCCTCTCTGCACTCTCTTCACCCCCCTCCCCCCTCCCCCTCTTCCCCTACCCCCACCAGGCCACTCTAACCTGCAGGGCAATCCATCTTCTGCAGGAAACAGCAATTCCCACATCTTTCCCTCCATCCACAAGATGGCGCCACACATCCCTCCTGCTTAAGCCCCAAACCTGGATGCCTTTGACTTTGCTAAACTAGCATGCTTCAAGTTATAAATCCAATGTGGGAGGTGAGCCATCCAGATTCTGAATTTATCAGAATTCCAAGTTGAGGGTTGACTCCCACCAACTATAGGTTCCAAACAACTCTCAATCTGTGCACTTCTCTCTCTCTCTTAGCAAGCTCTCTGCCCAGTGGTTATAATGTCCCTGTCATTCATTTGAGACCTCTAATTTTAGAAGAATAAGCTTATCATCATGAAGTAAATGAATCTGGACCTGAGGTCCATATATCTTGTGAAAGTAGACTTAAAAATCCAATCTTAGAATGCAGTTGTATGCAATCTGAACTCCAAGAGCCCAGGTTAGATTTGTTGCTTTGAAATAATGAGCTTGACACAAAGTAACTTGCCAAGTGGACTGGGCAGAGTGGTAGGGCAGCAGTTCTTACCTGAGCTGATGACTGTACTTGTGGTATTGGGTCCTATGTTCTTCCACTGCAAATCACAGAGTGGGTCCTGGAGACGCACACACCAGCCCACAACATAGCCTATGATGTTGTCTGCAGATAGAGGTTTCCAGGACACCAAGAATCCATCCTCTGTACGTTGAATTCTTTCCTCTTTAACTTCTATAAAATAAAAAAAATAATGCTTCTAATTTTAAATAATTGTAATTTTTTTACAGTTTCTAAAGAAAATGAATCTACATAGGCTATGTATCGGCTAGATTTTGGTATGAAATTTCCTCAAAGGTCCTATGTCCTAAAGCTATGTCCTAAAACGTGGCTATTGGGAGATGATAACCCTTCTAGGAGATGGAGCCCAGTGGAAATTAAGTCACTGGGGTTTGTACCAACCTGCTCTCTCTTCCTGGCCATCATGAGGGGATCAGCTCTACTCTACTGTATGCTCCCACCATGATACTCTGCCTTGCCACCAGACCCCAAAACAACACAATTGATTTTTGAACAGAAACCTCAGAAAAATCTCAATAGTGTTTACTTCAGATAGTTGTTTACAAAAAGCTGACTGATAGTAGTTCCCAGCTAATAGCCAAGCATGTTAAGGCCCATGTCAAGAGGCTTGGTGGGGGGACTTCCACAAAGCTTCCCTGCTTCCAGCTTCCCAGGAGACATTCTCACTGAACGGTGACCTGCTCTTCTGACATCTGGAGACACAACTGGGCTTTGGCACCTAGAACAGCAGTCAGCAGACCATCTATTGCCAGAAGAAAATTTCCAGTCTCTAAGGCTGACACTTAATATGACCCTTGAGCAAAAAAGGGTTTTGTAAAACTAATCAGTGATCATCAACAATAATCAATGAACAAAGAAGAGCATAGAATATACAGAGAGACTTCAAAAGCCTGAAATATTTACTCTCTATCCCTTTACCAAGAAACTCTTGGCTGATCCTTAACCTACAGCCAAAACTGACGCTTGATCTGTTTCAACAGTCCAGGCTGCCCTTGGACTGACCACTGCTTCTGAGGTGCGCAGGGTAGGAATTAAGTAGAAAACAATAAGCATTTGTGACAGAGGAGGCTCCCATGTGCTGTGTCTGGTATTCAGGCCCTTTTCCTAACGTCTGACAATGAGAACAAAGGCAACATGGCCTCATGGAACCATTCTCTTCTTTTTTTTTTAATAAGTTTTTTATTGTGAAAATACTGTACAGAGGGGTTACAGTTATATGAGCAAGGTAGTGAGTACATTTCCTATCCAGTATTGTTGCCTCCTCCTTTGTTTTTCCCCTACCCTTCCTTCCCTCCCAACTCCTCAACCATACTCCCCCTCTCGCCCCAACCATTCTTTTCTACAGAGACTTATACTCAACACGGACTTACCTGTTGTGCATAGTTCAAATTACACTGGGCATCTTACATTCTGGCAATCCTGATTACAGAGGAGCATTGGATTGAAAGCATGGTGACAGTATATTCTTCTAGAACATTGCATTGTTAAAGGGTTGGGGCCACCCTGGTATGAGGTAAGAGCCCAAGTAGGCCTTGCAGACCTAACCTTCATGGTTTCCTCACCTTCCTCCATCAAAGGAAAGAATCTCCTTTACACAGAGATGAACATTTACTTCTTAATATATACTTCAAATTTAGATTATAACTCTCAGCAAGCTGCTTCTTTAACACTGCAAATACAAGCTTTTTTTTTTTTTTTTTTTTTTGCTTTGCTGTAGCAGGGCTTGAATGCAACACCTAGCACTCTTACTTGGCTTTTTTGCTCACAGAGAGTATGAAAATCAAGCCATTCAAAACAACTCACCTTTCCCAGAGTCTCCAGAGATGACAATGACAGATGCAGGGGACTGGCCTGCACTGTTGTTGGCTGTGACATTAATTTGGTAAGCACACTGGTCTAGGGTTAGTTTCATGTCATTAGCTAGTCCTGAAGCGGAGTACAGTTTTACCCTGTGTGGTTTGTCTAGACTTTCTGTAATTATATTATAGTGTAGGATCTTGCCTTTGGCGTGAAGTTTTGACAATGGCTGAAAACAAACAAACAAACATTCACAAATTTCTCAAAATGGGCTTTACTTGGAAAGAATTTTATATAATTACTTCTTAACTTTTTTCTATCTACCACTTCCTGGCCCACATGTATGCAAATATACATGCACAAACTACTTTTCACCCCATGCTGACAAGATAATTTAAACAATTTTTTTGTGTTGTGGTGTGTATGTGTGTTGTGGTGTATGTGTGTTGTGGTGTGTGTGTGTGTGTGTGTGTGTGTGTGTGTGTGTGTGTGTGTGTGTGTGTGCTGATACTGGGGCTTGAAGTCAAGGCTTACGTACTGTCCCTTAGCTTTTTGCTCAAGGCTGGCACTCTACTGCTTGAACTATACCTCCTCTTCTGGCTTTTTGGTGATGAATTGAAGAGTCTCACAGACTTTCCTGCCCATGCTAGCTGTGAGATCTTCAGGTCTCAGCCTCCTTAGTAGCTAGTGTTACAAACAGGAGCCACTGGCACCTGGGTAATTTAAACAATTAAATAGAAAAAGAAAACTTCTCTACACAAAACCTGGAATCAAGCATTCTAATTAAGAAAAGTGAGTGGAGAGTACAATCATTTAGGGATTATATTCAAGATACAATGTTCAGAGAGCAGTGATGGAGTCTGGAGTCAATAGGATGGAGAATAAGACATGGAGGAAGAATAAAACATGGGGGCAGCCCAAGAAGAGAAGATCTGGGAGAAGAGCCAGCAGCACCTCAATATCATTGCAGGAGGAACCGGAGTCCTGCTCTGATCTCTTGTCCAGTCATGTCTTCTCCCCACCCAGGAACAACTTTCCTCATTCTAGAAGATTCTTCAGGTTGTAGAGAATTTCCTGTCCACACAGTGGTAGCAGGAGGTCCAGGTCTGCTTCTCACCCCCCACCCCCTGCCAGGACAGACTGTGCTCTGGAGTGTGCATCCTACACCTGAGGCTGAGTTTGGACAGCATCTGGAAGGAGCCTGGTGGGTATGTATGTATGCATATATGTATGTACAGATGTCTCTACAGAATGTGCCAAACTCCAGGAGGGAAGAAAAGCATGGAGGGGTGTAGCCAGGGGCCAATGACTCTTTCACCATGTTTCAGTCTAAAACACCCAAGAATCTTAGAGTTCTGAATACAAAGCTGGGCTTCCAGGTCATCCTGGAGAAGATGAGGCTAGGTAGCAGGATGCAATGTGCTGTGTATGAAGTTTACTGTATTGATTTGAAGTTTTAAATATACATAAGGTATTTAAGTATTCATAACTTTTAAAATATGATATGTGGAAGGGGCTTACACCTAGAATCTCAGTGATTTGAGGCAGAGGATTGTGGGTTGAGGTCAACCTAGGCAAAAGTTTAACGAACAAGATGAGCATGATGGGGAGCATGCATAATTCCAGCTATGTGGTAGGCATAAATCAGAGGATTACGGTCTGAGGGTGACCCTAAGCAAAAGTGCCCTACCTGAAAACTATCTAAAGCAAAAAATAAAAGATCCGGGGACATGGCTCATGTGGTAGAGTTCTTGCCTAACAAGTGCAAGGCCCTGAGTTCAACCTCTGGTACCACCCAATGCATTATCCATCTACATATGGTGTGTGGTCTTCTGCGTATACCTGAGCCTTGTGGAAGTTAGGGATGGCAGAGTTGAACACACTGACAAGAAGGTTCTAAAGGTTCTAGCAATTAGTGCATGCACTCACTGTCAGGGAAGAGGGGGTGCAAGCATTAGGATGGAGGTATGGAGGGACCCCCGCCCCCAATCAGGACTCATGTGGAGGTCCTCCTCCTCTGCTGCTGGGCAGAGGCATGCTAGTTAGAGTCACTGAAACCCCAGAGGCAGCATCAGACATTCTGAAGCTGCACGTCTTACCTTCCAGAATAAGTTCACAATACAACTGCCATTCTCTTCCCTCACTGTGCTCCAGACAGCAAGAGCCTCTGAGGGAGCTGAGCAAAGAGAAGACCTTGGGTTAAAAGATGAGCGTGAACCAAATGCACACACTCAACGTCATTCTAAGACAGCAAGGATCACCTGCCCTGCTAGTGGTCTGCCTCTCACCTTCCGTTCTCGATGACTTCTACCCCTGTGCCCAAAGCCATGCTACTTACTTCCCACTAGGCGTATATAATAGGTTTTTAAGAGAAGAAAAAGATCAGCTGGTCCTGAATACAACAAGAAACTCAAATCTTTTATAAATGACAAGACCTAGAGCATCTGAAAGCCACCAATAATTTTTTTTATCAGAGCAATTATAGGAGTTAAGTCAGATACATTTCCCCATGTTTTTACTTTCTAGGTAGCAGGTCACTGTTACTTCCTGGCTGTACTGGCAGTGCCCAGCAGAGGGCCCTCCAGGGGTGGAAGCATGCTCGTCCGCTGGTTTGAAAATGACTACCCAAACCAAAACACAGCTGTGATGAAGGCCAGGCTGTGGTGCACGCCAATAAAATACAGTTTCTCCTACGATGTTCTTTGAGTCTATCTATGCCCTCGTGACATTGATTATACCTTAATTGTGACAATCCACTTAAACACTGAGTTTTCCAGCACTAATTAAGCAAAAATGTTACCACAGGTTAAATAAGTACCTATAGATTCACCATCAGTAGGATGCATCTTATTTTCTTTTTGTCCATTGAACTCTGGGCCTGGGTGCTGTCCTTGAACTCTTCAGTTCAAGGTTAGCACTCTACTGCTTGAGCCACAGCGCCACTACTGCATCTTACTTTCTTGGCAGGACCAAAAGCCAGTATAAAAGTGTTTTCAGGCTTATGATATTATAATCCAAAGATATTCTACCCATTTCCTACTTCCCTTTGCACCAATCCTGTTGTACATTTGATTAGTTACCATTACTGTCTACAAATTAGAGCCATTGCTTGAATGGTGTGCCGCCAGAATACCGCAGAAATAGTTCTGCCGCCAATCTACAACGAAGAAGAGACACAATGTACATGTGTAGTCCTGCCTTGGGCAGCAGCTTGGCCAGGACTTGAATCAACATGATTTCAGGGCTGTAATAACAATGTGGAATGATAACACACCAAACCCAGTGCTGGCTAAGGAGGGGCTCCAGGCCAGGCTGATGAGTTTGAGAAGGATCTTAGTCACCCACGGCTGGGTCTGAGAAATGACTTCACTTGTCTGTGCCTCAGTGGCCTCCTCTACAATCATACAGTACCTTAACCATGCTTCCATTGGTAGTGAACACACAACAGATGTGAGCTGCAGTCGTTGTTATTGTGTGTGCCATTAACACTGCAAACTTGGTGAGTCTTTCAGGAACAACAGTAAAACTGGAAAGATCTTGAAGCAATACTAGGATAGCTCATTTCCTCAAGCCCAGTTGAGCTTGGGGGCATATTATTTGGGGGAAACTGTGTGGTCAGCTCTGCAGAAACTAATGCCAAGAGAATGCAGAGAAGGTTTCCAGTGTGTCCTAAAACTGAGCTTGAAAATAGCATTATACTGCCCAACATGAGCTGATGCGTAAGTTTACTTTAGTATGAGACCAGTGTTTCCCATGGCATTTAACAATTTCCATTTTTCCACAGTCTTGAGTTAAAGATCTAGGCTAATTAAAACAGCCTCAGAGCCAATAGGAATCTAGAAACAGCAACAGCTGAGAAACTATTTTAGAAAAATGAAAAGCAAGTGATAGAATGTCCTAGAAAGAACACTGATGTCAAATGTTTGAGTTTGCTGTCTTCCCGCTCATTAGGCATTTGTTGCAGTTTTCTAAATGCTCTCTTCGTTCAGCTGTAAGGTGGAGGTCCTCTTAGTTTTAGATGCAGCTCAAAGCTCACAAGAAAGTCAATCCATCTCCTGGGGCTTCGGCCTTCCTCAGCTTAAGTTCCAGGGAAAGCAACATACCTGCCTCAGATGTGCTGAACTTCTGACAACTCCATTCGCTCCACTTCCAGAAGTGGCTTGCACCAGCACATCGGATGCAGGCCTGGTACTCTGTGTCAGGCACCAGTTCACTGAAGATTTCCTCACCACTCACCTTAACGGACACATTGGACTGCTTGACCAGAGAAGAAAAGAAAGCAAAAAAGCAAAGACGAAGACTGAATTATTAGTGATTACACTTCAACGCAACCCTAAATCAGAGCACAGAAAATCCTGAGTGGGAGAAAGGCCAAGTTTTCCTTTGGAGAAAAATATCCATGAGGCCTTTCCCCCAATAATAAAAGATTAATTAGTTAATATATTTATTGGTTTATTTATTTGACAGTACGGGGGTTTACACTCAGAGCCTTGTGTTTTCTAGATAGCTACTCTACCATTGAGTTACATCTTCAGCCTTTTATTTCTCTTTTCAACAGATGATCCACACTATATAACAAACACAGAAATAATACTTTAAAGGGATACATGTATTTGTGTGTGTGTGTGTGTGTGTGTGTGTGTGTGTGTGCGTGCGCATTTGTGTTTTGAAACAGTATTTCTCTTTGTAACCCAGGCTGGCTTTGAACTCACAACCCTCCTTGCCTCTCTGTGAATAAAGGTATGCGCCACAACATTATGATAATTTTTTTCAGCAGTCTCTCTTTTAGTTATATCAAAAGACTTTTAAAAATAGAGAATTAAGCTGAACACTTACTTGTATTACTTTTCCTTCACCTTCAAGTTCAATCTGACACAAAAGTGAGTAACGATTTCCATGGTAGAGCACATTCCATCTTAGTGTGGCTTGTGTGGCTTCTATACTTTCAAGGCTGACATTATAGGGAGCCAATGGATGAACTGTCAAACACACAAAAGAAAGAAACAAACTCAGGTCCAAAAGGACTAAAGAGAAATTTTTATTTCATTTATTTGATCAGCAAGCATTTTCATGTTTAAAGAAAATGGCAAACAAAACCAGATTTATTCACAAGATGTAAGAGTCAAGACAGCCTTTCTCACTCACTGATCAGACACAAAACAGGAGCTGTGCATGTACTCTTACACATCAACAGGCCCGCTGTGGAGAAGAGTCAAAGCATAGAAAGGGGAGCCATGCAGGTTGATAAAAACAGAACCCAGAGTCTAACAAAAAATAAAATAAAAACAAAAACAAAATCACATGAACACTGTCTAGGATATAACCGCAAATTATCCAATATCTAAAACCATCTGGCATAATGCCCTGATTCCTCAGGGAAAAGATGATGAACAGATGCCAGTCTCCAAATGCCACCATTAGGCAGTGGCTTCAAAATAGCTCCATTTGTATAATGTTCAACACAGCTGGAATGAATAAAAGGGGAAAAAAGTGTGGCAAAGAAACAGAAGCTATCAAAAGAGAATTCAAACCCCAAACTATAATTGAAATAAAAGCCCATGTGGGATTCAATTGCGAAAAAAGACACATGGAAAGCACTGTGTGTCCTGCCCTTCCACTGAACTCAGTGACTGTCCTGTCCATTCACGGAGGGAAGTAGATATGACTCATAGCATGGGAACTCTAATAGTAAATAGCAACGAAGAGACTGGAAATACTACTGAACTGGCAATGGATTTCCTCTTCTTTTCCATCACTCCTCCCAACACCTGGCTTACATGAGAATACAACAATGAAAGTGAGTGTAAAGTCCCAGTTTTCTGACTGGAGAATCAAAAGGATTCTGGTTCCAGGGAACTGGAACCACAGGCAATTATGGAAAGAAAGGAACTTGGGAATGAGGCTGTAGGAAGTTGCTCATTAGCTCCATGTTCACTTCCCAATTGTGCTTGCCTGGACTTCACATTACAGAACATACCAAAGACTTGGCAGATCACTAACCAGGTCCTAGACTAGATATACAGATTTTAAAAAAGCACTGCACAGCTCTAAACTACCACTGGACCCATGGCTCACAAGCACATGTTGAAATGTGGCCCACATCTAACCAAGTTAATGGTCAACTGAAATAAAATGGTCAATATCCTCCAGTGGTCCAAAAGTATCTAGAAAAAATCCCAAATACAAACCATTAGGGAAGAAGTCTCAGTTGAAATGGGAAAATATAGTCAACCAATGCTGGTGAAAAAGTGACCAAAGGTGATCTGGAGGTTGAAATTATCTATGAGAAGTTTTAAGCAAGTGTTATACAAAACTGTTTTAACAGGCAATTGGGAAATGCACCAAATAAAAGGCAAACAACAAAAACAAAACCAGAACATCTCAGTGAAGAACTAAGACAGAAGTTTTAAAGCTGAAAAAAAAAAATACAGTAAAAATTAAAACCTCACTCCAAGGCTCAGTAGAAACATGTGGCAGATGAATGAGGTAGAGTGATACAATAGGAGGAAAAGGAGATTTTTTTTTTGGGGGGGGGGAAGGCAGTACTGGGGTTTGAACTTAGAACCTCAAACTTGCTATGCTGGTACTCTATCATGTGAGCCATAATCCCTGCCAGGAAAAAAGATTTTTAAGGAATACAAAAAGCTTCTGTGAAATCTGAAATTATTATAAAAAGAAAGCTCTAACACATGGTAAACCTTGACAGAAACTAACAAGCTCACAATAAAACCTAACACAGGACAACTACAAGGAAATGTGTAATAAACACATAATAACCAGAAAGATCTTGACTTAGACATGGCAGTACATGACTGTAATCCCAGTGAAAATGGGAGGATGTGGTCTGAGTCTTTCTTTCTCCTCATCTTCCTCCCTCTTTCCTTCCCTCCTTCCCTGCCTCCTTCCCTCCCTCTCTTCCTCCCTCCCTCCTTCCCTCTGTCATTTTCTATCTTTGCTTACCATTGGGCACAGCTCTCTGGAGACAAAGCATCTTATGACTATAGTGCTACATGTGATGCTATGGTGTGAACCACTTGTTCTTACTTGAATGCTTGCAGAGGGCACCGATGAAATTGGACATATCCAACTGAGCTGAGTTATTAACCAGAACTGTGCAAATAAGATGAGGACCCATTGCTGTATGCACAAACGTAATCTCTGCAAAGGGACACCTGCTCTTCCTCTGGCTATGTAGAGATTTCAAAAACATGCTGACTAATGGTTTGTAACCCTTTACTGATAACTGTCAAACCAAAACATACAACATAATGAGCTGTAGCAGCCATCTAATCAGATGGTCATCTTTTGATGGAGACTGGACCTGAACATTCTGCCCACGTGACCAAATTACACTCTGTGGTGATAGCTATGCTGGCCATCCCTACCACAGCTTGCTTCCTGAGAGAAGGAGGTGTGGAGCTGTGGCTGAGGGTGAAACTTGACCTGAGGACTGCTTGGTATAGGAATAGTTTTTCTGAAACTTCTAGTTCTCTATCCCCGATCATCCCCTGTTTTAGATTTGAGCTGAAAAGACAGGAATGGGATGCTAGGCTTCACTGATATTTATGGTCTGACAAAACATGATCTGATACTTGCAGGGAAATTCAAGCACATATGCTAACATAATGAAATATCATCAGAGCTACATAACTATAGCAACAAACACAACAAAGCGGCCTACAGATTGCCACGTAGCAGTAGTATTAGAACAAACAGACCAAGATCATTAAATAAACAAAAGAAATACAATGTTTAAAAACAGATCTAGAAAATCTAATACATTATACAGAAGCTTTAACTGGCTAGATGCTGAGGGCTTGCTCTGGAGTTTGACGTTAGAACAGGAGGATTATAAGCCAAATCAGGCAGAAAAGCCCAAGAGACTTCATCTCTAATTAACTTGTAACAAATCAGTACTGGAGCATGACTCCATTGGTAGAGCACTAGCTGAGCAAGCAAGCAGAGTGAGCAGGCCCTGAGTTAAACTCCAGAACTACCCCAAAAGAAGATACAACAAGTTTAACTTCAAACCTTATAAAGTATCTTCAAAATGTCTAAACAAAACCATATTAAAGTACAAGGGTAATTTGAATACAACTTTGCAAAGTCGAGGGTATAAAAGACCTGAACAACACAACAAAACACTTAATAGATGCATAGAGCATTTATAGTTCATCATACAGTACATCAATGCCTGAGAGCCTGCATTTCCCCAGTACTATGCATGATAAAGCTTCTGATCTACAAAACACATGTTGACAGCCAGATACTAGACCATAAAAACATATCTCAACAAGTTCAATGCAAATATATTACATAGATATCTTCTCTGGTTCAGTGAAATTCTAACAGAAATTAATAATAAAAAATGAGAATTTATTCCTTTTGGAAAACTTAAAAGCATGGATTATTAATGGATTAGAAATAGTATCATATGTAGTCCACTGGAAAGAAAGTGTCCCAGTACCAAAACTTGTTGGGTTATTTCAGATGCCCCAAACTGATTTTTCAGTGGAAGTTTACAGCTTTAAATATTTTGTTTATGAGCCAGTTTTCACTGTAAGAAAATACAGGAATAACAAAATAAATTTAAGAAAATAGAAAAAAAATTTGAAAAGAACAGTGAAAATTCAATTAATTAAAAAGGATGGCATAAAGGGGATATTTTAAGAGCTAAAAATTGGGTTTTAAAACCCTAGAGTAGTTAAGCTTCCAGCAGGATTGAGGAATAAGGGCAAAGGAACAAAGATCTAGGGACACAATACTGTAAATGAAGGACAGAACCAAGGGGAAGCCAAAGGTAATAAGGTAACTGAGTTTTCAACTATACAGAAAGCTCTAAGGAAGTAACACAAAATATTAAAGAGTAATATGAATCAAATTTACCAGAAACCATAAGCAAGGTAACAGAGCTCAAGAAAGATCAGATATACAATTATTTTTATCTAATGAATTCTGTAACCTGTAGGTAAAGAAGAGGTTTTAATAAATAGAATTGAAATCAGGCACTGGTGGCTCATGCCTATAATCCTAGCTACTCAGGAGGCTGAGATCTGAGAACTGCAGTTGGATGCCAGCCTAGGCAGAAAAGTCTGTGTGACTCTTATCTCCAATAAACTACTCAGAAAAAAACTAGAAGGGGTGCTGTGGCTCAAGCACTAGAGTGCTACCTTGAACACAAAGAGGCTTAAAGACAGCACACAGAACCTGAGTTCAAGCCCAAGGACCAGCAAATACAAATAAAATACAAATACAAATAAATAATTGAATTGAAAAATCTCCAATGATATAATTCTACCTTATTTAACATGTAAATATAAGTACTAGGTGGAGCTGAGATTTTTATTTTCTTTTAAAAACTTTTAAATTCTCAGTAGAAATTTATAGGTGATTATGTTTCTAATTTTGAAGTAGACAAGGATTTAAGAGATTTTCATGGAAGTTTTTAAAGTGGAGAACCTTCGTTTATCAGTAGACATGTAAAAGAAAGTGAAGAGGTACAAACTGAAAGATGATATTAGCAAACAGGACTTGACAACAAAGGCTTAATATCAAGAATAAATAATTCTTACCCATGGGGAAAAACATAAACAATACATAGAAAAGTAGACAAAGAACTATGAATAACTCTACTTCATGAAAGAGAAAATGGATGTGTTCAAAACATAGGTAGAGGAATATAGATCAAATGTAGATCAAAATATAGGAAGAGAAAGATATATCAAGATCAAATGAAATGTCACTTCACACTCCTTCCATTGGCAAATGGAAGAGATCATACCAATTTGAGGAGAACATTTGAATCCATAGGGCAAAGGTATAAGTGGAATAACCACTTGGGAAAATAATTTGATATATTCAATTATTTAGACATTCTGTCTCTACCAGTTCCCCTAGTCAGCCAGGTGCTGGTGGCCCAGGCCTATAATTCTAGCTACTCAGGATGCTGAGATCTGAAGATCATAGTTCACAGCCAGCCAAGGCAGGAAAGAAAGCCCATAAAACTCACTTCCACTAAACTACCCAGAAAAAGCCAGAAGTGAGGCTGTGACTCAAGTGATGAGTGCTATCCTTTTTTTTTTTTTTTTTAATTATTTTTTATTTTATTTTTCGCCGGTCATGGACCTGAATTCTGGGCCTAGACGCTGTCTCTCAGCTCTTCAGCTCAAGGCAAGCGCTCTACCGCTTGAGCCACAGTGCTACTTCTGGCTTTTTCTGTTTATGTGGTGCTGAGGAATCGAACCCAGGTCCTCATGCATGCAAGGCAAGCACTCTACCACTGAGCCACCTTCCCAGCCCGAGTACTATCCTTGAGAAAAAGAAGCTCAGGGACAGCGCCCAAGCCTTGAGTTCAAGCCCCAGGACCAGCACACACACACACACACACACACACACACACACACACACACACACACACACACACACACACACGATAGATGGGTATTGGCTCACATGTAAAAATGTTCATATTAAATGAACAAACAAGACAAAAGAAAAAGAAAACAGTAACGAATTTTTTTCTTTTGCTTTTGTTTGTTTATCTGTCTCTGAGAGGGTAAATGAGTAATATAGAAATGGTGGGACAAATAGTGAACAAATGCCACAGTGATACTCACTACACACTATGTTGCGAATGAACCATACAATTTGTGGTAGGGATGGGAGAAAAAACTGGTAAATAATGAGGGAAGGGATGACATTATTCAAAAAGAAAAGCTCATTACCTGACTTATGTAACTGTAACGCCTTTGTACAACACCTTTACAATAATAATAATTTTTAAAGGCCTTAATAAAATTCAACATTCTTTTTTTTTTGGTCAGTCATGGGGCTTGAACTCTGGGCCTGGGCGACAGGCGGCAGCTCTTCAGCTCAAGGCTAGCACCCTACCACTTGAGCCACAGCACCACTTCCACTTTTCTGGTGGTTAAATGGCGATAAGAATCTCATGGATTTTTTTGCCTGGGCTGGCTTTGAACCATGATCCTCAGATCTCAGCCTCCTGAGTAGCTAGGATTATAGGCATGAGCCAAATTCAATATTTTAGCATAGCTAAATTCAATATTCTTTTATGATAAAAGCATTGATGAAACCTAGAAAAGAATTTAATTTACTAGAGACTATGTATGAGAAACCTATAACGAACATCACCTTTGTACACCAGCATATACTAATAAAAATAAATTCAACAAACTATTCATATTAATTTAAACTGTATCCAAAACCAAAACCTTCATAACAACCTGAAATCTTTTGAAAAAGGTGTGAGTCATACATTTACATGAAATACTATATTAAAGTATAACAGACTATAACAGCACTCAACAGTGAGTTGAGTATTGAGTATTCACTTTGAGCATCAACAGCGAATTGTAAGAATTTAATGCTATATAAAAAGAAAGTAATAGACTATTACATAGAGCATCACATCCTCAGTGAATGAGACAAAACATAAACATGATTTTAGAAGGACAAAACAAGAACATAAACCTTTACATCTACACGCAATTTAAAGCAATAGTATTTGTGTGTGTGTGTGTGTGTGTGTACGCACGCACACGTGCCGTACTAGGGCTTGAACTCAGGGGCTCTCATACTTGCTTAGTTTTTTCTCTCAGGCTGGTGTTCTACCACAGCTCCACTTCCAGCTTTTTGTTGTTTAATTGGAGAAAAGAGTCTCTCTGATTTGTCTGCTTGGGCTGGCTTTGAATTGTGATCTTCAGATCTCAGCCTCCTGAGTAATTAAAATTACAGGCTTGAGCAATCAGAGCTGGGCTGGGTCTCCTGGTTTTAGTTACCATAATAAAGAAGATGGTAATGATCTTGGTGGGAGGGAAACATTGGGAGAGTGTGGACTAGAATATGAGACAAGTTCATGTCAGTCCTAGTTTTGAAGTTGCTTGGCAAGTTCCATGGTACTGGAGACACTATGAAAACAAATAATAATGAATACACACACTCATCATGTTAATTGTGGAATGAGCAACGGGTAGAAAGTATAACTTCCACTTAGGCTGTGAATTGAGGAAAACTCTCCAGCACATTCACTGGATGCAGAATGAGTTTAAGTTAAGTTAGTTAAGTCGATTCTTACCTCGATGAGTCAAGTTAAAAAAAATATTGACACTCCTTTTCCTTAGGTGATTTTCAGCTATGAGAGTGAAATTATATATTTCTTGCAATTCTTGAGTGATTTTCCAATTGCATACATTTTTGTGCTCACAATGTTTCCTTTCCCTAGAGACTCTTTAAAAAGTAAACAAAACAAAAGAATTAAAGGGTCTATATTTCTGTCACAGCCACAAATGTATGCTTATCTTTTGGGCACTTTAAAACTTTATTCTACCTACTGCCTCTATCCATCATCAACAAATACTAGTAATAGAAAACACGCATCGATGAGTTTGCTAGAACTGATTAAATGTGTGGACAATGAATTGCTGACTCTCCCTTGTGGGTGGTGAGAACATTTAAACTATTTTGAATATTCTCTAAAAGTCAGAGAGCCAGATGATCAGATGAAAGGGTATGTTTTTTCCCATACAGATACATCATGAACGCTTTTTCTTATTTTTGTAACTTTTTTTTTTTTAAAAGATATGTAGTAAATAGTATATTGATCACTTCAAGACTTCTGCCTGATCCCAGCAGGTGGTTTGAAAATATCCATTCAAGGTGGTTTTGCAACATCTACGTGTGACTTGTGTCATGCCACGTGCTTTATTAACAATGATTCTACTGTGAATAAGGCAAGCAGAACGAACTTACGATTCAACTAACGTGTAGCTTTGGGAAGGCTGCATAGACCAACCTAAGCCAGTGTCCACCCCGGGACTCCATGTACAGCTCAAAGTCTTGAAGTCCCGGGTCTCACAGGAAAAATCCTTGGGCTCCTCAAGAACTTCTGTCCATAAGAAGAAACAGAAAAAAAAGATGAAAGACCTGATGAAGCCCCTTTCCTGGAAGATACATCAGATGGAAAAGGATGAGGTCCTAAGCCAAGAGAGTCATCTCTACCACGAAGGGTCTGCCAAGGTGGAAGCCAGCAGCAGATCACTAGCTTCACAAAGTCACATTTCAGGTGCTCTCTCAATGTTCCCTCTTTCTGGACTCCCTGGTGATTTTTTCCAGACAGAACAACTGTTTGGCATTGTGTTCCCTTGAGAACAGATATGTCCCCAGTGCCAATCAACACTTCATTTTGGGCGCTGTGACTCACATTGCTCCCAAGGGGAACCAGAACGTTAGTCAGACTTTGTGAACCGGCAAAACTCCATCGCTGGGAGCAGAAAGCTGCAAGGAAGAGAGAAGGTCCTGCAGGACATCAATCACTGTAGTTCTATGGGCCATGCTAAAGGGTACAGATGAACTAAGCATCCAGGAGACTGGAATGACCAAGAAGGGAGATGTCACAGATTTTGCCCTTCTGTCTGTAGGAATGGAAGACAGAACATAGAAGGCTGCTGAATGGAGGCCTAAGGAAAAAGTCAACTTGTTCCTATTCCACTGACGCAGCCCAGGGAACTGATTTTCCATAGGAATGAGCAGCAATATCACCATTTGCTGAACTTCAGCTGCCTGCAGCCAGGCCTGGACCAGGCACGGTCTATGTTCATTGGTCTTCACCATCACCACAATCCTTATTCCATAGAAGTGAAAAGTTGGCCCAGCCAGGGGATCTGATCCCAGCCCTTCCAGACAAGTACTCTGGCTGCCTTTCTGTGGTTGGCTTTCTGCAGCCCTTCTCCCCCATGTATGATCTTGAGAGAATTTCTACACCACAAAAGGAAAGCAAGATATTTTCATGTCATGATCTGAACTTTCTCTCCTTTCATGATGCCAGTTTCTAGGAATGAAATTGTCAAGGCAAGAAAACAACAGGAAATCCTGGAAGTATTGCTTCAGGATACTGCTTTTAGACCCTCTCCTTAGAAGACTTGAAAAACAATAGGAAATGAAGACCAGTGTGGAAATACATGTTTACTTGTCTTCGGTAATGCAGGTTCGGCATAGTCTATCAGAAATGATTCAAAGGAAAGACATACTTACTTGAGACAAAGAGAACAATGCCATCGGTAATATTTGTTGGCTTCTCCATACAGTAGAAATTCATCCCTGATACTCTAACAAAAGGAACATTACTCAATTCGAATGTCAGTATATGTGAGTCAAGTTGCTCTCCATGAATCGTTTCACCTTCCAAATAACAGAATATATCTTTTAGATTGCTCCCAAAAATAGAGCAAATAGTAACATTGGCACCCTCTTCCACCAGTTTCCGTTTAGGGAATACAAACAATGCATTAGGTTCAAGAGGATTTTGAGCTGCAAGACAAAAAAAAAAAAAAGTTGGGTTAGAATCTTCCTCTGAATCCAAGGCAAAGCCCCTCCCACTTCAGCCTCAGCCGACTTCCTTAGCTCTTCTGCCCCCTGAGAAAACAGCTGGAACTTCCACATCAAACCTATACCCTTTGTTTGGTACATGAAAAATACTCTTGTTCCTACTCGATATGAATTATCACTGTTTCTGCCAAAGACAGCATCATTACCATTATTCCCACAATCCCTCTATTGGTGTTATTAGAAGCCCTGCCTGTGGAAGGCCCTGGGTGAAGTGTTTGTGTATCACGTTAGCTCCTACCTTGTACAAAGGGGGACACGTAGGTCCTCTGAGCCATCTGCTAAGCTAGTCAGTGGCAGAAGGCACAGGAAGTCTATCTATGAGGTGTGTTCAACTCCCTAGCCATGTGTCCTTCATGATCTAGCAGAGATAGAATAAAAGGGCTCAGTCCTTCCCAAAAGCGTGTTTTCTGCTTTTTATGTTGTAGTTTTCTTAGTTTGTTGGTTTTCTCCCAGAGCCAAAGCTGTCTGGAGCCAGCGGAGCAGGTGTCATCACTCAGTTGCTAGGCTGACAGCCACCTCCCCCTGTCCACTTCCGGAGCCCAGGCATGAGTAGCCACCGCCCTGGGTGTGCAGAAAGGTGATAGGGGACCAGGATCAGGAAAGGTAGTGACAAGCACTGGCATTTCTCTGCTTCATGCTAATGCAGTTGGGAAAGGTTCCATAGAGGCTGCTTCTGCTGCACAACCACGTTGTCAGGACCACAGAGACTATTCTAGAAGCTGCCATCGACTGCCACGGTTTCTGCTAGCTTCCAGAGCCACCTAGGAAGCCACCATGGTGTTTTGCCAGCTATGGATGCTCCTGAAGTCTTCATTCTAGTCGCTATGAGCATGTCACTGCAACCTCATAACATCAAAGGCCAGACTGACGCAGTGCGCATGGGCAGACTAGCAGAGCCATGCAGAAAGACTGTGTGGGCACAGTGACAGAGCACTGTGCACCCAGTGGGACTTCCCCCTTTGTCTAGGTAAGCACCTCTCCTCTCTTCTGCAGGAAGCCAGACCAGGAACACTCCAGTGTACTGCCTCCCGGGTACCAGGCACAAGTCCCAGTGCAGTCTTGTTCTGATGGCTTTCTCTGGCCTATTCATAATTTCCATCTGACTAAACCAAGCTGGTTACACCAAGAACTAAGCTCTCCTCTGCCACCACGATATTCCGCCCAAACACACAGAAGCCAAGTAATCAGGGAGTAAAAGCTCTGTAACTATGAACCAGAATAAAGCCTTCATCCTTTAATTTGTTCGTGTAAGGTACTTTATCACAGTAATGAGAATATAATCGACACAACTTCATAATTAGCTCAATGAATAAGTTCCAAGATAAAAACCTTAGACCTCCATCTCCCTGTGGCAAATTTCACATCCATATGATACTTCTTTTTCCTTTTTTTTTCTTTCTTTATTTTTTGTTGTTGGTCATAAGGTTTGAACTCAGGGCTTAGGTGCTATTCCTGAGCTCTTTTGCTCAAGGCTAACACTCTACCGCTTTGCACTACAGTGCCACTTCTGATTTTCTGGTGATTAACTGGAGATAAAAGTCTCACAGACCTTAATGCCCAGGCTGGCTTTGAACCATGTTCCTTAAATCTCAGCCTCCTGAATAGCTAGGATTACAGCATGAGCCACTAGTCCCTGGCTACACCCACGCTTCTTAGTGCCAATATGAGGCAAAGGAAAATGGCATGGGGTATCTACCCAAGATTCTTTTTTTTGGGGGGGGGAGGTCCGATCATGGGGCCTGACCTCTGGGCCTGGGCGCTGTCCCTCAGCTCTTCAGCTCAAGGCTAGCACTCTACTACATGAGCCCCAGCGCCACTTCGGCTTTTTTCTTTTTTCTTATGTGGTGCTGAGGAATCGAACCCAGGGCCTCAGGCATGCAAGGCAAGATCTCTACCACTGAGCCACCTTCCCAGCCACTCTACCCAAGATTCTTCAAAGAAAATTCCATGACTTGCCAACTGCTTCCTGAGTAATATTAAGTAGTAAATCTAGTCTCTTTTAACATCACTCCCCTTCTTACCATGAACTTCCTCCCACGAACTCCACTCACTCCAGGAACTCAGCTCGGGCGGCATGCCATTGTCCACCATACTCTTTATTCTTACGAAGTGTGTGGCGCATTCTAAAGGCAACTCGGATTTCCAGCTCCAGTGGATGACTTGGTTCCACTTCACAGTGGTGCTGTAATTCCCCTAAATGTGAAGGAGGTCATTGGAAACTTATGGGCATCCTAACCCAGAAGACAGCTCAATGCCACTTCCCCAAAGCACACATTTCTACACCATTTCAACTCTACCATAATGCACAAGTGAAATCCATTCCTAACCAGTCAATCCCCATTGCGCTGATGTCTCAACAGTGAATCAGAGATGATTTCCTGCCTCTTGAAGATTCCATGTCACCACCTATGCTCCTTGATTCCAGGGACCGCGTATGGGACAAGCAGGAAGCAATTAGCAGACACTCAAGTCTTGGGGGAAAGTTTAGAGACAGGAAGTATTCACAGTGGTGGTCACAGAAAATGTGCTAAGAAAATTCTTGAAAGCTAGAAAATTGAACAACCTTTTAAAAGAATAATCAAGATTAATACTTTATTTACTTATTGTCATTCATTGACTAGAATAAGTCTACAGATAGCTCTCCATGTCTCCACTCTTCTCCCTTAAGGTTCAGCTGTCAGAGTCTTGGGCTCTAGAGATGTCAACCTCACCGGATGACTTAACAATGTTCCAGGAGGCAGTTGTCTATACTTCTGTGATATACCTGCGCTTTTAACTCTCAGTGCTGGCTCACATAGTGCTTCTAGCTTAGTGTCCTCAGCTTTCTTCTATATGAGGAGTTAGCTCCATTCCTAAATCCCCAGGTCCTACCCAGCCTTCTTCATGAGACACTCATTTCTTTCTTTCCTGTTTCTTCTCTTCCTTTATTTTCTTTTCCTCTCCTCTCTCTTCTCTTTTCTTTCCTTTCTTTTCTTTCCCTTTCTTTCCCCTCCCTTCCTTCTTTTCCCTTCTCCCTCCATCCTCCCTCCCTTGCTTTCCTTTTTTTTCTTTTCTTTCCTTCCCTGCCTTTCCTTGCCTTTTGTCTCTTCTTCTCTCCTTTCCTTCCCTCCTTCCCTCCTCTCCTGCCTTCCTTTCTTATCTCCAGCATTAGGGATGGAATTCAGAGTCTCTGCATTCTAGGCAAGCATTCTACCACTGAGCCTTGAGCCTCATGAAGTCTCTCTTGCTCATTCTTCTGATTTCCTTTTATCTCCACCTCCCATGATGCCTTCATAGATATTTATTTATCACTCTTTATCTGCAACTCCAGCATGGCCCCAAGTGAACTAGACTGTTTCTTTCATGTTGTGTCCCCATAGCTCTAAGAACTCTAAGAACTCACTCCCCTCAGTGTGCCACCTATAAGACCCCTGCTTCCTGCCCCTGTGGCTAGAAGATGGAAACAAAAAGTCACTTCCTGGGGAAACTGAGTCTTGGTCTGCATCCAACAAGCCCTCAGTGAAGAGACTGAGGTAATAGACACATCAAATCCTCCCTAGACATAGTTATATTGAAGCCTTCCCCGCTATGCTTGCTTAAGCTGGCTGAACTTAAACTGTGTACTTGGCAGAATTCATAGTGCCTTGGAACGAGACACTCTAATTGAATCAGGTGCAGGCTGTGAATGTTAATTAAAAGTTTTATAATTGCATTACATTATTCTTAGATCACAAATGTATTTTTTATCCATAAGTTTAGAGGTCCTGATCCACTCAATTTTCACTGTTTTTAACATGTGCAATCTTGAAACATTTTACTAAGACATTTTAAAACCAAAATGCAAAGGCCAAACAACCAAAGGAAAAGAAAAGAAAACTAGCACTGACTGGTGTGGCTCAAGTGGTAGGGCACAAGCCCTGAGTTCTAAGTCCAAAACTAGACTTGTCCAAGAAACTGCCCTGTCTAGACTGCCAATAGGTCACACACTGATTTTACTTCCCTCATGTCCATCTAACTGAGTCCCTCATCTCCTCCATCTCTGCTCTGGCCAAATCTCCCAGCCCTCTTACTATCACCACACTGCTCTTTCCCAGGTTTCCTGGCTGTTTTCTGCTCTGCAGCTGAGTGGGCTTTTCAAAACTCCAAATCACATCCTGCCACTTTGTCCTTCTTTACTTCCCTTGAGATTAAAACTAAACAAAACAACAACCAAAACAAACAAACAAGCCTTGTGCATACTCATATGGTCTTGTGTAGTCGGATCTCATGCTTGCCTTCCCAGGTTGTCCCTGGGTGCTCAGAGCCCCCCTCAAGCCTGGCAGCTCCTCACGTCCCTCTCTTGGCCTCCCCCATTCCAATTTCCACATCCACTTCCTTTTATTGCCAGGTAGGGTCACCCACATCTGTAGTCCTAGCTACTCAGGAGGCTGAGATCTGAGGATTGCTACTTGAAACCAGCGGGGGCCAGAAAAGCCCATGAGACTCTTCTCTCCAAAGAACTACCAAAAAAAACAGAAGTGAAGTTGAGGCTCAAGTGGTAGAATGCTAGCCTTGAGCACGTAGAATGCTAGCCTTGAGCACAAAAGTTCAATCCTGAGTACCAAGGCCTGAGTTCAATCCCCAGGACTGGTACACACACACACACACACACACACACACACACACACACACACACACACACACACACACACACACACACATATTTCTTTTCACATTATGGCTCAAAGTCCATCTAAATTGCAGGAGAAAGTAAAGCCTAACCCCACCCTGTAGCAGCTCACTAATGATTCTAATGACTGTATCTGCCCCACCCCTAACACACACACTGAGAACAACCCCTGCGTGTTTGTCCTTCATTCCTGCTGTGGTGTGCCCAGTATTGAAATCCCCATGCTTGCCCCAGCTGAATAATTAGTCACGTGATCAACATGTTAAGAGTTATGTTTCTCCTACATATTCTGTACAGATTTTGTCTAACACAAATCTATGCTTGTAGTGTTTACAATTTTGTCTATCAAAGAGATAAAAAAAACTGAATACATTGATTCAGTAATTAAAATAATAATGCAAGGAATTGTCTTTAGATTCTATTAGGCTAGTTTAATTTGGCCCTCTCGACATTGGTGAGTCACAAAAACTGACTCCGACGAGGCCACAACAGTATAAATAAGGTCACTGATTCATCGCTGAGGCTTGAGCACTATCTCCAAACTGACTCATGTGCTAGGCCTCCTTCCCAACTTGAGCTGCTCCTCTTCTTTCTCCCTCCACTGACAAATCATTCAAAAAGTGCTGGAAGGAAGGGCAGGTGTTTGACCCAGGGAAGGACTGTACACCATGGCTGTCAGCAGGGTTTTGATAGACCAGCTCTGCACCAGAGCTGCCCTGGTCCAGGGATAAGCTCCCCGATGGAGACGCTTTCCTTTGGCTTGTTTGGAAAGCAAATGGTCTGAGAGTGCACTCTTTCAGCATCAGATGCCCTGCTTGGCTTGCAATGCAGAAAAAGTCCTATGGAAAGAAGAGTACTGTTCAGACTGGAGGGCTCTCCCAAAGGGCCCTCTCCTCCTTCACTAGAGAAGGATTTTCTTTGAAAAGAGGAAGTCCTGGGGCTTGAACTCTGGCCCTTGTGTTTGCTAGGCAGATGCTCTACCACTTAAGCTATGCATTCAGCCTTTTTGATTTAGGTTATTTTTGAGATGAAATATCGTATTTTTCCCCTGGAGTGGGACCACGATCCACCTATTTACTCTTCCTATGTAACTGGGATGAAAGGCATGCATCATTACCTCTATCTTTTCATTGTTTGAGATGGAATCTCCTGAATGTTTTGCCCAGGTTGGCTTCAAACCATGATTCTCCCAAACTCCACCTCCCAACTGGCTAGGATTATAGGTGTAAGCCACAGTGCCCAGTGGAAGAGAATCTTACATCTCTCCTTAATTTCAGGTCTGGGAGGGTTGCACAATGACTTCTTACGGAAGCCACAATTCTGTGGGACATATGGCCACTGATGGCATAGTGAGACTGTATGTAGCTATCCATCTTCCCTGTTTGGGTAAGGGGTAAAGAATGACGATAATTTCCTGTCTCTCTCACCTGGAGCCACACAACAAACTCTCTGTGCTGTGTGTGGTCTTCTATGTTATAAAAGACAGATTAAGAGTAAAGGAGAATCAACATGATCCAAATGGAACAACAAAGATTGTTCAGAGATTGGTTTTGGAAAGGAGGAGGAGGAAGAGTAATGGAAGCGGTAATCAAGGTACATTGTATGCGTATTTGAACTGTCAAATGAAATTCTCTTTCACAATTAAAAGATGCTAAAAAATAGACAGACAAAAGACCAATTATGGCACCAGAAAAGGATTTTAAGAACATTGAGCCCCTTATCCCCCTCAAATCATACTTACCACCCAGATGATATTGGATGTTCTAATTCTACTGATTTCTATCAGAAATATCATTTTTAGTTCCTGGTGATGTGGAAGGTTTTGGACAGTCCATTCTAAGTCCAGATGTTGAAGTGAAGATTTGAAGGAAATTCTAAGTGATACAGGAGTCAGTGGTGAAAGTTTATCCATGACTGAAAGAACAAAAAGAAGTATGAAATAACTTGCTAGATCCTGGCTGAATAGTCATGATAATACTGTTATCTGAGTAGCAGATAATAGTGTTCAATATTGTCATTGGGGTACCTTAGGAAAAAACTGTATGTACCTGAAGCAAGAAAAGGCTAGGGCATAACTCATATACTCCATTTAAGAATGAGTGTAGACAGCACCAATGGTTCATGCCTAGAATCCTAGTTACTCAAGAGGCTGAGACAGAGGATCACAATTCAGAGCTAGCCAGGACAAAAAAGACAGTGAGACTCTTGTCTCCAATTAATTACCATAAAGCCAGAAATGGAGTTGTGACCCAAGTGGTCATAGTGCTAGCCTTGAACAAAAAAACTCAGGGACAGTGCCCAGGCCTGAGTTCAAGACCACTCCCCCCCAAAAAAAGAATGGGTATATTCTTTGAATGCTCATGTCTCCAAAGAAGATATACAAATGGCACATGAAAAGACACACAATATCATTAGTCATTAAGAAAATGTAACTCAAAACCAGAGATAACCACTTCATACTCATAGTAAAGTTTTAATAACAATAGTAAAAATATGGAAATGATACACGTTAGGAAGAATGTGGAAAAATTTGCCATCCTATGCACTGTTAGTGGGAATTAAAGTTGCTTACTGCAGTGGCAAACATTTTGGAAGCTCTTCAAAAAGCTAAAATAGAATTGTGATATGATCCAGAAATTCCATTTCTAGGACTACATGCCAAAGAGCTGAAACCAGAGATCTGACAAATATTTATCCCCAAATGTTTGCAGAGCTCCATTCACAAGTGCCAAAAAAATGGCAGAATCAGAGGCTCTGGTCAGGCTAACACACTCCTACAAGCTAGCTTTCACTCAATGGTCATTTGCTTGAACCTCGGCAGGCAGTGGACTGAAATGAGAAGCAGACATGTCACAGTGAAAAATCCTACTGCTTCCCTTTCAGCATCAAATTATGGAAGAAATTCACAATGAATTTTAAGGAGTAGTATGCCATACTTCCATATGCCCTGGAGTCAAAACAAACCCAGATATAAAAAAGAATCAGTGAGCTGAGCTATACACAAAATGAAGTCTCCTTTCATGAGGTTTTTAAAAGGTGATGAGAATGTCTATGCATATTTCTTACAAGCACCATTTTCTTGAGTCAAAGGCCAAGAATTGGGTGGGGAATTCCTAAGCATACAAATCTGAACAAGAAGGAAGAAACACATGAAGATCACAATGCAAGGCTTTGCAAAATATAGAAGAATGCAATGCAATTTTATGACCCAATGGAAACTCCGTCAAATTTAATAGGTTTAAAGTTATCATCAAAAGATCCACAGATACTTGAGAGATATTGATTTCCTATTTATGAAGTTGATTTATCTCAAAACTCTGCCTTGGGGAATAGCTATGTGCAAAGTACTTCTTCAACTATAAGTTGTATCTCATTTTGCAGAGACTGGAGAGTTTCTGTTGGTTCACAAACTTCCATTGCATCCCTCCACATATTACAAACCTCAAACCTCACAGCCTCTCAGTGAATGTGGCTGATGAACATCACAACGTGTTCTAACCCAGCATCCCTAACCAGTCTAGTATATTCCATGGCTTTGTCCAGCAAGGCTCAGAAGAAGCCTCTTCAGCAATGGTCTTAGTCAAATACATTGATCAGGATGTTCCATCCATGGGCTTGAGTCCACCCATAACCACACTAGTGAGCAATGCATTAACTGGGAAGTCAGGGTTATGGAATGGTTTACTGACATACAAAACCAGAATGATGGAGGCCAAGCCAAGACAACCATGGCTTTGAGAGATGAACACATCTCCTCATTCAAGCTACTCAGCAATTTCCAGTCAGTCCCACAGTAAAGGGAAATTGCTTCTCTCCAAAGCACCAATTACTGTACTTTTTCTCTATGGGATTTTTTTCCCTGCTGTTTCTACCTCTTACCTTCACTCTGGTAAGTCTTCAAGGACAGTAATGCTAAGAGGAATGTTGCCTGAAGGACAGCAAAGGAGGCCATAGTTTTCTGTAAAATATAAATTACAAAGAAGGGGAAACGTATTTAACTTCAACCCCTACATGTTTCTTAGTCAGTTTTGGTAGCTAATTGACATTAGAAGTTGGCATTCTTCTTCTCTCCCTGTGTCCATATCTCTTGTCACATGACTTGGAAGAAAGGATATGTTTACTTGTCTTGTGTTCCTTAGATAGTAAAGGAGGTGTGACTTATGGTGTGCCCATTAGACACCTAGTCCTTAAGAGACTTCGTGCATTTCTGCTTGTTCTTTACCCCTTTCCACATTTGACAGGAAGAGAGCCTTTCTAGGCTACCTTACTGGAACCTGGAGCTCTGTATGAATCAGCCTCCTTCAGCTTTCAGCTAGTCAACCTCAGTCAACAGCTCCTGAGCTCTGGCGCAAGAGCTATGAAGACTTACCTCTGTAGGCCACTGAGGCTTGGTGGCAATAGATAACTAATCAACCAGTTCCTTCAAAACAAAGGCTATTAGGGAAGGGTAAAGCTGAGAACCAAGAGTTAAATGTGAAAAATGGTCTCTGTTTTGAATGAGAACAGATATGATAAGAGTCAAAAGATAAATTTAATTTCTTGATGTAGTGACTGGGACCACTGCCATCCTCCCTCATCTCCCTCATTAAAATTCAATCTAGAAAAGTTAGCCTATTGTATCAGAAGACAGCCCATTGTTCATTGTACAACAGAATTTCCAGGTTTTCTTGCCTTAAAAGCAAGTCATAAATTGTGAGCTGGAGAGTGCTCCCTGATGTGTCTGAGACTTTGATCCTGGGACAATCAGAGGACACAAAGAATGAGGCCAGATAACCTCAACAAAGCCAATCTGTTCTTCATTCAATAACAAATGTCTTAGTCAGGGGAAGTGATAAATTTTACTTTTCAGCTTCAGATGACTCAGCAGAGGGCAGCAATGGAACAATTCACTGAAAGCCAAGTTTTGCCTCCATCCAGCCACATGGATTTCATCAAAAGCTAAAACTTCAGCGAGACAGGTCATCAATGTCACACCCTAGAAAAATAATTTGTTTTCTTTTGTTTTCTATTCTGGGTTTGGATCCCTGGGCTTTGTGCATGCTAAAGTAAGCACTCTGCCACTGAGCCACATTCCCAGCCCATACCCTATATTTAGTTTTTTAAATAGTATTTTGCAGGTAAATGGGAGCCACAGGGAAGACAGGGAGTGGGTAGATTGCCACATTAAATGATTCTAAGATGGTCACACTGGCTGGCACGTGCGTCCCGCTGAAGAAAAAGCAAAGGCCTGCCAAGGGCTGCTTTTGCTTAGATTCCTTTTAGTAGGGCTTTCCAATAACATTCTAGTTTTAGGAGCCACGTAATTCATACTCTTCCAAACCTCTTTGCAAACTTGAGATGGGTTCCTGAATGAATGAATTGCATAGCCAGAGGGAGAGCTAATTCCAGAGGAAATAGTTTCCATTCAGAACCAAGAGGAAAGACAAGTGGGTGGAGTGCCTAGCGCTGTCTGATGTCATAAGCAGCTTCAGTCCTGGTACAACAGGTAGAGCACCTCGCCCTCCTCACACCCACTCCGCTTTTAGCCCATTTATTACACGAGTGCAATGGGCCACCATGGGAAGAAAATCTCACCTCAGCTCACCTCCCCCATGGTAACACAGACATGTTACCATGTGTGCATCGCCAAATGTTATCCTTATGTAATGTCTAGTTAAAATGTTCCCAAAGTGTGAGGCTTTGCCATCACATAAAATATTTTACATGTCATAACGATTAAGTAAGTTAAGCCTTTCTGTTTGTTTACAGATGGTACAATATCATTATTTCTAATAGATGAGTACAATTCCATTATATATATATATATATATATATATATATATATATATCATATTTTCTTGATCCATTTGTCCATTGAGGACATCCGGGCTGTTTCCATACCTTGTCTACAGTGAATAGCATTACGATGAACATGGTGGTGCTGGTGGCTTTGCTGTATCCTGGTTTGTAATCTTTTAGGTAAATGCCCAGGATTAGGCATTATAGAATTGCTGAATTATATGGTAGTTTTCTGTTTGATTTTTTGAGGAAATTCCGCATAGCTTTCAGGAGTGATTGACAAGGTTACATTCCTACCAGCAGTATATTTGTGTTTCTTTTTGGCCTTATCCTCATAGTGCCTTTTATTGTTTGCTTTCTTGATGATGGCTGTTGTAACTGAGCTGAGGTGGAATCTCAATGTTGTTCTGATTTGCATTTCCTTTATGGTCAGAGATGGTGAGCATGTCTTCATGTGGCTACTGGCCGACTCCATTAGCCCATTTATTAAATGAAGTAAGTCAGGCCCAGAAAGGCAAAGAATGCATGTTTTCCTTTATGTGTGGAAGCTAGATTTAGCTTACAAACTTACAAGTAAATACACTGGGTGGTCTGTGAGTATATACAAATGTGTTCAATGAAACATGATAAATTCAAGAAAAAAACTCAAATAATATAATTCCTTAGAAAAGCAAAGTGAAACGCAGCAAAATAAAACACCAGGAAATGAGTACTTGAAAGGGTTGGGGTGGGGTCAAGGTGAAGAGGGGAGGAGAAATGAAGAGGGGGAGGATGCAGTCAAGAATCCAATGTATGGAGCTGGGAAGGTGGCTCAGTGGTAGAGTGCTTGCCTTGCATGCATGAGGCCCTGGGTTCGATTCCTCAGTACCACATAAGCAGAAAAAGCTGGAAGTGGTGCTGTGGCTCAAGTGGTAGAGCACTAGCCTTGAGCTGAAGAGCTGAGGGACAGGGCCCAGGCCCAGAGTTCAGGCCCAGGACCGACAAAAAAAAAAAAAAGAATCTAATGTATATCCTTCAAAATAAAGAAGAGGGAAGGGCTAGAGAGAAGAGGGACGGAGGAGAATGTCAAAAGGGCTGACATTGATCAAGATATATTGTATTCATAAACTTCTTTGTTAAATGGCAACTCCTTTGTCCAAATACTTAAAGATAATTTTAATTTTTTTTAAAAAATTAAGTAAGCCAGGTGCAAATATCCTAAAAACAAACAAACAAAAATCAAAAGTCACCTACCATTTAAGGGTAAGAAGAAATTAAGAACGCAGGCTGTTGAGTGGTACAATTGAAAAAAGAAGTGTTGAGCATTCACAAAAGTCTGTCTTTTAGCTAGGATAGGAACATCTTCAGGAATGATAAAGGCAGTCCGGTTTGGAGTTCCCACCCTTCCTGCAGTCTGTCATACCAGCCTCACTGTGAATCCAGGGATGTTAGCTAGCTTCTTTGACCATCAGTACCAAAGAACACTGTTTCCCACCTGCTGGGCAGGGAGTACTGGTGACACAGAGGTGACTGCCAGCACACCAGCCAAGTGACAATAGCAGTCCCCCGCACCTGTGGTTTCAGAGCATTCAGAAACAAAACCCATACCTGCCTCGTCTGGCACCGCTTGGTTCTTTCCCACTATCCTTTGCCTCTCTCCCTCAGATTCGCCATTATTTCAGAATGGAATGTGAGCTTCCGGAGGAGACATTAGACTCTTACAACCACCATTAACACAGTCCCAGAGCACAGCTGCCACTCAGGAAATGCCTCCCAACTCATTGTGTACAAGTTCTTCATATCTTATTTCTACAAAATCTCATTGTTTATGAAGATGTCTGTGAATATCTCTCAGCAAAAATACCACATGCAGGGCTGGGAGGGTGGCTCAGTGGTAGAGGGCTTGCCTTGCATGCATGAGGCCCTGGGTTCGATTTCTCAGCACCACATAAGCAGAAAAAGTCAGAAGTGGTGTTGTGGCTCAAGTGGTAGAGCACCAGCCTTGAGTTGAAGAGCTGAGGAACAATGCCCAGGCCCAGCGTTCAGGCTCCATGACTGATAAAAAAAAATATGACATGCATAATAAAAATCCAATATTCTTTTCTTCCCTGGCTGTACTGGGCTTTGAACTCGAGGTCTTGAGCTTGAACTCTACAGCTGGAGCTGCATCCCCAACCCTCTTTTGCTTTAATTATTTTTTCCAATAGAGTCTTGAGTGTTTTGTCTGTGCCAGCATGACCACGATCCTCCTTCTTACGCCTCTGTCTAGCTGAGATTACATATGTGTATTACCTCTCCCAGCAAAACACACTTTTTTGGTTTTGTTTTGGTCCCAGGCAAAACAAAGTCAGGGCCAGGGTGCTATCCCTGCTCTACCACTTGAGCCACACCTCCACTCCGAGTCTTTTTCTTTCTTTTTTTTTTTTTAGTATTAGTTTATTGGAGCTAAGAGTCTCACAGTCTTTCCCGCCCTGGATGGCTTTGAACCGCTTTCCTTGGATCTCAGCCTCCTGTGTAGCTGGGATTACAGACATGAGCCAACAGCGCCCAGTTAAAGCACAGCTTTTAAACAATACGTAAGTCTGGCCATCCTCACCAGCACTTCTTGCATAACTACACTATTTATTCCTAGGACTTTCCCCACCACAGATAATCCCCAGGAGACACACAGCACAATAGTCATTAGCTTCCCAGGAACTCAGGCCTATTGCCAAATTCTTCAAAGCTGGCTGGGTGACTAGATGACATCATATGCAAAGGTTGTTTGAAAGAAGGAAGCTGTTCGTGGAGGGCCTGGGCCTGGGTGTGTACGTTTATGAGCATTCTGTTCTCAGTAGAAGTCACCCATTCTCCAGGACTGATTCTATGGCAGGCCACAAGCGAAGTCTCAACCATTTTTTAAATTTTTATTGTTTTTGGTGATACTGGGGTTTGAACTAAAGGCCTGGCTCTGGCTCAACTTGCTTGCTTGGCTGGTGTTCTACTACTTGAGCCATGCCTCCAGCACTGCGTTTTGCTGGTTATTTTGGAAATGAAGTCTCAGAACCTTTTCTGCCTGGGTTGGATATGAACCATGATCTACTGGATTTTAGCCTCCTGAGCAGCTATAATTAAAGACATGAGCCACTGGTACCCATCTTCAACAAAATCTTAACGATTGAAATAATAATGAAAGTCCTTTCTAACTACAATGCAGTAAGATTACAACTCAGTATCCAGAAATTTGGATCATAATACAAAGCACTGAGTGACACTTCTTGGAAGTTTCCCATGATCCTCAGACTCAATTTCCTCCCTCCCTCCCACCCTCCCTCACTTTCTTCCTTCCTTCCTTCCTTCCTTCCTCCCTTCCTTCCTTCCTTCCTTCTTTCCTATCTTTCTTTCTTCCTTTCTTTCCTTCCCTCCCTCTTTTTCTTCTTTCCTCCTTCCCTCCCTTCTTCCTTTTCTTCCATTTTTGATCACTGCTATTAGTATTTGGGGCCACTCTGAGAGGCCTGCAACCCAACAGCACAAGATTGATTACTTACAAAGTTTCAGTCAAATTCTTTTCCTTCTCAAACCTCCATGCCCACGGGAAGGTTCCAATGCTTCTCCTCCTCCCTCTTTTAACCTCTCCAATGGGGGTTTAGGGACATGGCTCAATTGGTAGAGCACCAGCCAGTGAGCAAAAGCATCAGGTACTGAGTTTAATTCTCATTCTTGGACCTAAAACGATAAGAAAGGAAACCTCTCTAGTGGACAATGGTGGCATGCTCCTTCCTTTCTGCTTTGTACAGTAATACTGACTTAATGAACAGAATCATCTCCTTGTACAACTGATTTTAAAAAATGCTCAGTTAATTTATAACATCAGTTAGAGTTAAAGCTAAGTCTCTACATGATAAATGAAGCAGGAAGGAAGGAAGGAAGGAAGGAAGGAAGGAAGGAAGGAAGGAAGGAAGGAAGGAAGGAAGGAAGGAAGGAAGGAAGGAAGGAAGGAAAAAGAGAGAGTGAAAGGATGGAAGGAAGAAAGAAAACCTGAATCCAAGAAATATTCTTCATCAAAAAATATGAGAGTAGCCTTTTTGTATATCACCTTTACAATAAAAATATTATTAACAAAAAATTCTGTGGGAGTTTAATATATGCTCTAGGTAAGAAGAGACAGCATTCCCAAATGACACTGTAACAACAGCCTAATGTGTATCAGCAAAAGAGGCTATCACTGTGCAGTCCTGGCCTGTGACCTGAGACTAACGGGCCACATCCCTGTGTTGCACTCAAGTTACTAAGCATGACCAAGGCCATGTTAAATTTCCTCTTCAACAAATGAGCACAAAAGAATCTATCTTATACCATGAACATAAATATGAACTCAGATTATGAGAACCCTCACAGAGGAAATCAATTAAATGTTAATTTGATCTTTATTGCTATTGCCCCACTCCCTCTAGGGAAAAACATATTTCAGACAAAATTATACTGCAGATAAAGTCACTAAAAGTACTAAGATAATACATAGGTGGATTTGTTTATAGCCTGTTAGGCCCAGTGTTAGGCACCACTTCCAGCTTTTTCTGCTTATGTGGTGCTGAGGAATATAACCCAGGGCCTCATGCATGCAAGGCAAGTGCTCTACCACTGAGCCACCTTCCCAGCACACATTAAAAGTTTTTAGTTCTAGAAATGGAAGCATATATGGCAAAGATTTACTATCTGAATGTACAAAGAATTTTTAAAGTAAGTTCATAAGGCAAACTACTCCAGCAGAATGTGGAAAACGCAACTCACGAAACGAAAAAATAAATAAATTCAACCCCTGAAAAGAAAAAGAAACAAGGTAAAATTAAAATGAATTTCAAAATGCAAGTCAAAACATGAATTGTGCATGTGAATAGCTATTATGTGTTTTTAAAATTAAGCATTGTCATTGATTAATACCACAGAGGACAATTTTATAGATGTCTATTTGACTATATCTATTAAGAATTTTAGTGTGCATTTCATTTGATTCAGAAATAATTTTATAATCCTATTCCTGGATTTTTTTTTTCCTACAGATGGTATAAGCAAATACAGTAGTCAAAGACACTAGAAAGGAACTGGAAATTTTTTATTATGCTGCATTTCTGCAAAGGAAAACTATATAACTTTTGAAAACAATGAATTACGTGTGTAGGCTCACATGAAAATCTCCGAATACTGAGTGAAAAAAGATTCCTAATAGGATACACACAAGGATGTCTTTGGAAGAGACGTGTGGTAACTGCGTGGCTCTGAGTCTGGGCCGCTTGGAACTACCTCCAAAAGGATCTCTACCCTGAACTTCTGCTCACAAAAGCACAGCCGACTGGGCCTACAGCACACTGTTACCTTCCAGACACCTCCTAGACAATGATGAAGCCAAGCCTTTCCATTTAACAGGAGATCCTCTAACCAGGAAACTTTAATCAGAACCTCCCCTTAACTGTTCACAACTTTCTCTGACTGCATTGGAGCTGGAAACAAATCCTCCCCACCCTCCTTTTCTCTGAACACTTTCAGTGTCTGACACCTCAGGCTAAAGGCTTTCTATTCCTGCTCCATTCCACTCTCTCACACACATGCTGCCTCAGTAAATCTCTTCGACACCTATTTCTATCTTGCTGTCTTCTACTGATAGGTTCAAACTGGCCCTGAAGGACGCAGCCTCCCAGAGAACGTACAAATGAGCTGGGATGGGAGAGAGTGGGCAGAATGAAGGAAATTACAAAAGATTCAAGGTCTGTGATTCTGCAACACAAAGAATTTTTTTCCTCTCTCTCAAATATATTGCTTTAGTCTTTCAAAGTGGAGGCAATTCTAGTATTATGTCTATCCTTGAACCATGCACACCAATAGAATTAAACTTGTTCACCTTGATTTTTCAACTGAAAGATAGCCATGGCTTTGGAATAGAGAAAAAGGTTAATATTTTTAGGTACTGGATGAACCTAAGGATGTCATATGTTTGTGTATTAAGTATGTGACCTCATAGCCCCTGAGATACACTAACAAACACATTGCCAAATACAAAAAAAGTAACCATTGTGCTCTGTAGAGAAAATTTGTTCAAGATCTCCTATTTAGAAAGGTAAGAAGTAGAGAGAGGTAACCAGAAAATAATATACGTTTTATGCATAAGAAAAGAGTTTCTGTTGATTTATATCCCAAAAGTTGGCATACATACACATGGTAGAACTTTTCTCTGGTTTCTTTTTATTCTTTTGGCAGTAGTGGGGTTTGAACTCAGAGCTTCATGGTTACTACCTTTTGAATTATGCCTTTGTCCCTCTTTCTGCTCTAGTTATTTTTGAAATAGGGTCTTAAATTTTGACCAGGCTGGCTTGGACTGTGATCCTGTTTATGATTCTGCCACAGCTGAAATCACAGATGTATGACACCATGCCCAGCTGTTGGTTGAAATAGAATTTCAAGAACTTTTTAGCCTGAGTTGGATTTGAACTGCCATCTTCCTGACCTCCATCTCCTGAGGAGCCAGGATTACAGGCATGGGTCACTGGCATGTGGCTTAATCTGTGTTTTCTAGAACTCTTTGTTTTACAGTTTTCCATACATTCTTGAAATGTCTTACATTCTTTTCTATTTGGAAATGCACTGCCAATTGTGGCTTTCCTTTGAGTAGATTTTAGACTCAGATTGAATATATTTTACATGACAATCTTCATCTCAAAGCCAACAGTTTAAAACAATCTCATTAAATGGACGGACCTAGCACAAATCATGTTAAGTGAGGTAAGCCAAACTCAGAGACACAAATGGCACATGTTTCCTCTCACATGCAGAAGCTAGATCTAAAATACACTGGTACATGATAAATTATACAGAACTCTAGGTATTCACATACAACGAGACCGAAGGAGGATGCTATGAGGAGAAGAACACAAAGGTGCGGTGCCTGCGTGCATTTAAAATAATATTTATCAAAAGGAACTCCAGACAATGGAAACAAGAGGTTTGTTTTTTTTTCTTCATTGCTTTTCTTTTCTTTCTGTCTTTAGGAGGGTCAGGGAGAGCACAAAAATGGAGGGACAAAGGGTGAAAAAAGACAGCAGTGGTACTCACTAGACATTACCTTGAAAAGAAACTATACAGCTTGCATGTGGGGATGGGAGGGAAAAACTGGGAGTGAGGGAAGGAGTGAACAGTGTCCAAAAAGAAATGTACTCTCTACCTGACTTATGAAACTGTAACCCCTCTGCACATCCCCTTTTTAAAACAATAATTAAAAAATAATCTCAATAATCAATTGGTTCAATTATTTTCCAAACCTAAGGATAGAGCTAGGTTTTATATTTAGTGCTCTTGTTAACCCTCTTTCTTTTAACAAAAAATAAAAGTAAAAAAGGAAGGGAGTGAAAGATGAAAAGAGGAGAAAAGGAAGAAAGGAAAGCAATACTTTAGTTCTCTGGTATAGGATATAAAGAAAACAACTTGAGTCCTATTGATATTTGTTATGGAAAGGAGGTATCATAACTAGCAGCATCATGTTAAGTAGCAGCAAAAGGCTATGTATACCAACGGTGGACCCAGGATGAACAGCACTGATATCACCTGGTAGCTTGTTACATAGGCACAGTCTTTTTAAGCAGATCTTCAGGAGATTCACATGCACACTAAGTTGGAGCAGCCCTGCTACATTCAATGCTATCACATATTTTGTCTTCAAAGATATTATCAATAAATAGGCTATTAAGTAGTCCTTACTATTAACAAAGCACTCTCCTTTATATAGAAAATATATTTAAAATATGGAGGGAAGGGATGACATTGGCAAAGAAGTATTGTACTCATAACGACATATGGAATTGGCATCTTTTCATCCAACTACTTAATAATAAGGTAATACAACCTAATTTTAAAAAAATAATTAATTAACTATGAAAAAGATCGCTGCTTGCAGGTATTGAATGATAACTACTTATTTGGTAGTTTGCTAAATAACTTACATACATTTATCAATAGTAAAAAAGCCCAGTGAAAGAGATTATATCCTTATCTCCAGATGTAGCTGAGGAAATTAAGAGTGAGTTAGGTTAAAATTGGCATGTCCACAGTGACTCAGCTGTGGAGTCAGTACTTGAACCCAGGTGAGTCACTTACCATAGACAACCCCTTCCTATGCATCTCTGCTTCCTCAGTGCTTGGAGTTAACGCTGAAGTGGGAAGTAAGGAAGAAAACCATTGCTGGTGGGTTGAAACTCAATAAAATCCTAAGAAATATCCCATAGGGCTTTATTAAACACAACAAGCTGGTGCTAAAGTTCACATGAAAAAGAAAATATATGAAAACTACTTCTAGCTGGGCACTAGTAGCTCACACTTGTAATCCCAGCTACTCAGGAGGCTGAAATCTGAGGATTATGGTTAGAAGCCAGCTGGGGCAGGAGAGCCTGTGAGACTCTTCTCTCCAATTAATCACAGAAAAGCTAACGTGGCTCTGTGGTTCAAGTGGTAAAATGCTAGCCTTGAGGAAAAGGAGACTAGGGACAGCACCCAGGTCCAGAGTTCAAGCCCTACAACCAGAAAAAAAGAAAGAAAAGAAAGAAAACTATTTCCTAATGTTCTTAAAATACAAATGCATATCATTAGATATATAAACATACCATAAGGTTCTAGAATTTAACAGGGTGGTACTGGCATAAGAGACAAAGGGTTGAGGGAGTGGCAGAAACTGAAGGATGAAT